AGGAAAATTCATTTATTCTCTGCCTTGTTTGACTATAAAAAAATTATTATTTTTAAGTTACTCTCCTGTTGAATAACTGATGTAATAAGTGAAAGCAAATAACCTAATCCATAAAAAGCCGTCGAAGCTCCTAAATATTAATTTGCTAAATTAATGCATGGCCACGCCAAGTGCCTCCCCACTTATCCACCCCAAAAAAGTTGGGGAATGTGTATTTTTCTGCCTTGGTTTCTCATTTTATATTATATACGTATATCATATCGTTTCTGATGGCTTGGCTACATCAGGTGGTAAAGTTGCAAATTGTTCTTTGTTTTTGGCAAGATTTTAATTGGTTGATTGCTTAAACACAAACAATAAACACACTGGCCCAATTTATTATTCAATACAACACTTTGGGGGGGAAAGCACATAAACAAATGCGACTGACGCCCGACTGAATGCCGTGGGAAATTACTAGATGTTCGGGCTATACACAAGGCATTGCTCAAATTTTGGATTTTTATAAATCAAAGTCCAATTTTCTACTCATGTCGAACAAATCAAAAATCGAACAGCAACCTCAAATTTCAAACAAACAATCATAAATCAGAGGCGTTAATTGCCATAATTTGCAATGCGCCACAGTCGAAAATATTTCGAAGGAAAGCGGATGGGGCAAGAAAAATATTTTTAAATTCGAGCCAACCAAATATTTGTTCACCTAGTAAAACTTATTAAATTTCAAAAGTACACACTCATAGTTTGTTTTAAATACTTTACAGTGCAATTTCTAACCAGAGAAGAGATCGATTAATCGAATTAGCTTAATGGGACTTTTCTTGTGCTTTATCTTTTAGCATCGTTGTGCTAAATTCTGATGCTAATTACTTAGCAGTAATTTTTTGCAAAACAATAAGGAATTATATGGAAAATTTCCGTGGCCATAAATAAACATACTAGGGGGCCAAAGATTCTGGGAAAACCCATTCACCAATCTGCAAAAAAGACAGATAATGACGCATCGAGGCGATCTCTCCCCATATTTTCTGCCGATTTCTGGGTAGCCCGACAATTGAACACACCCATCGAGCATTTTAATTGGGATTTGTGGAGTGGCTCCCAGTTCAATTTGGTGAATGCAAATGCTGCACGCGTCGTGCGACATTTCCGCAGAATTTTTGTTTTATTAGGTCCCCATTTAAGTGGGGACAGCAAATATGGCACTTGGGTTTTGCCCAATTTCTTACTAAAGCCCCTTAAAAATTGCTCTCGAGGGTATTGCCTTTCAAATTTATTTGACAGTTTGTCAACAGTTGATGGCAGTTGAAAAAATAATGTTTGTTGAACTGGTGAAGTCATTTGAAATAAAATAAATTATATTAAATATAATTTGAATATTTAACAAAGGTATAATTTGTTTTTTGTGCATAAGTTAACTTGGTTATTACACAAGACTAGAACAGAAATTATATCATGCCCCTTCGTGGAAAGATAAAAAGGTTTGCTTTTGCATATTTACTTTAAAAATAAATATTTTTACGAGGGTATGCTAAATTTATGTTTGCTACGACTTTCTTTGGACATTGAGGGTTTGATTTTGTTAGCTTAGTTTAACTATATGTATTTACTTATCGGTTTCTTTTGCTTCGTTGTGGAATCGTTTGTACTTTACTTGAGACTACTGTTTGAGCAAGTTTTCTTCTCGCATTGGAATTCATGTATTTATTTTAGTAGTTATTCCCCCAGCTCAAATCTCTTTCCCCACGACTGTGTTGTTTGGCCATAAGGTTGAGGTCGGCCACAACATCCGTTCGCCGAGTGCTTTCAAATGTAAACGAAAAAGTATGCAAAACAATGCAGCCGCACAGATACTTTTGCGCACACACTTTTGCCACAGAGCGTTTGTTGCCAAATGAAAAGGTCTACCGCCCCTTGGCCTACCGTCCTTGCCACTTCCCCCGCCCCCTGCCACACCCCCATACCCTCTTCCCCCCAAAATAACAAAACAGTTTTCTTCTATATCTCTGGATTTTAAGTTGCTTTTTCCTGCTGTTCTAGGGGCTAAATTTAAACATTTCGCCATTCAACAGATATTAGCGGCGCCCTCGTTAATTGTTGTTTCCCGCTACTTCTGTTGTAAAACAGACCGAAAATAAACATTTGAATGAAAATGAAAATGAAAAAATTTGTCTAATTTCTCGTTGTGCCATGGCAAATCCACAACTCTCTGATTTGACGTCACACCCGGTTTGTAAGATCTCTCCACTGGAAAGATCAGAGGTGGAGTGGCAACATGGTACTCACTCCACTCGGTTTCTTTTGTGTTTTTCACACCCATTTGATGGACTTTTGATAGCAAACAACCGCACCGGGAATTACAACATTTCCCCAGGGACTTTGTTCTAGTGCGAATTCCGTTTTGACTTCGGCTCCACTCTGATCATCGATTCAATTGTGTTCAATGAGGTCCAAAACAGGAAATTGAAGAAAATTAGACCAGAAAAACAAGGAAGGAAATCTCAAGAGAGTTCAAAACATTTATAAGCAAAAACAAAAGTGGGGGTTTCTTTCGATCGAAGAACATGAGTTTTTCTTCACCAAAGAGTTATTGCAGATCAAATAAAAATTTTAACACCACTTAAATTGTTTTAAAATTCTAAAAAAAAAAACAAGAACCTAGACAAAAAATTATATATGCAAAGACGTCACACAAGGGGCAGTATTAAAATTAAAATGTTTCATTTATTTTTGTGAACGTGCTTGGTCACAATTTTTTCGCGGTAAGTGGAGACTGTTCCACGAAATTGGCGCTTACTTAAAATCCACTCGCGAATTTTGCTTAGACAAACATACGATGATATCTTTATACTCGATTTCTGCGCCGAACACATGCACTCGAGGATGATCTTGATCTACTCCCACTCTCAGCCCTGGCCTTTGGCCACTGGAGAACCCCTCCTCCTCCGAGTTTCGCCATAAAACACCTACCAAAAATAACCCCAGCAATTGCCGGGCATTCGCAGGCCTTCCATATTAGCCACAGTCAGTGAGTAAAAGAAACATCAACAGTTTTTTTACGTTTTGTATATTGCAGGAATTGTATACGCTTCGCACTTTTAACGACCGCGCTTTTGAACGCTTTATTTGCTCCCACTGCCCCTTCTGACGTATAATAAACTCATGTTGAAGTCAATAAAATAATTATTCCGATCTTTCGGCTTGCAGCAGACTGCAGTTCAAACTTCAGAAGGGCGAGTTAAAAAAAGTGATGCAGGAAATTGATGCACTTTCTAAAGTAAATTTTCCACGCAGCTTGTTTTCTGTTTTAGGCAGCTGATCAAGGTAAACAAGTTGTTAAATGCATTTGAATCTAGAATTGGGCTAAGAGTGCCTTAAAATAAAGTCGTTTCGTTACATGAAAGTCAAGATAAGAAGAGGATTTTAAAGTCATTAATCATTTTGGAACTGGTACTTAAGACTTACCTAAATTATCTTGAAATAAAAGGCGTGACTTAGTCTGGAACACTTTTTTACGATAAATTTACAATCCCTTATTTCAATCTCTGGAGAACCTTCTATGGAGAATTTTATTATTTTTTTTATAAATTTAGAAGTTAAATACAAAAAAATGTTTGAAAATACTGAAAATATTTTAAAATAAACTAATTTTTCTAGAACGGCATTCAAAATTAGCACAGCTTTGGAAAAAATTCAATTTCTGGAAAAATGTTATAAATCCAATGTTTATAGATGTAATGTTTGTTAGCCTCTTGAGTTCCATTTCCAATTCCCCCTTTTTTATTGGGACTCCAATGATTGCCACTTGGGATCCCGTTGGGAAACAAATTCCTGTAGAGTGCAGGGTGATGTGTGGAGTGCATCCCATAAACATTTGGAAGGATGGCCCGATCTCCAAGTGCTGGTGATGGTTTATGGGCCCCGGGATTCGGATTACACAATGCTTGTACTCGCCACTCGTAAATCGCCGGAATCCGACGACGCCTCTTCTTGGCATGCCAAAGTGGCATTTGATTTATTTAGCATATTTATTTGTTTTCATTTTTTTATCCATCTTTCGCTTGTTTTTTTTTTACAACGAAACGGAAAACATTGTTTATGGACGCCAGATAAGTCGTTTCACGAAAGAGACTGTGCGCCTGCGCAGCGTAAAGGCGGGAAAGCGAGTGGACTCTTTGAATATTTATGGCGCGTTGTCTAACTGGGGGAAGTAATAGTGGCAGTAGCATCAGGATAGATGGATAGTTCGGAGCTGGCCATTTTTTATGCCGAGCACGTGGTGGGCGAACGCGATCGTCCGGCCAGATTGCCCGATGGATGGCTTAATTAAGCCGGTCGCGAACTCGCCCGGCATGCGGAACTTGGAACTTGGCCCGGCTTAAGCCATCAATCATGGATTTGCATTGCTCGATGGAGGGGGGTTACAGATTGAGGCGGGCCAGAGCTCAAGGACGAGCTACCCGTTCAAATCCGCTTAGTGTAATAACGTGTTTCTCCGTTTCCTTTTTGCCAGAGAGGAGAGCTCGTCTTTATCGCCTGAGCCTGCGGGCCTTTGAATGTGTCAACAGTTAAATCGATATGTTTTTTCCCCTGTTGATATAGTTAACTCGCATTTCCCTCTGCCTTTTGCCGTGCCGCACAAAAGTTGACTGGCCTGGCCCGCATCCTGGGCTCACATGTCCTTGGGGGAGGAAACAGAAACTAGAAAGGAAAGCCGAAGTTTGGATATACTTCCAGCTTTATAAAACCACTATATAAAACATATTAATTCTATGAGAATGAATTATAAAATGCTATATTATTATTAATAATATGATATGACTGCTCTTTGGATAAATCCGAATAAGAATATATATATTCTTTTTTAAAGAATCCTATAATACTTTTTGTAAGGGTATAGAAACATAAAAGGGTGACCGCTCTCGGTAATTGAAGAAAAAAAAACCAGTGAGAAGTGTGTTAACTGACATGTGGATATACACATTTTTTCATCTCCACAGCCAGCCAAGATTGGCCAGATCTGGACGGGATTTGGAGGAGCCGCAGCCATGATTGGACGTCTGTTTCGCGCCCACGGCGAGTTCTGCGCCTCGCATCCATGGGAGGTCATCGTCGCCCTGCTGACCATCACGGCCTGCATGCTGACGGTGGACAAGAACAATACCCTGGATGCGAGCAGCGGTCTGGGCACGGCCACCGCCTCAGCAGCCACCGCAGGAGCTGGAGGATCAGGGGCTAGTGGAGCAGCCATGCCACCACCGTCCGTGGGTGGATCGGCGACCTCCAGCCGGCACAGACCCTGCCACGGCTGGAGCCAATCCTGCGATGGCCTCGAGGCGGAGTACAATGCCGCCGACGTCATCCTGATGACCATCGTGCGCTGCACGGCGGTGCTCTACTGCTACTACCAGTTCTGCAGCCTCCACCGGCTGGGATCCAAATATGTGCTGGGTGAGTAGCGAGGGGATTACATCACTGAGCCCCCGATTCGTTTGGGGGGCACGTGTGTTGACCGAAGTGGTTAGAACGCCGGCAGCCCCCTGCCCAAAATAATCACTGGGAAAAAACAACGCAAACCACACACAAGACTGAAATGTTTGGCCAAGACTTTAGATTTTTTTTAGAGGTGGGGCAAGCTGGTAGCAACCCGAAGAGGCGGCAAACGCTGCTCCCTGGCATTTCTCACGTGCCCTCTAAACGATTCGACCTCCGTCCGCTAATGCGACCGCGTCATGACGCCTTCTCTTTCAGGCATCGCCGGCCTCTTCACGGTCTTCTCCAGCTTCATCTTCACCACGGCCATCATCAAGTTCCTGGGCAGCGACATCTCCGAACTGAAGTGAGTACACTTAAAACATCAAATAGGTGATAAGATTTCTATAAGCAAATAACTTGGAAGTTTGTTCTTCAAGACTTCTTAGGGAAATTAAATAATTTAACAGATATATTCTTACTTACTTACACTTAATTTTAGTTATTGATAAAGAATTTGTTAAGTAAGAAAGAAGTGAACCTTTATATTATTTTTAAAGGAAAGATAAAGATATATCTATTTTACTTTATTATCAATTTTGTTCAAATAAGTTTGTCAATCATGTGAGTCAAGGTTATTTGACCAAATTATTGTTTGCATAATAAATATGAGTAATAATATTATTTTTAGTTGGTAAATTGTACTAAACATGCTAATTGGTTTCCCACCTTATCCCGCATTCAACCAACTTTCAGGGACGCCCTGTTCTTCCTGCTGCTGGTCATCGACCTGTCCAACTCGGGTCGGCTGGCCCAACTGGCGCTCTCGGGCAGCAACCAGGCCGAGGTGACGCAGAACATTGCCCGGGGTCTGGAGCTCCTGGGACCCGCCATCTCCTTGGACACCATTGTGGAGGTGCTGCTGGTGGGCGTGGGCACTCTTTCGGGGGTTCAGCGACTGGAGGTGCTCTGCATGTTTGCGGTGCTCTCGGTGCTGGTCAACTACGTGGTCTTCATGACCTTCTATCCCGCCTGCCTGTCGCTGATCTTCGACCTTTCCCGCTCCGGCGTCGACATGTCAGTGGTGCGGGAGAAGGCAAAGGGCTCCTTGCTCCTCAAGTCGCTCACCGAGGAGGAGCAGAAGGCCAATCCGGTGCTGCAGCGCGTCAAGCTGATCATGACCACCGGTCTGATGGCCGTGCACATCTACAGTCGAGTGGCCTTCTCCGGCAGCGACTACGATTCCGTGGACAAGACCCTTTCCCCCACGCTAAGTCTGAATGTTAGCAACAATCGCACGGAGTCGGGCGAGATCACCGACATTATCATCAAGTAAGTCTGAAGAATGAAAACAATTACAAATTCCAAATGTTATAAACTTATTTTTCTCTTTTTGTAGATGGCTTACCATGAGCGCCGATCACATAGTAATCTCCATTGTTCTCATCGCCCTGGTGGTCAAATTCATTTGCTTCGACAATCGCGATCCTCTGCCCGACCAGCTGCGCCATTCGGGTCCTGTGGAAATTGCCGCCAAGGCCTCCCAAACCACGCCCATTGAGGAGGAGCAGGATGGGCACTCGAACCAGTCGGGGATCAGTGCAGTTCCACCTGCAATCCGTGCCCCACTTTTCACCATCGAAGAGCAGAGCTCGGCGAATGCTTCCACGCAGACGGAGCTACTGCCCCTGCGCCACCGCTTAGTGGGTCCGATCCGACCTCCCCGCCCACTGCAAGAATGCCTCGACATCCTGAACTCCCACGAGGATGGCAGTGGACCCGCTTCCCTGAGCGACGAAGAGATCGTGACCATCATCCAGGCAGGCGGCACGCACTGTCCGCTCTACAAGATCGAATCCGTGCTGGATGATCCCGAAAGGGGAGTGCGAATCCGACGACAAATCATTGCGGGACGCGCCAGGATGCCGGTGGGTCGACTGGATGTCCTGCCCTACGAACACTTCGACTATCGCCGTGTGCTGAACGCCTGTTGCGAGAACGTTTTGGGTTATGTGCCCATTCCCGTGGGTTATGCCGGTCCACTGCTGCTGGATGGGGAGACCTACTACGTGCCGATGGCCACCACCGAGGGAGCTCTAGTGGCGTCCACGAACCGCGGCTGCAAGGCTCTCTCAGTTCGTGGAGTCCGTTCCGTTGTGGAGGATGTAGGCATGACCAGGGCGCCCTGTGTGCGTTTTCCCAGTGTTGCTCGTGCTGCTGAAGCCAAGTCCTGGATCGAGAACGATGACAACTATCAGCTGGTGAAGACCGAGTTCGATTCCACATCCCGATTCGGTCGGCTGAAGGAGTGCCACATTGCCATGGACGGACCGCAGCTGTACATTCGTTTTGTCGCCACCACCGGCGACGCCATGGGCATGAACATGGTGTCCAAGGGCGCCGAGATGGCCCTGCGTCGCATCAAGCGCCAGTTTCCCGACATGCAGATCATCTCGCTCAGCGGCAACTTTTGCTGCGACAAGAAACCGGCGGCCATCAACTGGATCAAGGGACGTGGCAAGCGGGTGGTCACCGAGTGCACCATTTCGGCGGCCACACTGCGCTCCGTTTTGAAGACGGATGCCAAGACGCTGGTCGAGTGCAACAAGCTTAAGAACATGGGCGGCAGTGCAATGGCTGGAAGTATTGGTGGCAACAATGCCCATGCGGCGAACATGGTCACCGCCGTCTTTCTGGCCACCGGGCAGGATCCCGCCCAGAATGTTACCTCGAGCAACTGCTCCACGGCCATGGAGTGCTGGGCGGAGAACAGCGAGGACCTCTACATGACCTGCACAATGCCCTCGCTGGAGGTTGGCACCGTAGGCGGCGGCACCGGGCTGCCCGGCCAGAGTGCCTGTCTGGAAATGCTCGGCGTGCGAGGAGCACACGCCTCGCGGCCAGGCGACAATGCCAAGAAGCTGGCCCAGATCGTCTGCGCCACGGTCATGGCCGGCGAACTGAGCCTGATGGCCGCGCTGGTCAACAGCGATCTAGTCAAGAGTCACATGCGTCACAATCGGTAAGTTGATTTGGTTATGGATTGCCTTCTAATCAGGCTATAGAGAGAGAAGTTATATGTGCTACATGATTTAAAACGGTTACGTTTAACTATTAATAACAAATAATCTTCACCATTCAATAATATAGAAAAAATACAAATGTTTTGCTTTAATCATACAATTTTTATTTTATACATTTCCGGATAGTTTTGTTTATGCATTGACAATAATCAAATCTAAGAAAAAATTACAAATTTGAATTCAAAATCTTATTCATTTATAAGTTGTTTCTAATGTCTTTATCTGAACATTACAAGATATTAATTTGAATCAATTCAATATCAATTTTTTAAGAAATACAAATTGTAATAGTAATCTTTAAGTGGATATTTTGATTCTTGCCATTTCAAATTTGTATAATAAGCCGTTTCGATAAAAAAAAAAAATATGGAGTCATTCTAGTGTTTCCAACTATCCCTACTAATTACTAAATATAATTAAAAAAATCTAAACTTAAATTTCCTTCACTTTTCTTTGCAGCTCCTCCATCGCCGTGAGCAGCGCCAACAATCCTCTCAACGTGACCGTGTCCAGCTGCAGCACCATTAGCTAAGATTGGGCGTCCCAGGGGCGCCGACTTCTACCCTTTTGTACATAGAGTCTCTTAGCGGGCAGGCCAGGCGTTGCAACTCATTTCTTTAGGTGTTACCTTGTAGTTGACTGTTTCACAAATTGCTTGATAAATAACCAACCTGATTGGCCTGGCCAAGGAACCGAACAGCAAGCAGCGTCCTCCTCCAGAGCGGCGTATCCTTCCAAGCCAATGCTGGGAGCGTAGGCTGGGATGATCCGTATCCACTGTGGCTGCTACTTCCAACTTAGATTGTATGTTTTGTCATAATGCTATTTTTTTCTACCTATATAACTAAATACTGAACGAAGATCCCTTGGAATCGCCTCCAGATGCCAGCCAAATGGAGCTATGACCAGGATTCGTGCAAGCGCTGAACTTGTAAAAAGTATTTCCTAAGCGAAAAGTAGTACGTAGGGTTTATATAGTGACTAAATTAAAACGTTTAATTAAAGCGAACATGATCGATATCGATATCTTAATTTCTGTTTTCGTTTTTAACAAAAAAAAAAAGTATAAACACAAAGCGTAATGGATAAATGTCTTTTGTAGACGCTGCTCACGGGTTTACAAATCAGCACTTCATTTATTTTATTTTTAATAATAATAATTATTAATAAATTATTATAATTAATTTATAATAATTCACGGCTTCTTTTATTAATTAGTGTGGTTGTTGTGTTTTTGTGTGTTTTGTTTTCGTTTTTCTTCATGTATGATTCGTATAAAAAGAACAAGAGCGAGCGGCGGTGGCGGTTAATTCTGATCAGTGGATTCCTTGGCCTCGGCCTCGGCATCCTCGCCGCCCTCCTCGACGGGCGGCACACGGACATCGGCACTGCTGTCTGGCTGGACGAGCACCTTCTTGGGACTCGGCCCATAACTGTCCGCCTCGGCGGAAATGGCACCCGACGGCCCCGGAGCAGCGTCCTCATCCTCGTCGTCGTGGGTCGTCGACTCCGGCTGCAGGCTTGCCGCAGCTTCGGAGGCCACACCGTTTTTCGTTTCCTCCACGGTGCACTCCTCGGGATGTGAGAGCTTGCGCTTAGCGATCCGCTCGCTGAGCGCCTTGTGTAGCTGGCCAATATCCGCCGGTCGGCCCATTGCCAGGAAGATCTTGAGTACACCGGAACTGTCGATGGCCGTGAGGCGAAGTGACTTTTGGCTGGCCCGCTCCACTACCATGGCGGCCCAGACTTTGGTGTTGAGCAGCAGGCGCAAGTTGCCGGAAGTGCGGAAGACCACGCGCGAATCGCCGCGCCCGTCCTTGGCGTCGTTGAGGCGCAAGCTGCCGCGACCGCGCTCCTCCCAATTGCTGTTAATAAAAGCGAACAACTTGCAGCTCACGTCGATGATGTTGATCTCGTCCTCTTCGCCGGTGAAGGTCTCCACTTCCTCGTATTTGCGCTTCTGGGCGCGGCTCTCCTCGTATTCGCGGGCCACATCTGTGAGGCTCTTGGCCTCCGCGGACTCCTTGTTATTGTTGCTGCTACTGCAGGTGGACGACGAGGCGGCAGCCTCGCTGGTCTCTGTGGTCTGAGCAGCGTTCTGGATGACGCTGGAGAAGAGTAGCTGCGCCGACGACGACGAGGCGGCGGTGGAGGAGGAGGCCGCCTCCTGGGCTGAGCCCGATGCCGAGCTGCCGGCCGTTTCTGCGTCTGGCTCTGCGGCCACGACCTGCTCCGCATTGGGGGCCACCACGCGCTCATGCACGTTCTGGCCGAAGACAAAGCCGCTGGTTTGGACATGAGGCATGTTGTTCTTGGCGGCGGCAAACATGCTGGAGCGTTCAATGCCATTGCTACGCAACTTGGTTAGCGGATCCGGCCGCTCGTCCACCTCGTCGTCGTCGTCCTTGCCGCCGGTCGACTCGGCCGGTACGGAGCCGGTGGCCACCACCACCACATCGTCGTCCTCCTCATCGTCCTTGCCCTCGCGCAGGAAAGGATTGTTGCTTAGCAGGGCGCTGTCATCGCCGCCGGCCAGCGATGTGGTGGTGGAACTATTGCCGGAGCTACTGCTGTTCGCCAGCACCGCCGGACGGAGGACGGCTCCGCCCAGGCGAGAAGCCTTCAAGGTGAAGCCACCTCGGAAACAGTTAGTTTCGACCGACGCTTCTGGGGAAAGAAAAAAACAAGATTCGGATGTCAGCTTATGCAGCTAGTTTTTACAAAAAAGTAACTTTTCTTCTTTTGGCCATACAACACCGAGTAACGCCCAGGGCCAAAGCTTAACACTTACCATTGTTTTCCGACATTGCAAACTTTGCTATTTGCAATTTGTGAATATATAAATTGCCAAATCTTTTCCAGAAAAGAGCGTTCTGAAGCCTGCCGAACTGTTATCGCTGTTTTATCGCCTGTCGCACCTATCGATAGGCCGTATTACCACAAGCTCGCTCACCAACACTGGCGGTTAGTGTTGCCCACTTGCCGCTGAAAAAACAAGAAATTTACAAGTCATCGACAGAGTGTTGTGTCAAAAAAGATCGGCAATTACTGCATTTAAACAAAGAATATTAAATTTACCAAGAGCAGGCAAACGGATCTTTAGACATGGCTCAGACTCTGGAAGACAAATCGATCTGGGAAGACGGCGAGGAGTCGCTGGGCGAGGAGGTGATGCGTATGTCCACCGAAGAGATTGTGAGCAGGACTCGCCTGATGGACAACGAGATCAAGATCATGAAAAGCGAGGTGATGCGCATTACGCATGAGATCCAGGCGCAGAATGAGAAGATCAAGGACAACACTGAAAAGATTAAGGTAATATTTCAGAGAAACTTTCGGTCCACCGGTATTCATATCTAATCGGTAATCCATAGGTGAACAAAACGCTGCCCTATCTGGTGTCCAATGTGATAGAGCTGCTGGATGTGGATCCTCAGGAGGAGGAGGACGACGGCTCCGTCACTGTGTTGGATAACCAGCGGAAGGGCAAGTGCGCAGTCATCAAAACATCTACACGACAAGCCTACTTTTTGCCTGTCATCGGACTGGTGGACGCCGAGAAACTTAAGCCCGGTGATCTAGTTGGTGTTAATAAGGATTCGTACTTGATCCTAGAAACCTTGCCCGCAGAGTACGATGCCCGCGTCAAGGCCATGGAGGTGGACGAGAGACCCACAGAACAGTACTCCGATATCGGTGGCTTGGACAAGCAAATTCAAGAACTCATCGAGGCAGTGGTCCTGCCCATGACTCACAAGGAGAAGTTTAAGAACCTTGGCATTCACCCGCCTAAAGGTGTGTTACTAATACTCCTTAATACTAATAATACTCCTTAAAAGGTTTCCCATAAAAATTATTCTTTCTCTTTTCAGGTGTTCTTTTGTACGGCCCTCCAGGAACTGGTAAAACTTTACTGGCCCGTGCCTGCGCCGCTCAGACCAAGTCCACCTTCCTCAAGCTTGCGGGTCCGCAGTTGGTCCAAATGTTTATTGGTGATGGCGCCAAGCTTGTGCGTGATGCCTTCGCTTTAGCCAAGGAAAAGGCGCCGGCTATTATCTTTATCGATGAGTTGGACGCCATTGGCACCAAGCGCTTCGATTCGGAGAAGGCCGGCGACCGTGAGGTGCAGCGAACCATGTTGGAGCTGCTGAATCAGTTGGATGGCTTCAGTTCTACGGCGGACATCAAGGTCATTGCAGCCACCAATCGTGTAGACATTTTGGATCCGGCTCTCCTGCGTTCTGGTCGTCTGGATCGAAAGATCGAGTTCCCGCATCCCAACGAAGAGGCGCGTGCCCGCATCATGCAGATCCATTCGCGTAAAATGAACGTTAGTCATGTCAATTTCGAGGAGCTCTCCCGATCGACAGATGACTTCAACGGCGCACAGTGCAAGGCCGTGTGTGTGGAGGCCGGCATGATCGCCCTGCGCCGTTCCGCCACTTCGGTCACGCACGAGGACTTCATGGATGCGATCATGGAGGTGCAGGCGAAGAAGAAGGCTAATCTTAACTACTACGCTTAGACTAGAAATTTGCAGTTTAACTACACATTGTCCGCTCCCATTATAATAAACCATGGAAATTTAACATTTATCAGTTATAATTTTACGCTAATGAATTAAAGGGATTTGAAAGGACATGGTAACCTTATACTCCTTTTCAGTAAAAAAACAAATAAAAATGAAACTACTTTATTCTATTTTCGAAAAGGGCTGTACTAAACTTTTTTAGTTTTGGTCGGCAACTTACCCCAACAAAAAATAAACAAAAATATATATGTATCAAATGTCGATCGATTCATTGGTTTATCAGTACAACATTTACAATCTGATCTGAGTAGGATATTTTTTAAATATCTAAAAAGGTCGGTTTCAGAATTATTAAAAAATATTAAATCGGGCGAAATTAGATGATAAATATTTACACGCACACTAATTAACCTAGAGGGATGATTAACCAATTCACTAAGACTAGTCAGTAGGATCGAGTGTGTTGGCGCCATCCGGCGCCGCAGATGTTGAGCTACTGCCGCCCGGTGACGCTGCACCAGCATTGGCTGCAGTCGTTCGCGCAGAGGAGGACGTAGTAGCCGCAGGAGTGGCAACGGAGGCTGTGGTCGCGGCGCCCACTGCGACCTCACCGTCGACTACTCCGGCTGCAGCTGCTGCTTCAGCCCCCACTGGCGCCAGATTGACCGGCGCGGCAGCAATGTCATCTGCAGCTGGCTGCTGGGCCGGCTGATCCTGTTGCTGAACCGGGCGTCTCATATACATAATGATACCCAAAAGAAGAGTTAAGAAGGTTATCATGTACAAATCCCAATTGGCAGCGATATTTTCATCCATGTAGAAGATAAACCTGTAAGGTGACTGATGGAGAAAAACATTTTAATGTAGTCTACATATTATACAAAGAACTATTTCCACTTACTTCCTTTATTGATTCAATTTTAGCCAGTATTTGCAGCTTGAAAAGTGCAATAGCCACCGGGACCTTGGCATCCGAGTTGGTCTCGGCTGCCAAATCATATAATCTCTTAGCCAGATGCCAGTCTTTCTTCATGCCCAGCCCCTGTTCGTGCATGTAGCCCAGGTTGAACATAGCCTGCGCATTATACTGCTGCTCTGAAGCTTTCCTGTGGATTTAAAAAGTTTAAAAGTGGTGTTAACACTCTGGAATTCATAACAAACCGACCTGTAAAGAGCGGCGGCAGTCTCGAAGTCCGTGGACGTGCCCCAGCCGTAATAATAGTAGTCGCCCAGCTTTACTTGGGCTGCGGAGTAACCCTGTCCGGCTGCCCGTTTCCAGTAGTAAAAGGCGCGAATCAAATCTTCGTGTCGATCGTTAAACACATGCACCTCCTCGCGATCGAGTAAAAAGGCGGCATTGCTCTGGGCCACTTCGTAGCCGACTTCAGCCATCAGCGAATATTGCATATAAGCCTCGTCGATGCGGTTCTTCTTATAATCACTGTAGGCGTGCATCAGTCGGCTGCTCCAGCGTCCTCGTTCTGAGACGGTCTTGAAGAACTGGAAGCAACAAATATGAAACCAGTTACTAGCTGATTAACATTTTAAGTGCGTAGTAAACTTACTTCTACCGCCGCTGGACACGAACGTAGCATTCCCATGCCATAAGCATTCATCACTCCTAGATTATAGTAAGCTAAAACATGGCCTGATTGGGTAGCCAGGTTAAAATACTTGAGGGCCAGTTTGTAGTCTGTTTTTACGCCATTGCCAGCTAAAAATCAACATTTATAATATTTTCAAAATCATAAAGAAAAACTTTAGTAAGGGAACATTACGTTTTTTTAAATGGTTTCTTAAACTTACTGAAATACATGTTTCCCAACTGCAGTTGTCCATCCACCCATCCTTGATCGGCAGCCTGCGTGAAGTAAGACAAAGCCTTGATGGAATCCTTCGGCACACCCAAACCCTTCAGGTACATGAGACCCAATCCGCTCTGACCCACTGGATCACCCATTTCAGCGGCCTTGGAGAAGTACTAAATGTCGAAATCCAAAAAAAGAAATTAGCAGAGAATAAATAACTGTTATCAATGTCATTCCTACCTTTAATGCGGTTTCATTATCTGCCTTGATTTGCTCACTTCCCTCGAGATAAAGCTTGCCCAGAAAAGCGAAGCCAATCGCATTGCCTGCATTAGCCGCCTGGGTAAAGTACTCCAAAGCCTTCTGGTGATCTTGCTCAGTGGCCTTGCCGCCCTGGTAATACAGCTGGCCCAATCCAACCTGTGACTGGACGTCTCCTTTGTCGGCTAGCAGTTGGTAATAGTCCACAATCTCAGTTTCATGGCTGCCGGGGTTTTCCAGCTCGTCTAGCAATCGCACGCGATGCACAACTGGACCGTTAGCAAAAGTGATCTTGGAGGCTACCTTCTTGGCTACTCGCTTGTACTGAATCAGCGCTTTTTCGCAGCTGATGGGCACATTGATGCCGTACAGATAACGATAACCTATGGCCATCTGGGCCAGAGTGTTGTCGCCAAGAGCGGCCATCGTGTAGTGGATTAGGGCGAGCGGTTGGCTCACGTTCTTGCCACCCACGCCCGCCGAATAGAGGAATCCCAGTCCCATGTGTGCCTCTGGAACACCCTCGTTGGCCAGACTCTCGAACTCATCAGCAGCGTGGTTGAAATCAAAGTCAATCCAATGACCCAGAAGGACGGCCCATGCTAGTTCCGCCCGAGCCTTGAGATGATTGAAGGCAGCAGCCTTTTTCAGCAAGGTGAAGGCCACTCGCTTGTCCGTGTGCGGTTTGGCCAGCATGTCCATGGCGTTATCGTACATGGTTTGAGCTAAAAGTAAAGGTTTATACCAAGCAAAAAAAAATGAAAGAAAATGTCATACCTTCAATTTGCTCCGGAGTCAGTTCCACCACCTCAGTGGGCTGACGTTTAGCTTCGATTCGCTCGATCTCGGCCTTCAGCTTTTGCTGCCTCATTAGACTATCGTTCCAGAGCCGTTCAAGCAGGGCAGCAGGCATGACCTTTGTCCTTGGTGAAGCCTCAGTCGAGTCCTTGGGCTTGCCCGCCTTGCGCTCGTTGCTTTCGGCTGGAGTCCTTGACTCTGACTCTGCCGTGGTCACATCCTCGGCCTCTGCCTGAGTGGAGGGCTCGTTGGGCAGCGTGGGCGTGGCAGTGCCCGTACCCAAACCCGTTGCTGTACCCGTTCCCGTTCCGGTGCCAGTTCTCAGTCCGTTTTCGGTACTGCTGCCAGTGGCATCTGTGTTGGGCCCCTGAAGCTCCTCAGCCCGCATCTGCCAAGCCAGATGCAGCACCAGCAAGCACATCCAACTGTTGACCTTCATTGTCTTGTTTTGGCAATGTAGACCAATAAATTCCAACGATAATTTCGGTCGGTGGTCTATCAGCAGGTCTTCCACTTCTGACGTGTTGTGTTATTTACTTCCTCCTCGGAACGCAGAGCCAGTGGAGAGATTGAATGTTTTTTATTTGGTGCGATCGTTCGAGCTTAACGCTGGCTCATTTTAGCCACCTTGGCTTGGTGGTTGGAATGCCTCGGCTGTCTTTCCCTAATTTTTCACACGTAAGATTCTTTTTTAATTTTTTTTGTTGCAATGTTTATAGTGCTGCGAACGTGCTGAGGTTTATTGGCCAGTGTTGCAAGTCACCGCATCGAAAACAGACGTATGTAAGGGCGTCGTGAAAGAATTTATAGGGGTCACGGCAGGAAAATATTACATTAAAAATGGTTCGCAGGACTACAGCAAAAAATAGATTTAAATTTTAGCTACAGCTTTCACTTCAAACATTGAACTAATTTAATTAATTTTTTAATTTATTTATACAAATTTATTTGTTATCTAAACGGCCTTACATAAACTAACCCAAAATTCAAATAAATATTAATCAGTCAAGTAAGTCTTTTATTATTTGTAAGTGCAATTTATCAAAACTTATTTTTGCACATCCAGTTGTTAACTTTGTCAATACCTTATTTTATATTTACATACAATTTTAATATTAGATTTTTATATAATTTTGTAAACTTAGGAAGATTGTATACAATTTCTTTTATCAAAAAATTTGAAAATAAGCTAGGCAATTGATTCATGCCACCTGCGATTAAATAATTCTGCAACCTGTAGACTCGATTCGTTTTTAATAACCCCTCTTCTGGATTCTACGCTAAAGCTTCCGATAGCCGCAGCTACGCCCATGCGCTTATGCCTGTTGTTTCGTTATGCAAAGGAACGCTACAGCTTTACAGAAGTGATTTGAAATAAAAGCTGTTGACGTGCGACTGGAGGTGATAATTTCCGAGCTGGACTAATTAGAATACGAGGAAGGTCTGCGGCCCGTGAATCACTCACTTTTGTCTCCATCAATCCCGCCAGTCAGCCACTGAGCAGCCGGCATGGAGATGAGTGTAAGTAGCAAGTAGCAAGTAGTGCCCTGCGTGCCAGACACCCAGGCCCAAAACCCAAAATCCAAAACCGAAACCAGTTCCAAGCCGCGCTTCAACCAAGTCAGTCGCACTGCGAATCAGTATTTAAGTTAGACCGCCAGCGCTGGTGAAAGTTACACAGCTGTTGCGTTTGCCTCCTGGCAAACCACTCTCCCTTGAAACTCACCTGTTTCTTCCCGATCCTTCAACGATCTCCTCCTGACATTCCAGGCCGCCATGTTTGCGCGTGTATCCTTCTACCCCACCCTCCTGTACAATGTCCTGATGGAGAAAGCGTCCGCCAGAAATTGGTACGATCGTATTGACGAGCACGTTATACTGGGAGCCCTGCCCTTTCGCAGCCAGGCCAATGACGTAAGTAGTTGACATTACAAGCCATGAGTCCATATAAATCCTAGTTTAAATCTCCAGCTCATTGCCAAAGAGAACATGAAGGCGGTAGTGTCGATGAACGAGGACTACGAGCTGACCGCCTTCTCCAACAACACGGAGAAGTGGAGCAAGTTGGGCATTGAGTTCCTGCAGCTAGCCACCACCGATATTTTTGAGTCACCCAACCAGGAAAAATTATTCCGCGGTGTGGAGTTTATGAACAAGTTCCTGCCCCTAAAACAGAGGATTGGCGGTCTGAGTTCCTCTCACTTGCCGGAGAACGTGGGCTCTGTCTATGTACACTGCAAGGCAGGCAGGACGCGAAGTGCCACTTTGGTGGGCTGTTACCTTATGATGGTGGGTTAAACACAATCGCCAATGAACTTCCTTATTATTAAGGCCTGTTTTCTTTACAGAAAAACGGATGGACGCCGGATCAGGCCGTGGACCACATGCGCCAGTGTCGGCCACACATTCTGCTGCACACCAAACAATGGGATGCCCTCCGGTTGTTCTACACAAACAATGTGCAGGCCAAGTCATGACGAAAACCCGGACAATAGCCAAAATTTATTGCTGACAATATATTACCATACGTAACAAAAGGTGGTGCTGCCTGTTACCCAACTATTTTAGTGCTGATTTTCTTGTTGAATATACAATTTTCTACAAACACGAAAATATGCATATACTTTATACAATTGTTTATTTACTGCTTATCGCGAAACTATGAATAAATAACTGGTGTTTCGTGGTTCGTCAACTGCTTGCTCTCGACGCTTAAGCCTTCTTCTCGGCATCCTTTCCCTTGATGGCCCAGAAGCGTTTAATACCATTGGCCAGGCCAACGTCGTTCTGGATGTAGTAGAAAAGACCGCCCAGTGTGGCCACCGAAATGATGATCAGCGCAATGTGAGCCACTTTGGGCAGAACGTTGCCCACAACCGAGGGTCGCATGTAGTCCACCACCATGGCCTCAACGCCCCTGTAAGTTGAAAAAAAGTCTTATTTAAAAAAAAAATGTTTGAAAATAATTATTGTCGAAAATGTTCAGAACATCTTACCAATGGGTGTGGATGACGACGGAGACGGCCAGGAGAGCATCCAAAACCTGGGATGGTGCGATGAAAGCAGCTGGGATCACAGCAAGCAAACCGGCGGACACCACGCGCTCCACGGTCCACAGGAGGGTGTGACTCGATCCGGCAGCGGCCATGCGCGGTGCACTCACGGAGATTTCGCGCACAGTTGGCTGCAAAAGCAGGAAGGGATTGGCATGAGCTCTGACGCCTTCTCCCAAATACCCAGCACACTAAACACTTACCGCAGCAATCTTGGCCACAGCCAGGGGCTGAACCACAGCCTTTCGCTGGGCATTGGCCACCAAGGTGGAGTAACTCTTCAGGGGCGTGATCCGGGCCGCCTTAACAAGATTTGCGGCTAATAGCGGATACCAACAAACGGTTTGGTTATATAATAAAAGCTGTTTTTCGGCAAATATTCGGGTGAATGTCTAACCAGTGGGTCCTTACCATTGCAACGGGCAGCGCCACGCAGGACCAGCGAAAGGGACATGTTTGGATGTGTGAAAATTGAGAATTTTCAACTCAAAATAAAAATTCTATTGCTCCGTGAGACGTTTGGGCCGAATTGTCTAAGAAATTAACCAGCACTGAACGTAGAGTTGCCAGCTGTCTGCGATTCAATAAGTGTTATCGACGTACAGTAAAGGTCAATATATTAGCATGGTAAATTAATTTAAGAAAATTAACAAATTAAATAATAAAGACGAAAAATAGTAAAAAGATATTTAAGTATATGAATTTTATTTTAATTGTTTTCTCTATAGAACACAAAAATGTTTATAGTTTAAGTGATTTATTTATCTGCTTTAATTACTTGCACAAAACATTTGAGATTCATTTGGGACGGAATGGCTGTTACAAAACACAAATAAAAATGGTCTTACTCACTAACTTTAAAATTTGCCTAATAATTCGAAAATCGTAATTTAAGGCACGCAGTTATTCCTAAAAGTTACTTGACATTGGATATAAATTTGTAAATTTCGTTGGATGGAATTATTAAAAATACTTTGATCTTAAAGAGCTACTAAACTTTTGATTAACGCACAGGCCACGATCACGAGGCCAGTAAGTTTCAATTCGAGTGTCGCTGCTCCTGCTCGGTAAAAGTCCCAATCAAAGACGATGTTGGAGGCGTCCGATGGCTTCCACGGGTTCAGACCGTCATCAAAGTACATGGGACAGTCGTCACGCTCTCTTTCGTACTCCACGGCATCGATGGCGACTGCAGCGCCCTCCGTATGATTCCACGAGGTCACGTCCTGCTCCAGTTTACAGAAGGCACCCACAGCCTGCGACATCAGGACCCGATTAAGGTCGGCGCGTTGATAGACCCAGCAGCGGTACTTGGAGAGCGGATCCAGATCGTCGTAGGTTATCAGGTAGGACTTCAAGTTCTCCTTCCAGAAGCCTATGCACTTCATGCGGTAATCGGGATCGCTGTAGATATCCACAGGCACTCCCAAGTGATCCACGGACAGGCAATAGTTTTCATCCACCGCCAGTTCCTTTTGATCGGTGTCGCAAACTGATAAATCAGAAATGTTCTGCTTGCAATGGATATCCGGACGGGGACTCAGGGTGACACCACCAAGAATTCTGTACGGAAAGGTAAGGGTATTAAAAAATATTGAATGCTATTAATTAAATGAATTACAAACCTTGTTCTGAAGGGATGCTCTCCTCTCTGTGTAAAATTAAATTTACCCGCAACGGGACACCGAACTGGCACAGGATTCCTTGCCAAAAACAGGTCGTATTTCCAGGCCTCGGCATTAGGGAACTGAACCCACGAGCAGACCGTGCTGAAATCGTCCTTAATCACGGCCAATCCCTTGCGGTAACGAATAATGTTGTGGTGGCGAGGCATAAAATCAAAGCACACATAATCCTTCTGGCAACCATCGACGGTCAGGCGGGCCATCATGACACGATTTCCACGGCGTTCGCGGCACACATAGATCGTCTTGCGGTAGCGGGCCTTGTCAGGATAGTAGGTCTCGTTGATGTGCGTCTCACTGATCGAGACATCGGCGTCGATGTTGGCAGTATTCACCCACTCGCCGCTAAAATTTTGAGGCAGCGTGCAGCCCGGTTCCACGAACTCTGCCTTGACTGGCGTCAACTTTAGACGCTCGGGCGATGTTTCTGGTGTCTTAAGCGTATTGCACTCGGCAGTAATGGAAACACCCACATATAGATCGTCGTCACGATTCTTGAGGAAGCAGCGGTACTTCTCGTCCTTACGCGACTCCTTTGTATTGGCCACCGCAAAGTAGTGATTCTTGCCAACAAACCAATCGCCGAGGCAGCTGAACTCCACGGTGCCGGTGAATGTACCTTCCATGCCCTCGCACTGCTGGTAGGTGACATTGAACTTCTGATTCTGGATAAGAAACTGAGTGCCCGCCGTTTGGCAGGACTGAATGCGAGCATCAGGCTTATCGCACACGCCTGTAAACCGAAAACGATTCTGAAAAAATGTAATTTCGGAATTTGATTAAAAATGTTTTTGTTTTTATCTTAGGAAGAAAAATACAGATTATTTTTGCGTTCCAAACTAACCTGGTAAGTGAAATGCCAGACGCCCTCCAACGAGGAGCGGCAATTGATCGGTACGAAGTTCTCGTTAAAGAGTGTGATGAGCTGCTGGTCATCATTCAATCCGCGACACACATAATCGACTGTGGGCTCCTGGCCATCTGGAATGCCCACACAAGGACCTTCGAACTTTTCGAACACATTCAGGGTGCGGATAATGGTCCGAACGCAGTGGTAGCAGTTCTTGGAGCGCTCCTTAAAGACGAACGAGTATTCATCGCCCTTGTGGCGGCTATAGTTGATGCAGTATCCACGACTGGACATCGAGGTTGCATCGATAACAGTCAGCGTGGGCAAGCCCGTTTCCCAGGAGAACCACGATCCCTGCAGGATCTTTGGAATCACGCAGTGGTCCTTCTGTATTAGGTTGTACTGGCCGAGAGCTGGAAATAGAGGCGGGTTAATTTCGGATGGCCAATTCATATGATTCACTTAGAGCCTTGGGTGTGGCTTGGGAATCAATTGACTGACCTGAACCCAGGCAGCCCGCCAGACAGATAACACCCAAGTATAATTGCATTGCGAGTGTTGTGTCTTTTGAACTAACAATTAAACATAGTTTTTCACAATTTAAAAATAATTGGACGGAACAATAAACGGTTTAACTTTTTAACAAAACACGCAACAAACACAAGTTGCCAGCAGCCAAGCCGAGTTGTACAACACTGTCAGCTCTATTGAAGCGCCCTTTTCACAACACCGATTAAGATCAGGGATTAAAAGTAATCGATTAATAATCAAAAAACCGGTTCCGTTAAGTTTTGAATTTAAAATATGAAAGAAAATTTTGTAATCTTTTGTACTTACAAATATTTTTGCTAACTTAAAAACCACCAATCGTACCTAAAAACCACTTCAATATTGGTAAATTAAAAAGGTAGCTGTTCGAAAATATTTGTTCTATGCATATACAATAAAATATTACAATATTACAATACATTATGTATACGTATATATATGTATGTATATAACAAATTACTCAAAATTGGCGCGACCGTCGTACAGTTCCGCCGTAGGAAAATCCTATATTATTATAACGCTACTAGCCTTCCTTTACGACACAGCAGCAGACAACAAAGAACTGTAAAACCTTAACCCACCAACAATGATTATCAACAAATTAAACGCTTTACTAATAATGATGTAATCGGAGCGATTTATGTTTCATTTTTTCAAAGGTTTAAAAGTTGTTTACATATGACGTAATCTGTGTCTAGTTTATTGTTCGTATAAGAGAATATTTTATTAAAAATTAGTTGCTTATTATAGTTTATCGGAAATATACAATCTTAAAGCTCTTACTTCTTTTTAATTCTCTAAAGACTGACTTGAGCACTCTTCGGTTCTGGAGGGTTAATGCTGTCTGGATCGGCAGAAACGAGAACATCGACCCGAAGTCGAACGCCCCCGCAATTATTCACCCGATTGCAGTTTGAACCTTTTCGTCACTTGTCCCGAATAAGCACACCAATTCTAGCAAGTATAGCTACTAATCGGGTGATTGATGGTGCGATTATGATCGCGTTTTAGATAGCCCCGGAATGTGATTCACATGCACGGAGTTCCTAAGCTGCAGCACTTATAAAATCGGTTCGAACTTTGGAGCCCCTCACTACTACGAATGGCGTGTTTGCTGATAAGTCGGATGGATCGTCTAGGTGCACGATGTTTGTGCCTCCATCCACTAGAGGAGGCTCCTTATCAGATGGCAAAGGTCAGCCCGAACGGGCAGCATGATCAGACTGTCCGATTCGGAAACGAAGGCTATATGGTGGCAGCTCGATCGGAGGCCTGCCAGTTTCAATTGAGCCGGTGCCAGCAACAGTTCTCTTAGTGATTTCGATTCCAAATCCCCCAGTAAAACCATACAAATGGGTTAGTGACACGCGCTGCCTGGGAAAAAGTTATTCCTCTAACAATTCGATCCTTCGATTCCACATAGCAACTGCAACCAGCGGCAGTGGACTCCATCTGGAGGCCATCGATCGCATCGGATCCATTCCCTTGGTGGAGTCCAGCGTGAAGCGAGTGGAGACCATCTACGACAAAGTCAAGAACAACAATAGGCTATTCTCCTGGTACTTTGAGACTGCCGAGGCCACCATCTCAGCGGCCTACGATACCGTCCAGCCGGCGGTGAAGCTATTCGAGCCTTCAATCCGACGACTGGACACTGTGATGTGCAAGAGCCTTGACATCCTGGAGCAAAGAATACCACTGGTCTACCTGCCACCCGAAATGGTAAGTAGAAATGCGGCCAATGTCCCCCAATTCGCTGACAAAAGGGCATCCTCCTCTCCTTGAAGATGTACTGGAACACCAAGGAGTACATGTCGGATCACCTGGTGCGTCCGGTCCTCAAGCGCGCTGATTCCGTCAAGCAGATCGGAAACGCGGTGCTTGAGAGTCCGCTGACCACCTACGCCGCCGATCGCATCGATGGCGCCTTCACAGTCGGCGACAAGTTCGTGGACAAGTACCTGGTGCCCATCCAAACGGACCAGGATCAGACCGATGGTGAGTCCTTGGGTCGCCTTAATGATATATTGCACTAGGGTGGGTACACAAAAATTGATTCAACAAAATTCAGAGTGATTATAATCTATAACCTATACTACGTATTTTACCTAACATTATTCCTACGAACCTCAATAAAATAACTAAATTATTTATTTATTATTCAAAATTATTGTAGTTCAAAAATTGATTTCGACCCTGGATGGTCATATTCGACCACACATAACGCGAATCTTTGGCCAAAAAAGTTAGTATAAAATAACAGTGAACAAAAAACAATAATTATTTAGTTGTCTACAGTTAAAAAGATTCATTATATTAAGCCCAAAAAAGGCTTAAACATATAATAAAATGAGACACTTTGCAGTTGAATCCAACTATTTGTTAATTGCAATTCTTAATGAGTTAGGCACCATTATAATATATATAAGGTTATATAAAAGGTTAAAAAACTCATTTATTAGAAACACCTTGCACTCCAAAACTAAGTTCTATTGTTTTCAAAACCATACAATGTTATGTAAAAAAGAATTTAAAAAACTGGATTTGACCAACAAGCACATTTTTTTTCTCAGCCTCGAAGCAAACTGATTCACCCTAAGTTGCACCGATCTCATAGTTTATTTTTAAATGCCGACGTTGTCGGGGAGGTTATCTCTTGGGAATTGCAAATTCATTTGAGTCCGCTGCCAGAGAAAGTAGTGATAAGGCCTGGTCGGGATCCGATCCGCCAAGATCCGCTCTCGTGGTTACCCAAATAGAATAACCGAAAAATCAAATTCGCATGGAGATGGGCACTCACACATTCTAAATATCCGCTTTGCAGCTCCGCAGGAGGATGATAACGAGGCGGTACCCAATGAACGGGGCGCCCTCAAGGCGATCCATCACGGTCAACGATTCTCCCGCAAACTGAAGCGCCGACTCACCCAAAGAACCATCGCAGAGGCGCGCGCCCTTAAGAAACAGAGCAAGGAGGCGATCCATGTGCTCATCTATGCCGCCGAACTGGTCAGTACTTCCGAAATATATATTATCTTTTTAGGCAACTTAGGGCCTAGACCCTTAACTTTAAAAAAAATCTAAGACACATCCACATTAAAATAGAGTAAAATTTAACAATAAGATTTTCTAAAATTTTTATTGAAATGTTAAATAATATTTCCACAGATTGCCACCGATCCCAAGCAGGCTGTTCAAAAGGCCAAGGAACTGTGGGTGTATCTCAGTGCAGATGAGCCCGAAAATCAGGCCAGACCCGCCACTCTGGAGCAGTTGATAGTGCTCCTTACCCGTGAATCGGCCAGACGAGTGGTGCATCTAGTGAACTTCAGTGCCAATGTGGCGGCCAATATTCCCAGGTTTGTTAAGCGCAGAGAACCGACTAAAGTTTTAAACTAAAAACTATATTATTCGCACAGAAACCTGGCGCACACGACCACAGAAGTGGCCCACCAAATCGTGTACATCAACAACCGCATTATCACAATATCCGGTCTGGAAAAGGTGAAGTCCTTATCCAAGGAAGAAGCTGAATCTCTCTTCAAGCGCATGCTGGCCTTCTACGGCAGTCTGCAGGGTCTGACAAACGCCTACCTGGTAAAAAAGAATTTAAATTCTTAACGGAAAGATAATTAATATTTAAAAAATGGTTTCATACAGGAACGCGTTGCAAGCTTTCTTTCCGGACGCATGGAAGCCGAGAAGGTGACGGGCAGTGATAGTTCGAATTCAAACCACAGGTCTTCGCGGAGAAGGCAGGAGCCGAACCATTACCCAGCCGCCCACAATAACATCAACGGCGTCTACTAGCATTGAATTCTTTATTGCGATCGTATTCTTATTTCTTATGATAGAGTTCTGTTTCTCCGTACACATACGGAAAACTCAGTAAACGATATTGTACATCTTTTTTTACACAACGCATTTGCTAATAATATACATAAGATCAATATCATATTTGATTCTCCTTTTTTTTTTTGCAAAAGGGAAGGAGATGCGGGTATAACTTTCATTCATTAAAATAATAATGAAGATCGTCCCGGCAAACGGTGTTCTGTTAATTGCCGCGGATCTGCGTTTGGATTATGTCCCTCAAAAGCAATTTTAAATGATTTTATACATTTTATACGTTTAATATACAACATTAAATTAAAGTAGGTTGAACACTTGCATCTACCAACTAAGATTATGTATACAACAATTAAATTATATATAGAAACAATCTTAAGTTAATAAGGCAACGATAAATCTCAAGATCTGTTCAAATTCTACCTAAAAAAGGTTAGCTTTGTAGTACTTGAGTTCACTGATGCTCTCCAGAATGTCATCCAGGCTGCGATGTGCGAACACCTTTTGTGGAGCGGCCATCACGACGTCGGGACGCCACCGCTTGGCCAGTTCTTTAATGGTGGACACATCCACTATGCGGTAATGCAAGTACTCATCCACCAAAGGCATATATTTTCGAAGGAAAAGTCGGTCCATGTAGACGGAGTTTCCGGCCAGGGGACAAGCACGTTTAGGGATATTCTTCTCCAAAAAGGACAGAATCAGATCGGATGCCTGTTCGGGCTTGACTTCTGAGCTTTTACATCGGTCCACCAGACCGGATTCATAGTGATGCTTCATGCACCATTCGTTCATGGAGTCGTACACATTCTGCGGGTGATTTATGGCGAAGCAGGGACCCTCCGACCTTACGTTCAAGTCCTTGTCCGTGATGATGCAGGAAACTTCGAGGATTTTATCCTTTTCTATGTCCAACCCGGTCATCTCCAAGTCCATCCACACGATGTCCGTGTCCGAGCCACGAACGCTCTGACTGCTGCTCATTCTGCCCGGGCAATAGGAAGTGGGGTAGTTTTGAGTTCCAATAACCCTGCGACTTAAAAGCAGTCCCAGGCGTTGCAGTTGAGAAAGCATTTACTGTTTTCACTGCGGGGTAATTGTTCCTTAAGTGCAAAGTTACGCGGGCACCATGTGTCCCATAACTCTTTGATCAAATACCACGGTTATATGGTTTAATGTGACATTTTACAACACTCAACAAAAAATTAGGGGAACTCAAGATAGTTTAGCTCAATAAGCAAACTAATAAAAATAAGATTAGCAATAAAAGTTATCTACAAATATGTTATTTGTAAAATTAAACGGTAATACGTAAACCTAAAGTATCTTTTTAAAAATCCATAGTAGCCTGATAACAACTTTCAGTAGAGCCCCTTTACCTGGCGGTAATTTGAAAGCAAACCGATACGGTCCCACCCCTGACTCCATAACAGCACTTTCCAGCACTGCTGTGCTGTACAGACCTTGCATTTTTATAAAAATTTTGTTGATAAGAAAAACGCAAAAGCGTTGCTAGTGTCTCAACATGTCCTCCTCATCAAATAAGGATCAACCAGGAACATCCCAGGACACGTTCGAGGACTTCTACTCAGAAGTAAGTGTGGCTGGCGGAATCGCATTCTCAGTTTTCAACTGAGCCTGGCGCCTCCCTTTCCAGCCGCTCTAACTAAACTAACTATTATTATTATGTACGCTTGAGTAAATGTTTTTGTGCCTATATTGCAGGTGAAAGAAATTGAAAAACGTGATTCAGTTTTAACTCCTTCTCAACAAATTGATCGTTTACTTCGTCCAGGTTCAACGTACTTCAATCTCAATCCGTTTGAGGTGCTCCAAATCGAGCCCGAGGTCGAGGTGGCGGACATAAAAAAGCGCTACCGAACCTTGTCGATCCTCGTCCATCCAGACAAGAATCCCGACAACCAGGAGCGCGCTCAAATGGCATTCGATATTGTGTCGCGTTCCTGGAAGATCCTGGAGAACGAACTCACGCGCAAAAGGTGCCTGGAGGTGTACGAGGAGGCAAAGGGCCGAACGGATCAAATGGTGAGTCCCTAGACCTCAATCCCCACTCAAACTCAGGAGTTTAAAGCCAGCCAGTACATCCACAGAAAGAAACTTATTGTGTTATCTCTGTGGGAGATGCATATTCTATTTTTACGCAACCAACTTTAGTTCCTACTAAAATTGTATAAAAACTTATTTCAAACAAGAAATAACTTTTTGTCATTTAATTGAGATTTTACATTTAACTAAAAATTATTATTTATCAATGTAAATCTTTTCTTTGCTTTTTAGATTGCGGAAAAGAGAAAGAAACTCAAAAAGGAGGGTCGGCCTACTGAGCCAATACCCGAGGATGATCCCACCAAGTACAAACATGCGATCTACGTGATGGTCATGAAGCTGTTCGCCGACATGGAGCGACGGAGGCAAAAGCTTGACCAGCGCGACCAGGAGGAGCGCAAGCGGAAGCGCGAAACAGAGATCGAGGAGGAGGAGCGCGTCAAGGCGGACCGCGAGTGGCAGCAAAACTTCGAAGAATCGCGCCAAAGTCGCGTAAACAGCTGGCATGACTTCCAGTCAAACGCCGGAAAGTCGAAAAAGGCCAAGAAACAAAAACATATGACCGGCATGATGGTTCCCCCGAAATTCAAACCGGAGTCGCGATAATATTGCTTCCCAGCGCGGCGCAGCACCTCAAATTCTCGCCAGACCACCTCCGCCTCCCCGCGTCGCGTTGCACATAAATATTTTTACGATTTTTTATAAGTATCCTTTGGAATTGTAATTGACACGTGCATAATGTATAGATGTAAGAAATCACATTTCTGTCTTGTCTTTCTTCTCATGTTGGCTGGGCCAGCTTCGTTTTAATTACAGTTCTGTGTACAAGGATGCGGTGAACACAATGTCACGCTTGATGGCCGCCGAAGCCTCCTCCATCTTGGATTGCAGTCCAGGATTGCCGATTCGTATGGCAGCAGTTTTCACATCGCGCAGGGTTTCGTCCAGCTGTTGAATGCAGCGCACAATGATGCCCTCTTGCACTTCAGTAAGCTTCATAATCTCAGCAAATGGCTATGGATGTGGACAAAAGTGTATAAATAATGATAAATTACAAAAAAACTGGGTCAAACTCACCTTGTTTCTAGCCCATTCGTAGACCACTTCGAGCAGTCCGAAGTTTAAACGATTCTCCGAGTTGATTGCAGCTTGGAGGGGTTGTTCCACAGCCAAAATAGTATCGTTAATCTGCTCAAAGGCCGCCACGCACTTTTTCAGCGGCTCTGGTATGACCGGATCGCCTTGGATCTTCGCCTGGAATACTAGACCAGAAAGCAGGGCGGCAATCTCAGCCGGCTCGAGATCGTTGAACATGTTGCACAGGATTAGCTCGGTAATCAGCAGCTCATTCTGACCCATTTCACAAGCCACTTTGCCCTTCAGCGTGACCTCGTCCAGTTCATCAATGTACTTTAGGTCCCGAAGCACTTGCAACTTGTTGCAGTAGTCCGGATAGAGAGTTAGGTTCTTGGCAGAGTTCTTGAAGCGTAGCTCCTCGATGTGGATCTCAAGCATGCGGCGCTCGTAGACCTTAGCAAACTCCTGCTCAAAGCCGGCGATGTTGGTGTGCGGCAGGAATTCGCCCACTTGGCGAAGCAGATGATCGACGAAGTTTAGCACGGTCACATCGCTAACATTTATTTCCTTGGCCAGGTTGACGTACTTGATGTTCTCCGGATTGGCAATATAGCTTTCATTCAGCTGGTGCAATTCGGTAACGGCCTTCACCACAGTTCCCCCGGGCGGGGTGTCCTTGAAGCGCTCCAGCTGCCGCTGCTCCCAGTTTCGGATAATCACATCTGCCTCAACCTTAAATGCAGTCTTCGTGATACTGATGATATCCATGGCCTTGATGTCCAGCACAGTGTGGCCTCCAATGCCCTCAGGTTGGAAGGTTTTGTGCTTGGACGTCAGAGAGAGTATTTTGTAGTAGAGCTCGCCCCGCTGCAGACTGTCGCTATCTTTTGACTTAAACTGGTGATCCAGCACTAGCACCTTGTAGATGGTATCCTTTCCGGGGACAGATTTTGTGTTGAGTAGAATGGCCAGCTTGTTGTAGTGCTTGCCCTGAGTAATTACAATAACTCGGCCCACTTTCAGCTCCTTTTGGATCTTTGGCTGAGTAACAATCAATTTCTTAAAGTATAGTGGAAGAAATTAACTAAAAATAATATTGTGTTAAGCGGTAGACCCACCATTATTCGGTGCTTTTCCTTCCAATACTCCACAGCCTTGTCGTAGAAGTTAACAAGCGGTTGCAGGTGCTCACCAAGAGTTGGTAGCATGGCGAACTTATCCTCAGCGAGACGCAGCTGCTTCTGCTGCGTTGGCAATTGTAGCTTCTGGTTGAACTCCTTGAAGCTGAACTGCATGATGTCCTCCACCTTAATGCTCTCGATGCGCAGGCAGGTGAGGATCACCGCGTAGCGCAGAATAAACTGCGACTGCAGCTTCTCGGGCAGGCCGAGAATCATCGGGCGCAGCTCCATCGATGGCGGCACATTGCCCTTGCACAGAATAATCACTGTGCCCGTCTCATCATGCCCACGACGTCCTGCCCTTCCTGCCATTTGGATGTACTCTCCCGGCTTCAGGTTGCGCATCTCCAAACCGTCAAACTTTTTACACGAATCGAAAACCACCGTGCGGGCGGGCATGTTGACTCCCATGGCAAAAGTCTCCGTAGCGAAAAGCAATTTCACCAGCCCATTCTGGAAAAGCATCTCCACGATCTCCTTGAGAATCGGCAGGATACCGCTGTGGTGCACCCCAATGCCTCGCTCCAGAGCGTCCTTCAGCACGAGCACCTGAGGGATGGTGCGATCCGGGGGCTTCAACTTGGCCAGGCACTGCAGGAAGAACTTCTGTACGGCGCCCTTCTCCCTTTCCGTATTGAGATCCACCGACTGCAGGGCGGCCACATTGGCGTCACATCGATTTCGGGACAGCGTGAAAGCCACAACGGGCATCTTGTTGTTGCGCCGCAGGAAGTCAATCAAGCCGATCCAAGTATACTGGTCTTGTTTGGCGTTCACATAGTTCTTTGCACCGCCTCCTCCGCCGCCGCCCTTGGCTTTGCCCTGCATCTCCTTCTTGCGTTCCACGGCCTTCTCGTAGTTACCCTGCAGATACTTGCCTTGGGCGTCCACCAGCAGGAAGATGTCGTCCCGACTCTTACCACCGGCTCCCGTGTAGAGGAAGTGCGTCAGAGGCACTGGTCTCTTCAGCGTACTAATCACATACACCTTCCGCTTCTTGGTGCTCCCAACCCAATCGGCCAATTCCAACGTATTCGGCACTGTGGCACTCAACATAATAATGTTGACATGATCCGGCAGAAGGATAATCACCTCCTCCCACACATGACCTCTCTCCGGATTGTTGATGTAGTGCACCTCGTCGAAGATCACCCACTCCAGGTCTCGGGTAACTTCGCTGCCGCAGTAAAGCATAGATCGTAGAATCTCGGTGGTCATGATCAGACAGGAGGCAGTGGGATCTATCTGCAGGTCTCCTGTTATCAAACCAACGTCTTTGAAGGTTTTGCGGAAGTCACGGTATTTCTGATTGGACAGTGCCTTGATCGGCGACGTGTATATGGTGCGGGTGAGATCCCGCTTGGACAGGGCGATGGCATATTCCGCTACCACGGTCTTTCCCGCCGAAGTGTGTGCCGCAACAAAGACGTACTGACGCTGCTCCAGCTTGAGAATGGCCTGCTTTTGGAAGACGTCCAGTTCGAAGGGGAACTCCATGGCCGGGCAGGGTATCTGCTCCTTAAAGTCGTTGATCGGCTGACTAATGTCTACCATCACGGCCCAGTCGCTCTTGAAGTTCTTCGTGGTGGTCGAGATGTTGAGCACAGGTTTTAAGTCTGCCTTCATGATCTGGTCGTCCACATCTTTGAACTCCTCCGTGGGAAATTGCACATTACGCTGGTTGGGATTAGGAGGGACGCCAGACGTGCTTGGTTCTTCAGTGCGCGTAAGCTTGATCCACTCCTTAACGTCCAGATCCTGCTCCAGATTCTCTAGCAGATCTACATTACTCGGGTCGGATATCACAGGCGGCAGCGAAACAGGCTGCGATCGGGAGAAATCGTAACCAGAGGTAAAGCCCGGCGGCACTGTAAGCAATTTGTCTCCGAACTGGAAATTGTCCACGTCTAGTTCGGCGATCTGCTGGCGCTGTTCATCGAAACCTCCTGGCCAGAAGGGAAAATTCGAGTGGGAGCCACGAGTCGCCTCTTCCAGCAAACCCGGCTCGCGCTGCATGGACATCGAGTTGTTGGCATTAGCGCCCACATCCTCCAGATCCACCTCAACGAATTCCAAAATCTGACCACTTTGATCCCGGCGAGGAGCCAACTTGGTACTCCCCGGACAACGGGGCACATGCAACAGGCGCATCGCGTCAAACTGCCGGGGCAAAACATCCGGCAACGGATCGTGGAGAGACAGCTCCGGGCACAGGATGTAGTTGCGCAGCCTTTCCAGGTTGTCATTGCCCCTAATTTCACTCATTTTAATATTTTGATCCCGGTAAAAATCAGTTTGTTTAGCATTTACCGAAAAGTCAAGCAAAAAGACAACAAAAGACTGCGTATAAAGTTTAGATAGACTGGTCACCCTAAAAACTGAAAATCAGTTACGTTCCGAGTTTTATTTTCGTTGCAAATAATAATTAATAAATAATTACACATAAACTTATTAGAAAACCCTCGACCTTTAATTTTCAATCAAGCAGTAATAAAATATACGAAATGATTGTAGTTGATAATAATATATTTGTATTTAAGAGTATGGCAACAGTATGCTAAAATAACAGCGAAGAAAATTCGTCACTATTTTGTTGCAACTGTTCCTCATCTCTAAGAAAAATGTTTACACATTGTAATATGGCACATCGTATAGAATCAAGTTTTCCAAGAGGAATACAAATGAGTCTGGTTACTTTCGGCGGAACACCTCCACTTTGAGGGGGTGGCACTTCTCGTCCGGCACTTCGGCGCCCACCTGAATGGAGACATCGCCCTGGGGGCAGGCACTGAGGGCCACCAGAAGATTCATGTCGGCCACGAATTCTATGAAATCCCCCTTGCGAGCGGGACTTGGCTTGCAGAAGTACTGATGCGTGTCCCGGGTGAATCCAGTGCACATAAATATGTTCCACACATCGTGCACGTCCTTCTCCTTTAAACCGCGCTCCTCCACCACCGCCTTGACCAGCGAACTGTGGCAACTGCCCACGCGATCCTTGCCTGTGATCAGCTTGTAGGTGTAGTCATCGCAACGCGTTCCAATTACATCATGCACAGCACCGCCATCCTCATCGATTCCGTAGGCGGCTAAAGTGTCGAACACAAAGGTGGCCATTGGGCGAAGATATGGCAGACAGCTCCATAGGCGATCATAAACGTTAAGATGCGACGAGTGCAGCTGGCGCGTCTTGCCCGAATAGAAGCGCTCTGCGGTGTTCTCCAGGTTCCAGAAGTTCATGTCGCCCACCTGGGAACCCTCATGGACAGTGATGCGGCACAAATCGCCCGCCTTCATTGTCCAGGTGCGAGCCTCCCGCTTGGGAACCACCAAAGTCTCCACCAGATCGCCAGTCAGGGCCTTGAAGCGCTTATCCTGGAACCCCCGAAAATAATTAGATTAATTTTGATACCATGCTATTATCATCTTATACGAAATTTAAATGGCGTTAGTGAGGTGTTTTTCAAGATTTTCTTCTTAGACCCAGAGATAAAAAGAAACAAAACAAAAGATTAGATATGTACTTATCGACAATGTGACTTGTGAAATAACAAACAGAAAGCCCAGTTAGTGGGTTACATGGTCAACTTACGTCGTATTCCGACTTGGAAACAATCGAAGCCTCTGGTTTATCATAGCAAACCACAGGCGAGTGCTTCTCAAAGGTGCGAGGCTTAGAATCGCGACCACACCAAGGAGCAGGAGCTGCAGCTTTTTCAACAGTGGAAGCCATGGCTTTAAGGATCAATCGGTTAAAAAATGTGGCAAGAAGAAACAATATTTCTTCAGAGCAATGATACGTGTTGGTCTTCTCAACGTCCGATTGTGAACTGATCGAGTTAATAAGAAAGTCAGATCAGGTAAGTTTCCGCCAAAGCTTTCGATAGGCACAGCTTTGCTCTATCGGGTTTTAAATAAGTTCGCTGGTTGTTGTTAAAAACATAGTTTTATTATTCTTTCGGTACACTTATGCTAAGATATCAAAAAGGAATCAAGTAAACAAATTAACAAAAATATAGTTCCTCTGGCATGGTCTTTTCTGACGAAACGTTTCTAACTATGACGCAATCAAGAAATTTATGATGACATACTCGAACCTATCCTACAACTGGTTTCCTTTCGTTTGCGAGGGAGATGCTAATCAATTGATTATACCTATATTAATTTCAACCTAAACTAAACATCAAATTTTCATGCTTTTAGTATTTTACTGTGCCTATGTCTCCATCATGACGGGCTGCTGCTCCTTCTCGCTGAACGGCGGCTCGTTCTCGATCTTCTCCAGCAGCTCTTCCAGCAAGATGCGCAGCTCCTTGGAGGAGAATTCCTGCGGCAGCGGCAGTCGCTCCAGCGCCACCTTCAGCACTGACGATGGCTCCATTTCGGGACAAACAATGCACATTCCGTGCACCAGACAACTGAGGCTCTGCGAGATCTCGCTCTGGCACAGCCGATGCTTCGAGGTGGGACATGGGAGCAGACTGATGCGGGAGCAGAGTTCGCTTAGCTGTGGCTTTAGGTTTTCCCAGCGCGCATTGATGTCTGCCAGGTTGGTCACATTACGGATCTGCTTGAACTTGGCACTGATGTCGATAAAATCGAGGAAGATCTGGCCCTGGTTAGCCCAGTTGGGCACTCGGATGCTGCTGCCTTCGGTGTCCTCGAACTGAATAAGCAGGCTGTGCAGGTATTCCATTTTTCCTGGAAAAAAAAACATTTTTTATGTCAAATTAAAAAAATTAGTTTCAAACAAAACCCACCATTGATAATAGCATCGGGTGCAATGTGTTGGAAGATAACTTCATGCGCCGTTGCAAAGTGCTTGGCCTTCAGCAGGTACTTTGCCTGAAGGTGATGCTTCCCGGCGGCACCTGCCTTCACCGCCTTAGCATAGTCAACCCACGACATGGGAACACCCAACTCCTCGACAACAAAGCGCTCCTCCGCATTTAAAAGCACCTTGGCCGACACGCTTACATTCCGCTGCAGCATCTGCTGCACCGCTCGTTCTCTCTGCGGGCGCCGCTGAATGTGCAACAGCACGAAGATGCTCCAGTGCCAGTAACCCTCATTTTCCAGCTGGCTAGCGAAATCCACGGAAAGCCGAGCCTCCGTCAAAGGCGAACAGTGGCGGTAGCCCAGAGCTCGCAGAGTTTGCAATAGAAGCCAGCTAAAATTACAGAAAACAAGTTAATATTTCACTCAAATAGACTAACAGCAAAACTCACCTCAGGCGGAAATCCATGGGATCGGAGGTGTGGGTGATTGGATTGAGGGTTTCTTCCAGAGAATGCGTTCGCTTGGAGTAAAGCTGAAGCAAATGGTAACGCAGGTCATAGACGGGTTTCTTGGTATGGGTGGGTGCGCCCTTGTAGCTAGGCGTCGGTGGTTCTGCATAGCACTCTTCCGCTTGGAAGGCATTGTTATAGGCATTGAGAGCATCCGTAATGGTCGAAGTGGGTGCCGTAAAGTACCAAAGTTGCATGGCCAGTACTGTCAGCCAGTTGTTATCCTCTAGCAGATTGATAGCGCCCTGTGAGGACTGCATCATGGGCACTCCGGCGGCCAGCATGTACATCTTGAGACGTTCAATATCGATGTACTTGTCCGACTTGCTCTTTTGCCAGGCATAAAGCTGCTCCTCCATAAGCAGCCGGAAGACTGCGCCAGAACTCAGTTGAGCCAGCACGAGAGCCAGGTTGGCATCATCATAGTTGATGGCCAACTCGCAAGCCTCGTTCACCCGATGACAGCTGAGCAGCTCCAGCATGTGATCCAGGTAGCTGTGACTGCTAACCTTTTTGGAGAGCAGATCCTTGCCCATCAGCGTGTTCTCCAGCCACTCGGAGAGCAGGTTGCGCCGGCACATGACCATGTAGTGTGAGTTCTTCTCGAGATCCACTAGCTCATCGTGATCGCCCCAAAGTGCGAACAGAAGCGACCACACAGACACTGCGTAATCTTCTTTCAGGCCTGCATTCCGCTGTTTCAGCGACTCGGAAAAGTGTTTGGACACCAGCTTTGTTCCGCTATCGGGCTGAATCCACGGGCACTCACTGCCCTCCACGTTCACTGACAGACAGTCGTTTAACTGAACCTCGAGATGGGGAAGGATGCTCTCGCGAATGCCCTCGTTTCCTTTGACCATGTTGAACTGCACCACCTGCATTACACTGGGCGACATATCGGTGGCCAAGCGGGGTGCAAAGACCATGGAGGCGGGTAGGGATGGTCCAGTAACTTCAAACCAAAGCAAGTTGATTACAAAGTAACTTCTATTGATTGTAATTTATACTTACATTCTTTTAGATTGCGCATGTTGTTGAAGGTGTTGGGCAGCACCAAAGAGTTCTGCGGACCAAAGCTGAGCTTGAAGCTGCGTCCCTTGTAGAATCCCAGATCGGCAATCCACTTATGGCGCATTTCATGGGCAATAGAGCGCGGCAAGGGAACTGTGGTCGCATGCAATTTAACCGGAGCTACTTTGGGCTTGCACACAAACTTGAAGACTTTGGCAACAATCGGCTCCGCCTTCTTTTCCTTTGCAGCTGCCACAATGCTTCCAGTTGCCATTGAAGAAGTCTGGAATTTGATGAATATGGTTAATGCGGTTTCAGGTGACAAAGGGCATTCATTTTACCTCATCGTAATGCGCATCACCCATCAGGCTGGCCTCAGAAACAGATGAAGAAACGGGCAATGCGGGCGATGGGTGTCCAAAATCGTATTGACTGGAACTCTCGGAGGCGCCATCCTTCCATGCAAGGGGTTCAATGTTGAAGAACCTACGGTTACGTTGATGACGGCCAATTTGCTCTGAGAAGATTTGTGAGTGATTCATTTTAATGCAAAGTGATTGTGAAATGATATTCAGACAATATGTAATGTTATCTTATATTTTTAATGAAAATGAATTGGATTTACTGCTTAACTTATAAAGGTAAAAGCTCTTTAAAATTTATTATTTGCTCTTTTTTATTTCTCGCTCAGTGAAATACAACAAACATTACTTGTTAATAAATATTTAGATATTATAATACAAGAAAGTTAAAATGTAAATATTGACAAAAATCTATATTATCTCTTGTTAATTAACATCACAAATTCTGCTCAAAAATTAACCAGCAACCTTTAAGAATCTAAATACTACACAAAATACACAAGTTCTAAATTTAAAAACTTTTAATAATTTAAAGCATTTCAAGAGATGGACCACCTACCCATGGGCTCATCCTCGGTGCCATTGTCGTCGACGAAAAACGACGATTTCATCAGCTGCATTTTGTGCGGCTCATTGCCCACCATATCTTGGGCTAAAGCAGCCGTGGGACTCATGATAGATGGTCGCGGATGACGCGGAGCATCAAACATGGAGAAATCCGAGTTAGCGCCGGCTTGGAAAAATTCTGCAAAATAATACAATTAAATAACAGAAACTAAAAGTGTTTATGAAAAGCATATACTTACGAGTTTTGTCCATCATTAGAAACTCGGCGGTGTCGTCCATTGGCCGAAATCCTCCGGCCACTCCAGTGACCAATGACTTTGGATCCAGAATACGGGCAGCGTCTTCCGAAATTTTCTGCGCCTGCCTTAGCGAGTTCAGGGTCATCTTTTCCGCGTTTGCCTTCTGCTGGGCTTCAAGTGCAGTCATTTTTGCCTTCTTTGGATCGGTGGGCACCTCGTCCTCTTCATCGCTATCGCCCAGCCCGTATTTAGAGAAATGCTTAACGCGGAAGACCCAGCTGCCCGTTTCCGGACGATACTCTATAAAGCGCGTATCGTTTTTGTCGCACACTCGGCGCAGCTTGCCCTCCCAGTCCATCTCCAGCAAACGCTGTGGTTCCTTGATGGCCTCGTGCTTGGTCTTGTCCAATGGCCAAACCTGGTCCAAAGTGACCTGTGCATCTCGATTTAGGCCATGCCCAATGGACGGCTTGTTGTCGTCGTCGGGGTAAATGATAATCTCCTTGTTACGGAAGTGCACTAAAAAGGTTGTTCATTTAAATTAAAATATTAGAACATTGATCTATAAAAAAGAATACACAAGTAGCTCACCGATTTCGTCGAGGTTCAGCCCAGCTACATCCATCTCTTTACCAAAGAAAACATTTCCGTAGCCTTCTCGACCCACCGTGAAGTTGGGCACCACACAGGAACCGTCCTCTGCTAAATACGATCGCAGGTCGTCCAGCGATGGAATAGTGTAATAGCCGACTCGTCGCAACACAATGCCAGTGGGATGGGCCTCGTAGTCCGCAGCATCTGCAGTAGCTGCCTCGATGGCCAGACGCGAACGATTGGCCGTGGTGTCTTCCGCTTCATGCGACCTGGTCGATAGGACGCTCTCGTTAGCCTGCTCCGAGGTGAAAGTGTCCCGACGGGCAATGGCACTAGCCTGATCTTCGAACGGATTTTCCGGGATGGTGGACACCGAGAGCCGAACGGTCGACGAAGGACGATAAGTATCCAACGGTTTGCGTGGCACCAGCTCGTTGAGTGTGCTATTGTGCGGTGATCCCTGGTCCATTCCGGTCTGAATGTTATGCTGTCGCACCTTTTCCAGGTTGTTCGGATGCAGCCATGACTCGCGGCGACTGCCGTCCTGGCTCTCGCGTCCGTTTGTGGCTCCAGGCGAGTTTCCTACTGGTGGTGGCTCACTGGGAATGACTCCGCCGAATGATTCGCGTTCTTTGTTTGGCGTTGTCACTTTGGGGCGAGTTTGGGGAGTATTGGGCGCACTGCCAATCGAATTGGAGGGATTCCCGATCTCTACATTCTTTACTTTGGGCTTGATTACCAAACGCTTAGCATTGGGCTTGAGATTAAAGCCCTCAACCGTCGCATCGAACTCCTCGAGACCGTCGAACAAAGATTTCCTGTTAAGGGTGCTGCCCAAAGCTTTTACCTTCACTGGCGCCGGACTGTTTTTGGTGGCAATTTTGTACTGATTGCTGCTCATGTCTAACACCGCTTGCTGGGCAGCTGGATTTGTGGCCCTGGTGGCATCAGCCTCGTCGCTGTGCTTTAGGTCTTTGAAAATGGGAGAGTCTCCGTAGGGTGAAGTGACCCTGGCCAGAATTTGTTGATGTATTGGCTGGTGCGAGGGCGTCATAATACCCACGGTGGGTTGAGCACCCATAAGACCTCCGGTTAACGAGTTATTCGTGCCCACACCACCAAAGCCGCCGCCCAGAGAACCGCCAACGCCACCGAAACCGCCAGTTCCGCCACCAAATAGTCCTCCCGTTGGGGCAGCTCCTGTGCCACCCAAGGTCGAGGTTCCTCCGCCGAATAGACCTCCTGCCGGCTTGGCCGTGTTTCCGAAAAGCGATCCACCAGTATTGCCTGCGTTAAAATTAAGCGGTGCTGCGGCGGTGGTTCCAAACCCTCCGAATCCCGAGGTCGCTGGCTTGTTAAGACCGGAATTGAAGAGTCCTCCGCCCGTGCCTGCTGTGCTGGTATTTAAACCAAAGCCTGTGAACGGGGTGCTGGCCGTGGAGGTGGCTCCAAAAGCTGGGGCAGAGAAGCTTGTGGCAGGCTTGCTTCCAAAGAGACCCCCACCTGCGGTGCTCGTGGCCGGAGCGCCGAATCCAAAGCCAGTGGTGGCAGCCGGTGCGGCTGTGCCCAATCCAAAGGCTGACTTATTTGGATCGGCGGCGGGTGTAGCTCCGAATAGTGAGGTCTGAGGAGTTGCTCCCGCAGTGGTGCCGAATCCCCCGAATCCGGTGTTTGTCTGCCCAAAAGCAGGAGCGGCACTGGTCGCCGGTGCCTGTCCAAATAAACTTCCTGTCTGTCCGAAGGCGGGCTTCGCTCCGAATGGATTGGAAGCGTCAGCAGCCGGGGCGGCAAATGGCGTAGTGGTGGCAGCCCCGAAAGGCTTCTGCAAAAAGTTATTCTGCTGGGCCGGTGCGAATGCGCTGTTAGTCGCCGGTTGCTGTCCAAAGGCTGTTGTTCCGAACATGCTTTTGTTCTCGGTCACCGCCTGGCCAAACAGACTTGTACTAGGCTGCGCAGTATTGCCGAACAATCCCGAGGTCGCTGGCTGAGCAGGCTGGGCCACCTGAGCTCCGAATCCGAAGGCACCAGTTGTACTGCCCGCCTGCGGGCCCTTGCGTCCGCACATGTAGTCTTCCAGGCGCAACTCCTCCAACGATTTGCCCTCGTATTCCTTCATCGCCGTGATACAGTGCTGTTTGGTGTTAACACTGTTCGGCTGGCCGCTCTTCATCAGCGTATCGGTGCCGAGAGTGGGCTGGTACTTCACCACAGCAGTGCCCGTATTAACACCTGCCGTACCCACAGCGGTGGACTGCGGTAGGGCAAAAGCCGATGCTGTGCCGCTTCCAAAAACACTGGTAGTTGCGGGCGCCGTCGTTCCAAACGATCCGAATCCCGATGTGCTGGTTGCGGCAGCTGGTTGGCCGAACAACGAGCCAGTTGGTTGGGCAGCAGCCGTTTGCCCAAAGGCTGTCATCGCTGGCTTTGCAGCTCCAAAGGCGGGCAACGTCGATTGACCAAAGAGTGAGGTGCTCTGGGCCGTCTGGGTGGATCCAAAGATGTTCGATGTCTGCTGCGGCTGCGAAAATGCTGCAAAGGAATACAAGTAATGTAATTATTCAGAAATTTTACTTTATTTGTTCGTTTCTAACCTCCAAAACCTGTGGGCTGCGTTGTGGCGGTGCTTCCGAATGCAGTGGAAGTATTAGCCCCAAACAGTCCTCCGGCGGGCTGCGCAGGCGTGGCCGCGGTACCAAAGAGTGACTGTTGCGCCGGCTGGGCGGCAAAGGTGGATGTGTTTCCAAAGGCCGGAGCCGCCGGTTTGCCAAAAGCCGACTGGCCAAACGGAGTGGCCGTCGTGGTGCCGCTGAAACCGCCAAAGCTGGTGGCCGCTGGCGTGGCTCCAAAGCCGGGTTTCGAGCCTCCAAACATGTTGCCTCACTGCTCAGTCTGGGTAATTCGTAGATCCCCTTTGTCCTTCAAACTGCAAGCTATTGCAATGAGCAATGCTTCGGATTTCACCAGGTTGCTTAATCTGCGGAATGGCGCGACCGTGTATGATTATTGGGGGCGGGCTCCCTTCTCGGTATAAGACAAACAAACACTCCCGATTTTGCAAAAACACAGCGAGTTGGACGCAAAAGGTGGACAGAAATGGCGCGCCGATTTTTTCACGATGTCCGAGAAAAATGCAGCCGGTAGTGTGGCCAGAGAATGTTGTCGCGGGAGAACAATACACTGCAACAAAAAGTGGGGCAAATTGCAGACAATTACGAAACCACAAATAATTTAAGAAGCCGGTTAGTGTATTTAAAATTTGGTAAAAAAAATAGTAAATGGTAGGAATACGGCTCAAGTTTTGCTATTCATTTGTGTCCGTTTATTACTAAAATGATCTAAGACTCCAACCAATGTTTCACTGGGTTTTGACAAGTTTTGCGAGGCAATTTTAGGGTAAATTTGGTTTTGGTTTTTTAATGAAAACTATGGTCGTTTTGGGGTAAGGAAAAACTGGCTACATTATTCAAAACAAACGAGCGAAGCGCGAGGTTTTCCGGAGCGCTCAAAAAAATCTACTGAGCCGCGTGCGAATGCGAGTGTGTGTGTCGATGTGCGGGAGTGTGAGCGGAGATAATTAGCTGAGCGGCATCGGCCAACTCCCAAATCGAGAACAATACGAGCGAAAACAACGCAAAATGCATTAGCTAGCGACAATTGCGCGGAATGCAGGCTTTTGTGCAATAATTATTTTGTGGCGATTTGTCGTTACCCCAGTCGTTCGTAGAAATCTGTAACGAAATCAGAAATCAGAAGCGAAATGCTTGTGTTGGCGGCATTGTGAAAACGAAATCGAAACTCAACTACGTGTTGCGCTTTTTCTGTTGCCTAATTTTACGTCTTGTTGTTTTTATTTTCGCAAACGAAAGTCTACCGCCCTGCATGTGTGAGTGGTGATCGTGTGGCGCTTGTGTTGGTGGTAAAAGTCGGCGCAGAAAAAACAACAACGAAAGCCTTCAAGATGAGTGTGTGGAGCGATTGCAATGCCAAGCAGGCGGAATTCGGCATTGGTAAGTTTGGCTATTAAAGCGATAAATTAACAAGAATATGGCTAAGCAAGAATGTTTAAACAAAGTGCTTTGTAAACAATCATAAAGGAAAAGTTTATAAACTGCTAGTCGCTCCTAGCCAGAACCCCTCTCTTTTCCTCTCATTTCACCGCATGTGTTAGCCCCCTGCTGCGTTGCTACGGTAAAACTTGTTGCACCTTCTCACTTGCACATGCGGCGACTGTAGATCCTCTCTTTTCTCCCTCTCTCTCTATAATTTCGTTTTTCTTTCCATTTCATCCTGCTCATTCAACACTAACATAAAATTCTGAGATTTTGCTCTTGAAACTAAAACCTGTTTTCTATCATCTGTCGCTCTCCTCTCCCTTTCTTACATGCAACTGCAACACACGCACAGAAAAAGGTATTCTTGCACTGAAAGAAAAAATTTTGAACTATAAAGAAAATTAAAATTTTTGCTCAGCTCCGCACTTTATTCAAAAAAGCTTATGCTATACTCAACAGTCATATTCATGTAAACATGGAAACAATCAAAATTATAAGCGTAAATATAACTCTTCATTCAATTTCATTATATGTTTTTTTTTTGTGTAACTATGGGACAGATCCCAATTTACTGTGAGTGACCATGAAATATCTAATCGCGACCCGCTTCGAATACGTGTGAATTTTTTATGGCTCCGCTTTTGTTGACCTTTTCACCGCTGATCAATAGATACGACAGGTACAGGTACTTCATGCCGCAGGTAGACCGAGTGGAACTGGGAAACTCACTCGTTTACACTCGAATTGAACTCCCCAATGTTTGCACTTGTTATTTACACATGTTTGCTTCTGCCTCTGCCCTTTTTTGTGTTTGCGCGTGTACTAACTGTCGAAATCGCTGCGAGTACCCGATAATACCGGTGGGGCGTGGTCAGGTGGGCGTTGGGTGGTAGGCGGCCGTAAAACGTAATCAACTGCGATAATAATGGAATATGGAACGGCAGATAAGTTTCTCTGTGGCATTGAGTTGCGATTTTGGCCTTTGTAATGCAAAATGCCTTACAGCTTACATATACAGGGATTTGAAAGATACACCTTATCAAATACAGTTTTGATGTATTATTGTCTTATCGCGCTTTTCCAGTTTGTTTACCAACCTTTTGTTGTCAGAGACGTTCAAATTCTAAGCAAATAAATAACTGGCTGTTCCATATTTTGTAAAATATGTTAAACCAAGGGTTTTGCTTGGCAGCTCATCCATTTTGCGCGTTGATTGTTAAATATAGCTTGTCGCAGGCGATAACCATTGAGTAATCGCTTTATCACTTTATGGAGCCCATTGCTGTTATCGTTTATCGAAGTGTGTCTGTGTTGGTGGGTGGCACTCCACTGAATTTATTTCAGTTGAAGTGCGAGTGAGTTAGCTCAAGTTAAGTCCTCTGCCTCCTGCATAGCGGTAGTTGGAGCACACTCACACTCACTATAAATACCTGATTCATATATGTACATGTATATGTATGAATGCAAGGTTCCACTCACTCCTGCCGAGTGGAAAACTGCAACTCCCTGATCACTCACCCCCACGTACCGTGGAATGATATTAGAAAAACACAGCTTTCCCAAGCATATATGTATGTATAAACAAAGTGGTTCAAAATACATATGAATTTAAAATGAAATTGAAATTAAGAAAATAAAAACATTTTTATGTTTAGTAAGGTTTCCTCATTTTGTTTTTTTACACAAGATCGGTAAAAAAAAACGTGGACAACTCATAGTCATTCCTTTTATTTAAAGCTAACTATGTTGCCCACTGTTCTCCTTCTGGCTTTGACGATTCGTCTGTTTGTCGACCAAGTTAGAAGTTTGCCTGCGGTGACATCTTCACTTCTATGCTGCACTACTCCACTGTTCATTGCCTTTAGTTGGCGTGCACCTGCGGGGTCCTCGTTTCCCCTCACACACTCTCTTTTTTTACCCCCTCCATACAGATGCATTCTACATTTAAATTTGAATAGCAAAAACAACAACCGCGTTAATAATAAATACAACAACACGAAATGAAGGGAAGAGCTGGAAAAGTAAACGTAAAACTTAATGAGGCCTGAGAGCAGTGGGTGAAAAGTGGAGTCAAAACTAAGGAAAGAACTAGGAGAGGGAAAAGGGGGTCTATTTGATTTGGTTTCTGATTTCAGAGTCTGGGTTTTCTCAATTTAATTAAAATTTTCCAGTTCGTTGGACTTTGAGATGCATGAAATGCTTTTTGATTTGCGTATTTTCAAAGAAAAACCTTTTTTTCCCTGTGATTTCCACACACCAATTTAAACCCTAATCAAATTTTAGCCAAACAGGTCTTTTTGGATTTCTGGCTATTAAAACCTCCATAAAAATTTAAACTATAGTTTTCGCTAAGCTTAGCTCTGGTACAATAACCGCATACAATTGTTTGAAAATACCTGTGGAAAACAAAAAAATGAATTGTGTATACCTACTACATCCTTGAAGTTTATTTAAGTTTATTAAGAGAGTTTAACGTTTTGTACGAAATACTCATATTAGCATCTTAAATTAGGTATGATTAATCACTCAAAAATATGCTCTTTACAAAAATAATTTCATAACTTAAGAGCTTACCCTATAATCAGATTATATCTTTGAAGTCTCTGCTTCTATAATTTCGAAGATAAACAAGATAATGTTACTCAACCTAATAAGAGTCCCCCGAATCGCGTTATCAAGAGGCAGATGCCCTTCCTCCAAGGCGGCTGCATAACTGTTTGCGCTGCTGACTCAGATCAGGGAACACTCATCCCCCGTACTTTACCCTCACATACCATTCTCCAACTCCGGATAGTTGAGCAACCGCCCAAGTGACTTGCACATCCACTTGTGATTCTGATTCCACTTGGACCACCACCCCAGAAAACCTCCACTATCAACGTACTCCCCCCTCGACGAATCTCCGCTTTCCATTTCGCAATCAGAATGGAAACTCAATCGCTGCCACCATTCCCCCAACCATCTTGCAACTATTTTCACCCCCATTCAAAGATTGCCAATGTCGGAGATTGTCGCATCTTTGGTTTCCCTTCTATGCTAATTGAGCGACCGAATGCAATCTTCGATTGCTCTCGGAAATTGCTTAATTAAACATAAATTGCCTGCGGCAAAGAGCATTTATGGGGATCGAATCCGATCGGGGGAAAGTTACCAGTGACTGGGCAGCGGGTTGGAGGAGGTAGCCGCGTCATTGGGGCACAGTGCGTCATCCGGTGTCAGTGGAAACTGGTTTCAGCTGCCCAAGAAATGTGAGCTAGTGTTACAAAGGTTACCAAGTTCCATTAAAATATTTTCCTCAGGAGAGCTTCCACAGTTGAAAATGTTTAATCAAGCATTCAGTTGTCATAAAAACTAAAAAAATGTTATATCTAAAATTGTACATTTTAGGTTGAATATCTTTACGAAAACGAATTCTTTTAAATTTTAATGCTGTCGCTGCTTTATTTCCTGCGCAAATATCTGTTTACAACAAATTCCCATATTGATAACATTATTTTAAGGAAACATTATTCTATCCAAGCAGTAACCATACTTGTTCAGAAAGTCATAAAACCAATTTTAAGTGATTTTCTGAGATGTCCCAAATGGGTCAAGTTTGTGTTTACATTTCCTCTTTTGCCTTTTGTTGCTCCGCAATTTTTATGGCTCTGCTCCGTAATAATAACGTTCTTTTTATCAGCATTCTTTTTGTTTGGATTCTAATTCTAATTTGTTTTTGGATACTTTTTACGACCGCAGCGACATTAACCGTAACTGTCAACGGACAAACGCTCGAAGCGGTTGTGCAAGTATTCTTATGAATTTATGTCCCATCAAATATTATCTATGGTTCAGCGATGGAATGGGCTGTCCCGCCCGAAATACAACATTGGTCTACCTAATTGGTTATATGCCTGCTGAATAATACCTTTTTTGGCAAGCCCAAATAGGTGTAAAAAAGGAAAGAAAAGAAAAATATTTATCTTAAGAAAAATTAAGATGTTTTTTTTGCTTTAATTTTGTTAAACTATCTTAAAAAGAATACAGTGATTATATATATTTTTGTACTATAATTAATTCAACATAGTATATTCACAATACGTAATTATACATTCCTCACAACGTCTTTAATTAACCGCATATGTATTTATCCTGCACTAGAATTTTTTACTGTGAAACAATAGAACTCCCATCCCGCACTCCCTCATTTTATAAACACAAGTGTTGAATTTTTCGTACCCATATTAGAATCACCTCATCCCGTTTTAGAGAACTTCTCTGCCAGTTGTAATTAGTCAATGCCAGAGCATCTTAACCAACGAGAATCATTATAATTAACCCTCCAAACTGTTCTCGACGCTTTGGGCAATTAAAAACATATATATATGTATATAGGAAAATGTATATATAGAAATCGCTTTAGGGGCTTAGCTCATGAAAGCTCGTACTTGGATATTTATACTCGAATACCCCGAGCGATAGAGAGCGTCAAACACAGTCGCTACTATACAGGAAAACAAAATAAAAAATAATACAAAAAAGTGTGTGGAGAGAATCTGCATATGTGTATGATCATATATAGCCATAAAGAATCTTCTCTGAGCCGCGTGCTATTTAAACCTGAAATTTTGAAATGAGCCAACTTGCGGCTGTCGTTGTCACGTTGTTGTAGTTTTTGTTTTATTTTTCATACCGTCCAGTCACCAGTCACGACGCCAACTTCGACACCAATTGATGACGAAGCGCCCCAACTGAGGTTTTATATATTCCAGTTGCTTTATAGACTGCGATTTATTATTGTTTTGGCTTTTGCTTTTTATCTAGCTTTAAGCAAACTTGGGTTTCGCGGTAAAAAAAAGGCACACTTTGTTCACGTGCTGGAGGCACTTCACCATCTCCTTTTTCCTAGGTGCAGCTGCATTCGATGGAGCTATACACGGAGCAAAAGTGGGACCAAAAGGCACATAGTTATTGAAACCTATTCCTATAACAATAACTAGATTTTTAACTAGAAACGTTATTTGTTTATAACATAATCTAGTTTAAACTAAACTTTTTAAACATACTTTGCTCGATGAAAACTTGTCGAGCACATTAGACTACAAGTCATTTGAGTCATTAATGTAAGCAACAAAAATATAAAATATTCAAATAGTTTTCCCTTGTGCATTTCTGCAAAAGGAGTCAGCTCATTGTTCAACTTCTGTTTAGTTTACCTGACTGCCTGTTGATGGCTGGCTGTTTTGCGTTTTCTTTATTGGCCTGAACCCTTTTTCCTCAGCTCTGCCATTGAGCCGTGACTCCCCTTTCTCCCATCTCTGGGTATTTATAGTCGCACAACTTGTGCATTTCATTATTTATGATTGTTTCCGTTAGTCAACCAGTTTGTCGCGCTGTGGCAGCAAAAAAAAGGGTCTTGGGATAGGCTTTGTTTCGCTTATCGGCGGCAGACTGGAGAAAAGGAAATGGGCTCGATTTAATGACGTTTTCGATCGTTCTTGAACTCAACCCCCACGATTCTGGGGCTTAAAAAAGGTGTGCCGTTCCCAGTGACTGATTACTTGACCGCAGCGCCGACGTTTTCGTAGGCGTCGACGTCGGATGATTCACTTGCCGTTTCCGAGTATTTATTTTACTTGCGCATAAATAGCCCCCAGAAGTGGATAGAAGTGGATTCCCTTTAATCACGTTGCGCATTGGGTATTAAAAATAAATCCAATTAATTCGATTAGCTTATGGCTCTGGTCTATATTTACGCACTTCTTTAGAAACTTTCCCAGCTGGGAAAACTCTTCTAGAGAGCACCGCTCAACTGGTTTCCGCAATTGACCCAGTCCCACTCCAAGTTAACTTTCCACGCAATTGGACAGACGAAATAAAATGCAAAGCGCAAAAAAAGTGGCCGACAAAACCATCTCACACGTCTGTACAATTGAGGTCAAAATATTAGTAGTGAAAATAATTTATCAAATGGAACTTAAGTTATTTTTTGTATTTATTTTTCGTTTGCTGTATTGTACGTTATTTAATTTTGAAATATATAGGAGATGCTTAAAGAAGTTAGTTCTTACTAATCCCTTTTTTATTGGGCACATATCTTGAAAGCTTCCAAGTTATCCTTCTAATTTAGAAGGGCCTTGCTTTACGTGTCCATTCAAATTGTTTTGCAGAAAAGGGGCTGAAACTATTATGGTGACCTCCCTTGTGCGAGCACAACAGCAGCGGCAATGAATACCTTTTGCGAATTGTTGCCGCTGTCGCTCTTAATGTGCTGTGGAGGTCGTTCTCGCTTGTTATGCTTTCCATCGAGATCGGGCAGCGCGAAACATTTGCGAGCATCGGTCATTGGACCGTATCTGCCGTTCCGCTGCTCCTCTTCGGTAACGCCGTCGTCATCGGCACTTCCACCACCACCACCATTCCCCTTTCCTCCTCCACCGATTCCAGCACCACCATTACCACCATCAGCAGCACCACCACCACCCGGAGCGTGCCACGCAAAGGCGGCTCAACTTGGTTTTTGTATCTTTTTTGTGCGCTCGACTGCGGCGGTGCTGGGGATTCGACTTTTATGGGGGGTGGTGCACATTTGTGTGCTCAACTATATATGTACATATATTAAATATGATGTTGCTTATATCTGAAACTTGCACTATCAAGGCGAGGAGGAAGTTTGTCGGCGGCGATGTCCCATTATGTCTCATGTGTGAAAGGCAAAAATAAAAGCCCACTGCGCCAAAGGGAGTGCGAAATGGGTTTTTATATGATGATATGATTAATTTTTAAGCAACATTCTTCCCTGTGGTGTTGAAGTGAGATTTTACCTAATGTGGTAATTAGTTATTTGAAGAGTAATTTATATTAATTGCTTTTGTACCGAATTACCACTTACTGAAAGACAAATCTGTCGAGGTTAACTTTAAGTTAGAAATTTAAATTAGTTTGGCGCTCTTACCATATTCAATGGTCGAGAAATAAGTTATTTCCTAAATCTTTTTTTCGTTTAATTTTTTTGCCTAATCCAAAATATTGGTTTTGCGACTTAGTTCAATAATGACCACTTATCTGCTAGAAGCGAATTCCGGGATGCCAAGATGCATTTCCAACTTCTTAGAGCGATATCAGTTTTCAGTTCCAATGCAAGTGCGTCATTTGTAGTTCCCGTCCAGACATCCAAGTTTTATCGGCAGCTGGCTTTTCGAGGAAGTTGCCCAAAGCCAGAGTTGTTCCAAAGACCAGAGCGTATTCCGTTTTTACATAGATCTCACGTATAAAATAAAAATATTTTGCTTAGGCGAGCGAGGGAGGAAGAGGGGGATTCTGTTGGATGGATGGATGGTGGGGGTGGGGGTGTTGCAATGGGTTTATCAAATATCCCATCCGCTCGGGTGCAGAGATAGCGGCAACCCAGTTTCCGATGATCAGCGCGTTCCCCTCGTAATAACGAAATGGGCTAATTGATAACCTTCCGCTCTCGTTGATTCGCGTTGATTTTGCTGTGATTTCGCTCAGTTTGCAACGGTTGACAAGTGGAAAAGGTGCTCTAAGCTAAGCTCCCTAAACACCCGAATGTGATTTTTATTTTCATTTTTGACTAATTTTAAACTGTTTCTTTCTTTTTAGCCAAGTGCAATTTCGACCAGGAGACAAAGCCACATCGTCTCAATCTGGATGTAGGTGATGCTGTTATAATACTCAAGGAGACCACCCACTGGTATTACGGCTACAGGCAAAAGTAAGTAGCAGAAACCTTTTATTTTTATTTACATCAATATCTCCAATTTGAAGAAGAGGAAAACAAAAAACAACCTATAATTATCATAAACCCACTTCATGCTTAAAACAATGTTTCCTCTCTATAATTACCCCTCAACACCTATCCAAAAAAAGCTATAGACAAACATGTAAATCACGAGATTTCATTAATTTCGTTGCAAAGTATGCACTGCTATTATTTTGATTGGTTTTGCTTGTCTAATCAAACAATCTGCTAGATCTTTTCCCCCGACTTTCACTGCAATCTCGTTTGTCTAATGCATATGCATGAGCGGTGTGGAAACATCCCAGACATTAGCGGACCTAAAGCAACAGACAATCGACAGACGGAAAACTAAAAAAAACTGAAAAAAAAACAGCAGCAGCAGCAGCCAAAGTTCAGAAGCGGAAATGGATTTTTCACAGGCAGCCGAGTAGAGTAAGGCAATCGTAAATCAGGTACACAAGCGCCGCCCATTTGGTTTGTTCTTTGTTTACTCCTCAAGATGTCTGGCAATTCCGGGGAAATCTGTGCCACTGTGCTCTTGCTCAACGCTCCTTCATCCTTTTACTCCGAACAGATGCCACCATGTGGCTGCCAAAGTTGCATGCCACATCCGTCGAAGAGATAAAGTTTTCTTTTCCCTACCCTCCTCCATTCAATATTTATACATGGTTTGACCCTTTTGCTGCCTTTTGGTTTTTTTTTTTCGTATCTCATTCGGTTTTATCTGGAGACGACTGACCACCACGTCTTATCAAGAAAGAAAGAAAAAAAACGAGGAAAACAAGAAGAACGCCATCCGAATTGACGGAGCTGACCTTTTCCACATTTCTGCTGACCCAAACATCTCGATCCCAAGTGGAACCAGAGATTCCGAGAGTCGGACATCTCGGATGGTAGAACAAATACAACGAGTAGCAAAGAAAGTAAATAAATAAAAGCACAAATTTCCCGATCACAGTGAGACACACTCAACCAAAACCAGTAGAAGTCCAGAATGTGTTACTTTAATTTGCCTTAATTGCGTAGCACATTTCCCACACTTCACTGTGCGTTTATCTCCTGGTAATATAAAGAAATTCAAGGCGAGACGACACTCGATATGCTGATAACCTCTTTGGCCCGAATTTCTGTTTGTTTTCGGCTCTGCCCCCCCATCGAATGCCTATTTTTGTTTATAGGAAAATATCAATTTTAATTGTGGATTTTCTCACGATTTTAAAGCGTAAAATATCGAAAATTACGACGCTTCTGTCTGGGAATCGAAATCAATTGGAAATGGTTAATCAATTTGAAGGTTACCCAACGCTAGAGATACCTGAACCGAAAGCATCGAAGTAGAACTATGACCGGGGTTCAGGGACCCCAGAAGGGGATTGGAGGGGGACGGGGCTGCTGATTCCACAAGTGATGAATGCCTCGAGCAATTAAAGCGGCCACCCCGCATGTCAAGCGGCGAATTGAGCCAAATTAAAGCATTCCATTTCATCCGACAGTGTCACACTTTGAGCGCACTTCCTCTGCAGACTCCCAAGCACTGAGAAATATTTTTGGGAATAGTTTTAGAATAAATAAATAACAATTTATATAAGCCTAGAATGATTCCACATCAAAATAGTTTGAATTCAAAGCAATTATTCTTTGATTTAATGCAATGACTTACATCTTGCAATGATAATAAATAACCCATAATATCTTGCAACGATAATTAATAACCCAAAGCAATCTTTCCCTACAATAACTCCACTTGACTCCTTTTTGCTAAGTGCACGCAGTTCCAGTTCCCCTATCACTTGGCTTGGGTTGGGTAATTCATCAGCCGCAATGGCTGTTGAATTGTGTCATATATGTAAATATGAAGTGGCCACAGTGGAGCGCCGCTTAGATATACTTTTCTTTACTTTACAGATGGGGGGAATGAACAAACTCGACTTTCACTGTGCTGACAGTAAAGCACGGAGTGGCAATATGTTCCTTTATGTTGCACCCCATGTGCATGCCACATTTTAATGACTCTCCCTTTTCTTTTTTTTCGCCCCAATATTATTGCAGAGCCAAGGAAACACGCGGCATATTTCCCAAGAGCTATATACATTTGTGCGAATACAATATCGTGAATGGGGAGTACTGCATCCAGCGAACGGATATTGTCGAGGAGATCACCAAAGTTCTCCTCGAGTGGGGCTCCATAGCCAAAAATTACTTTCTGGTGAGCATCGAGGTTTTTTTTCTGAAGTATGACTCAGTTTTAATCTGTTATTTGTTCCAAATTTAGACCACTAATCCCAGCTTTCCGAAGATTCGGCGAAAGATGAACGAGCTTAATAATAATCGAGCAGCCCTGATCTCCGGCAATCTTCCACTGGACGAGGTGCGCAAGGTGAAGCTGCTGGCCACCAACCAGATCGATACTGGCAACAAGCTCCTCGGTCTGGACATGGTGGTGCGCGACGAGAGCGGCGACATTCTGGACACCAATGCCATTTGCACCACAGAGCTCTACGAGCACCATGTGCACGCCATTCAGCGCATCGACAAGGCCAATGTGAGTATATAAAATTGCAGTGGAAAAAACTATACCTGTCAGCTATAAACTCAAGTTCAAGTCGTTAAAGATTTGGGAAAATATATATTTGTTTCTTTGTATTTCTTATATTTTTACAGTCATCTGTAGAAAGCCAGAACTGGGATTTTTAATTTATCTTGAAAATGTGTTTTATGGAGATTATCAAAGTTCTGTAGTACAAAAATGCATATTTTAGTTTTAAAAATATTGATGATGATTCATGGGAAATTTACTGGCCAAAAATTAAGACTTTTTATAATTTTAGGAATCCCAAAATATTATTATAAATCCGGCATCGTAATTCTAATAAGCTATATTAAAAAATTAGTTAACAAATTGTACAGTTCAAAATTATTTTCAGTTTTCATAGGGAAATATTTTTTTGCTAGGAAAACTATATAATTCATGGCTTTATAAAAATGAATTCTAATCCTCCTGTTATATATTCACCTTATAGCGGCTGTCCAGCGAAAAGGGAACAACACGAACCCTCAACAAGTACTCCCACAACATCCTGCTGCACGTAAACGCCTTCGTGTGCAAGTTCCAGGAGGATTCGGACCTGCTATTCACACTCTTCGACGGCGAGACGCACAAGCCCATCAGCGAGAACTATGTGGTCAAGTGGTCGCGGACAGGGATGGCACGCGACATCGACCAGATCGATAACAACCGCGTCCTGTTCACGGATCTCAGTAAGAGCGATCTGGCCATCGCCAAAATGTACCTGGTGTGCTATGCCATCCGCATCGGCTCCATGGAGTTTAAGGAGTCTACGGACTCGAAGCGAACCAGCATGAGCATTGCCAACAGCATGCTGAACGCCTCGAGTCGCAAGGCATCCCAGCTTTCGGTGAGCTCCAGTGGTTCCTCCACGAGCAATGGGGAATACATTATCCGACGGCCGTTTGGAGTGGCTTGCAAAGACCTCACGCCCATTATCAACAAGTCGGATGACTTCCGCGGCAACATTGACCTGCCATTCATAATGTGCGAGAAGGACACTTTGGATGGGACCCTGCGCAAGCTGATCGCCAACAAGGACATTGGCAAGATCGACTCCAAGATGGCGGTAACCATAGAGGTGCTACGCGGCGATATAAAGCAGATCAAGGAGGATTTTCCCCGACTGGTGCACACAAATGTTCCGGTTGCCCGCAAGATGGGTTTCCCCGAAGTTATTCTTCCGGGAGATGTGCGTAATGATTTGTATCTTACGATCTGCAGTGGAGAGTTTGCCCGCATCGCCAAAACCTCGGAGAAAAACGTGGAGGTATCGGTGTGTGTGGCCAACGAGCAAGGTTATCTCATGCCAGGAGTGCTGAGCATTGGAGCCGGTCATCAGCCAATCGATGAGTACAAATCGGTGGTCTACTACCACGACGATAAGCCCAAGTGGCAGGAGACGTTCAAGATCCACGTGCCCATCGAGGACTTTAAGCAATGTCACCTGCGGTTTGTTCTCAAGCATCGCAGCAGTAACGAGCAGAAGGATCGCACTGAGAAGCCCTTCGGCCTGGCTTATGTGCGTCTAATGCAGGCCAACGGCACCACTATTCCGCAGGGGCAACATGTTCTTGCTGTTTACAAGATCGATCACAAGAAGTACGACAAAACGGTGGCCAATTGTTATATGGAGCTTCCCGCCACAGTTGCTGAGTTGCAGGGCGCCAAGCCTTCGATCAGCGGACTCACTCTGCTGCCCAAGGATCAGCTCTCCATTGGAGTTAATCTGTGCAGCACGAAACTCACGCAGAGCGGTAAATTTGAGTCTTTAAATTCTCTTTAATACTTACTTGAAAGTGTATTGTTTTTTTTTAGTGAGCTTGCTTGGACTTCTAAACTGGTCAGCACACAAGGAGACGCTGGAGCAGTCCCTGAATGCCTTGTCTACAGTTCCCGGCGAAGAGGTGGTGAAATTTCTGCAGGACATCCTCGATGCCCTGTTCAATATACTGGTGGAGAATGATAATCCCGAGAAATACGATCAGCTCGTCTTTATGAGCATTATACACCTGATTGAAACCGTTTCTGATCTAAAGTACCAACACTTCCTCACAGTTCTCGATGTTTACATCAACGAGAGCTTCTCTTTCACACTTGCCTACACGTGAGTAAAAAATACAATACAATGCAATAAACCTTTATTAATTGTTCTATTAATGCTTAGCAAACTGATGGATGTGCTGCAGAAGAATATCAGCGATGCAATAACACCGAAAGAAAAGTCGGCCGATGGCAATGATCTGGAGGAGAGTGTGGCGGTGCGTCGTCTGTACAAGACCACTCGTTACCTTCATTACGTGATGAAGTTTGTGATCCGATCGCGTGTTCTCTACGCCGAGATGAATTGTAAAACGGAATACGTGGACTTTGCCACTCGGCTGCAAGAGCTTCTTCGCATGTTCATCGACATGATTGGCTGTCCGAGCAATCTGCTCAAGTCGGAGGGAGCTCTTCTGAAGAATCTGCACATTATAGCCACGGATCTGATGCAGGTCTTCGATCAAGTGCGATTGAGGTGGATTTAAAATATAAATCTTACATTTTTGGAAACTAATTAGTACTCTTTAACTTTAAACAGCATATCAATTGTGGAGATCTTGGAGAAATTCCCACCCCGCCGACTCACTCAGTCGAAAATGGGCTGCATCAAGGACTTTGTGGAGACCAAGCTGTTCACTCTGCCGAAATGCAGGGCCATCCTGTTACCCGTGTTCTGTAAACACATCAAGGATCACCTCGAAAGCAAGGAGGAGGTAAGTAATTGGGCAATAAAAGCGTGTAACCTTTATTTATCATTTGGGAACTGCATTTCGTTCTTAATCCAATGCATCGTCCTCGATAATTGTCTTGTATATGCACCGCCAAAACGCAAAATTAAAACATAAACCAACACATGTTCAAGTCAAGTCACTAAAAAAAACTTTCAGTATAACTTTCCTCACACAATTGCTTTATCTTCTACAAAATTTCAACCGTTCTTTGTGCTAAAGAATGCCCAATACAGAAAAATATGTTAACCAGATGCTCTAAACTTTCAATAAACTTTCACCATTTAATAAATATTAGTCCATTGCATACTTATTAAATGTGTTAAACTCTAACATTTTCCAAAACATGGGTTATTCATTGACTATAAATATTAATAAACTTTCACAATCCTAAAGATGTTTGTTCATATTGAATAATTGAGGTTTGTAAACATACCCGCGATTCTCTAAAAATATATTTTCTTGACATGTGACTTGTCTTAATTTTGCTCAGTTATAGTATGAATTTATAAACTAGTTACGAGTCTAATACCTGCAAGCTATGTTTAGTTAGTGTTAAGCATGTTGCATTTGCTTCCTATTGAATTATAAGAACGTTTAGCATGTGAATTGGCAAATTCGATTTATTTATTGCCTGTTGTTCTTTTATGTGTCTTGTGTCCTAGTCTTAGATCAATGTTTTCTCCACGTCTTAGTTTTAAGCACCATATAAGTGATTGAATCTTGTAGTGACTTAGCCATGATTCGTCCAAGTTGGCTCCATGTTAGCTAGCGATCTTCCTGTGTGTGTCTATAGCGAGATATAGATTGTACTTAACATGGGACGTAGCGAACTCATGTAAATGTTTTGTAAACATTTCACCGACGTGTTTAGTTTGGTCATTAGTATTTTGCACTCGATCACCGTCATCGTCATAGCTAGAAAGCAATTTGCATTTGGCAGCTCATCAAAGCACCACACAAACCACATCCACCACCCGGGAACAGTAAACACACCTTAAAAACACACCGAAACACTGAACACACACCCACCCGAATATGAATGTGCGACCTACCTCATCACCGGCACCCAGTTATCCAGCTATATACCTATCTGTCTGTACCTCTTCTCTAATTCCATCATCACTAAATGTTGTTCGTATAATATTTCAAAAATCAAAACCAAATCTTTATTCACGCACAACCCAACCGATGTGTTGTTATCGTTTTTCTGTTGTTGCCACCGCAATTGCCTTGTACAAAATACTAGGGAGACTCGAAAACCGATATCTGGCAGCAAGAAAAGAATCTTTCGAAAGCCGCCAAAGTGCTCGGACAGAAAAAATCCCAACTGCACACATGTGATACGACTGCCAACAAAAAGGTAAAGGAAATAAATCTCTCATCCCGAAAACTCTCACATATAGTAGGCCAGCTCAGGACAATTCCCTGTGATCTGTGATCATCAGCTCCTTGATTTGATATCCCCGATGTTTTTGTATTGCCATCATGTACCACCTAAGAAGCCTCTGTTACGAGCAAAATTTTTACCACGGCTTTTGAGCTTTATGCTGCTGATGGCGGGAAAATCGATTCATTTCCCTCCATTGGCGCCCGCTAAGTTAGGCTTAAGTTGTTCCAGCTTTTTTGCAATGCAATGTTAAATGGTTTCGTGTTTTTTTTATACCTGCAACGTTTTTTATGTTAATTATAATAACAATAAACACTAACGTTAACTTGTTCTTTTTGAATCCAGCAAGTGAGAAATCAGGGCTAGAAGAGCTCTCAAAACAAATAGATTTATTCTCTAAGATCCCAATTATATTTTCAATCTCATTCAGTTTGGCTTAGAAGCTATAAGATTATAATATAAGTTGCTTATTTGCAATATGAAAGTAATTCTTCAGACTTGCCAAATTTACATGAGTTGAAAATAGTAATTTGGCTTTAACCTTCTGAAATATGATCTCCCCTCGTTATTATCATTGCCCCTATTTAATGTACCCATTTCCATCGTTAGATTGCCGAGTGCATCAACATAATGAACAACATTTTGAAACTGCTGTTCCGTTCGGATGTTGGCTCCACGCACAACGACATCCGCGACATAATGATCATCCTGTTCCGCACCGTGATGAAGGCGGCTCACGCCTTGGACCGGGATACGGGATTGGTGGGCAAGTTCTTTGCCATCATGCTGGGAATCCTGCAGCGCATGGACGCCCAGCACTACGAGTACTTCGTGAAGGACTTGCATCAGCGCGGCGAGCTGAAGCACTTCGTCATCGAGATCCTTTTGGTGTTCGAGGAGCTGGTGTCGCCGCACCAGAAGCCAGTGTTTCCGCGCGACTGGATGGACATGATTATGCACCAGAACACAGTGATCCTGGGAGCCCTCAAGCACCTGACGGTGGTCATAACGGACTACTTCCTCTGTCCCTTCGAGAAGCAGATCTGGTCCAACTTCTTCCAGTGCTCCATCGCCTTCCTCGTTCAGTCGCCACTCCAGTTGAATGATTTCAACGACAAGAAACGACAGATTGTGTTTGCCCGGTATCGCGACATTCGGAAGGACACGGCCATGGAGATCCGGAAGATGTGGTTCCAGCTGGGCCAGCACAAGCCGAAGTTCGTGCCGCAGCTGGTGGAGCCCATCCTGGAGATGAGCATGATACCGGAGCGGGAGCTGCGCCAGGAGACCATTCCCATCTTCTTCGACATGATGCAGTGCGAGTACTACAGCTCGCGTTTGGAGCTGGAAAGCTATGGCGACACCAAGTTCAACAATGCCCACCACAAGGGCAACTTCTCCGACTTCAAGACGGCGATGATCGAGAAGCTGGACATCCTGATCGGAGCCGGCAAGGGTGATGCCGAGTACAAGCATCTGTTCGAGACAATCATGCTGGAACGCTGCGCGGCACACAACACACTGAATGTGGACGGAACCGCCTTTGTGGAGATGGTAACGCGGCTGATGGACAAGCTGCTGGAGTATCGCTTCATTATCCAGGACGAGAGCAAGGAGAACCGCATGGCGTGCACCTTCTCGCTGCTGCAGTTCTACTCGGAGGTGGATCTCAAGGAGATGTACATCCGGTATGTCTACAAACTGTGCGCCCTGCACATGGAGTTCGAGAACTACACGGAGGCGGCCTTCACGCTCAAGTTGCACACGGAGCTGCTCCGCTGGACGGACACGGAGCTGTCGCCGCAGTTGCGCAGCTATCGGCACAGTTCGTGCCGCACCCACCGCCAGCTGAAGGAGGCCCTGTACTTCGAGATCATGGAGTACTTCGACAAGGGCAAGCAGTGGGAGTGCGCCATCGACATGTGCCGCGTTTTGGCTCGCCAATACGAGGAGGAGATCTTCGACTATCTCAAGCTGGCGGAGCTCCTCAATCGGATGGCCATGTTCTACGAGAAGATCATCAAGGAGCTGCGCCACAACTCGGAGTACTTCCGCGTGTGCTTCTATGGCCGGGGATTCCCGAGATTCCTGCAGAACCGCGTCTACATCTTCCGTGGAAAGGAGTACGAGCGGCACAGCGACTTTTGCGCCCGCATGCTCGTCCAGCATCCGCAGGCGGAGCTCATGCAAACGCTGGAGGCTCCGGGGGAGGATATAACCAACAGCGACGGCCAGTACATCCAGGTGAACAAGGTGGAGCCAATAATGGGTCAGGAGTTCAACAAGTTCAACGAGAAGATCATTAACAACGAGATTGTCAAGTACTTCACCGCCAACAATGTGCAGAAGTTCCAGTTCTCGCGTCCATTCCGGGACAGTCTGGGTGGCGGAGACAGGGACGATGTGCGCAATCTCTGGCTGGAGCGCACCGAGCTGCTCATCCGTTTCCCGCTGCCAGGCATCCTGCGCTGGTTCCCCGTCGTCGACACAAACACTTTCAAGATTTCACCTTTGGCACGGGCGGTGGAGATCATGAAGGACACGAACCGAGATATTCGACAGCTGGTGATCCTGCACAAGAGCGACGAGAGTCTGCACATCAATCCACTGAGCATGAAACTCAACGGCATTGTGGATCCGGCGGTGATGGGTGGCTTTGCCAAGTACGAGGAGGCCTTCCTCACCGACGAATATCTAGAGCAGAATCCCGACGACAAGGAGTTGGTGGAGGAGCTCAAGGAACTGATTGCCAATCAGATTCCCTTGCTGGAAATAGGTAGTTATTGAAGTACTGGGAGAAAGCTGATAATGTGTTTAACCAATTTTGTTTTAATCCCAACAGCCATTCAGCTTCATCGCATGCGAGCGCCGGATAGTCTGAAAGCTCTGCAGGAGCACCTGGAAGGCTGTTTCGCTGACATGCAGCAGCACGTGGAGCTGCGCTACGGTCGCAAGTCCTGTGACCTCAAAATCGAACGAGATTCGGTCGTGATGCGCAGGCCAAACACTTTAATGTCACCACTTTTCGATGTGGGCAACAATCGCAACTCGGAAACCAGCATGGGATCTTCAGAGTAAGTTCATGAAACTAGATTTATGTGGCGTAGCTCTTATACCTTTTTTCTTTACCAACTTGCAGTAGCGGCCTGTCGAAGTCAACGTTTCTGCCGCGGCCACAGACCAACTCCATTAAGAACACCCTGGCGAGCTTGAGTTTCAACACTAGGTGAGTGACGATCATTATCCGGAGTAGTTTGGAATGCCCGCCCTAACAAGAACTCTTCTCACTCCTCATCCATGCTAACCGCTGGCTTTCAGTTTGAGACTCTAACATTATTTTGATTTCGTTTGATTTTTCAATTGCATTTTTCTTTCCCTTCGTTTCGTTTAATTGCCTTATTTTGCTTATCATCTCGCTTACTCGACCATGCCCACATGTTCAGACCCAGTTTGGGACACTCGCCGAGCATCAAGAGCAACAAGAACAAGGATAAGACTCCGGGAAAGCGTAGAAATAAGGATGGAAAGGTTAAGGTAAGTCTATGGTAATAAATTTAACTTTAACCCTTGCTAAATGCTACTTAAATCCACAGGAGCGCGAGGCCCATAGCCTGTCCAGCAGTCAGTGGTACACACCACCATTATCCACCATAACTTCAACGCCCGAAAAGGAGATCAATACATCCATAGCTTCGCTAGCCAGTACTTCCAATAGTTCTTTGAGTGGTCCCAAGACGCCCGATCCTCATGTCCTAACAGAAGAGGTAAATTTCTTTAAACTTGATTGTTATAACACTATCTAAATCTCACTTTGATACCACAGCTCACACCCAAGCGACCTCTGCGTTCGGAAATGGAGAAAGAACGACGTCTTTCGCGACCGGCCAGCATTGCCACTCCTACGACGACCATCAAGAATTTCCCCGACACACGCTCCTTGTCCGAAAGCAGCAATCGCAACTCTGTTGGTAGGTTTAACGGATATATAATTTGATTATAAGCAAAACAATTTAATATGTTTAAATGTTCCTTCAGAAACCACGGATTCCACATCGGAGGAGGACATTCGACCGCCACCTTTGCCCGCCAAAGCCAGGGACTCCACCGATTTCACCAGCCTGTCGCAGAACATGGACTGGATGCCGAATGGTTACTCGCTGCTCAGCTCAATTAGCAACACGAGCAGCAGCAGCATGAGCACCACGTCGACACTGACGAAGACCAGTATTACCAATACAACGTACGAGTATTTGGAGACCACGAACTTCAGTTTGGTGGGTGCCGTCGATGGAAACAAGCCGCGTCCACCGACGCCGCCACCGAAGCCATCGCGCCACAGCAAACACATTCCATAGGATAGCAGGGGCTTGGCATTCTGAACCCCCAAAAGCTTCCAGTGCAGCGCCATATATGTTCAAACGTTGTCGAGTGCCAAATATTCTTGTTACTACATGTATAGCCGGCAATCGAGCCTGTACACCCGCAGCCACGAAAACAGCAACGACCTTTGCCTCAACCTAACGACCGCCTACCAAATCAAGTGTCTTAACAAACGATCGCATTAGCCTGTAGCATTCAGATTCCCGATAACTATGTTTAAGTTTTTGGTTACGTTTAAATGATATTATGTTGAACATGTCATTTTCGTTTAGTTAAGAATTATGTCGTGTAATTTGTGTCCAAACAGACCCAACTGCTTGTCTTCCACAAGTACTAATTAATGTTGTACACACATTCGTTGTACTTTTAGATGTTAATGATTAGATGTAAATCAGCAAATCGAAAACTTTGTACGTCTCTTATGCAAACAAGTGCCACAGTCTATACGCAATATCAATTAACACTTAAACCCTACGACGATCTTCGATTTTAGCACAAATTTACGAACAAGTCAATTACGAAATAATAATGAGAAATGAAATCTTTTATGCTACAATTTTAGAACATTTTTTTGAAGAACGCTACTATTTACACTGTTTTTGATACGATTCAGTATAGCCATAACGTAGAGCAACTTAATGTTGAGATTTACTTGTTAAGCTTATATATAAACTATATATGAACAACTTTTTACACTGAAACCATACGGCACAACTATTTTACTGAACCGGAGTATACATTTTAGTTGTAAATTCATTGTTTAATTTGTATCTTAATGGATTCTGTGTAATTTTCGATCTGTGTATCGGCCAAAGATTAAGCAATAATAAAATACGATTAAGCATGTACGAACCAAGAATGGGTTGTTTTGGTTTTCTTTAAAACTAACTAAGTTTTATAGGTCTCCCACATTTTCTCGTTGAAATCGTTCGGCCAAACCTGACACATTCAACCAAACCTCACTTTAAAGTACCAGGCGAACAGAGTGCAATAGTAGGCTAAATTTTGGCTACTCTTAAAGTTTTTTCAATTGCTCCAAAAGTATGATCCAAATGTTGGTGAAAATGTGCAAGACATTAGCTTTTTTTTTTATTGAATAAATTTTTATTATATTCGCCGGAATCGTTCAGGACCATTTGAACATAACCGGGCGTTTAGAAGATGGGGTGTGTATGCTCAGCAAGAGCAAAAGCACATTTTGTATGAGCACCCAAAATTATAATACAATTTCGAAAGTTCTAGTTCATTTTAAATAGTTTAGTATAACTACATATTTCCTAGGGTTATACTGTAATTCGGGGATAATCCACGAAAACCGGGCGACTATATCATATAGCTATCATTTAGTAGAACTATTCCCCAGGCTTATACTGTACATTCTGGGACAATCCATGAAAATCACACGACTTTATCATATAGCTGTCATAGGAACAATCGGTAAATATTTATAAAAAAATTTCAGATTAACAAAACAAAAATTGCTAGTTTTTTTTAATTTAAACGTTTATTCAAGATATATTTTTGGGTTTAAATTGATTAGTAAATGGCGAAACCTGTTAAAATGAACACATTAACCAGGGCCGAGTTAAGTTGGTTATAAGTAAAAGAGGTTAGGTAAAAAATATTTCAGATAAATTAGAGTAGTAGAGATGGGATCCATTTCGGAAATTGGTCTTAAGCTTAGTAAATTGTAAAATGGCTTCGGTTTCCACCTTAGAAAGGCACACAGAATAATACGGTTTGAAAATGCACGGAATGTTCGTTGTTCAGGGACAGCTGAGTCCTGAGATTTGAGACCAAAGTGTAAGAGAGAGTGGGTGAAGAGGGCGGCAGGAACGGGGTTAGACATCAAACATCAACTCCGCGGGCCGAGTGCAGGTCCACGCAGATCTTGGAGTTGCGGTTCTGCTTCTGACTTATCTCTAGTACTTGGAACATCTCCTTGAGGGCCTCGCTGGTGCCCGTCTTGCGGCGATTGCGCCTCCGCAGGGTCACGCCTCCCGACTTGAATTCGCGCACTAGAGCGTCAAGACCTGGAACAGAAAAAGAAGGCGGAAAAGCTATTAAATCTAGGCTTTGCGGTCGGCATTACAATAAGTCGCTACAAAAGCTTAACAAACAAACATGCGGTTAGCTGTTAAAGGAAGGCGACGAAAACCATGACCCATGGAGCAGCCAATACTCACCCGCATAATCAAGTAAGCCAGGGATTCTAAAGGGGTGTTCGCTAGGTGGCAATTGGCCATAAATCACGGACAAGGCCAAAACGGGTTGATGCCAACACTCGGCAACTGTCGCCGGCGACAAATGAAGCTTGGACCCCCTGACAAGTCAATGGAAATATACGGACTCCTCGCCAGGATGTGCGAGTATGTGTGTTTTCAGTGGGGGTGCTGCTGCTGCTGGTGGCCAAGAACTCAAGAACGACTGGCAGGGCCAAGAAAAGTGGCGCAATAAAACACGGAAATATAAAACGCACAAATAATAATAATAATAATAAGCTACGGCGGCCACAGCCTCCCGGCAGCAACAATGCGGCCTGTGGTTTTGGAACGATGGCCCCTCCTCGTAAAAATAATAAATTGCGTACTCTTCGTCGTCGAATTTGATACGCTACTGGCTTGACAGTTTTTTAGGAGGCGACTGGGCGGAGGCAGAGGGCCATTCCAAGCAACATAAAGCTGCAAGGCAAGCGTAAAATATAGGAAAATTGTGAGAGTTTCGTTTAAAGCCGAAATTCCGGCAGGTTTCCTGCGTTGCCGAGGGTAGTGGAGTGGGAGGCATCATCATGGAAGCCAGGCAAAAGCCCTTTGCTCCAGTTCGACGAAACCCCAGAACGGTCGGGGCGAAAAACTTAAATCAAATTTAAGTTTTCAATGTATCGCATGGAACCGGAAATGGCACTCAGAGACGCAGCAGCAGAAAGCTTTAGTGTCGGCCAGGATATTGACAAATGTGTGCTGGAATTTCCACTACCGCTCCGCTCCGCTTCGCTACTGCCACTGCCACTCGACTCCTCCTCGTCCCGGAAAAACAATTCGTTTAAACCGTGCACATAAGCCCGTAGATTCGGCAAACGGCAAAAACGGGGCAGGTCATGGAGCAGGTCGTGCCCCTCCGTAGAAAGTGAAGCTGCTGGCAGGTATCTGGTGGCCATGGCAGCCGCACCAACAATGGCAGCAACTTGTTGTTATGTATACACACGACACAGCAGCAGCACAGCAGCAACACAGCAGCAACACAGCAGCAGTACAGCAGCCTGGCTTGGACAATATCAGCAGCCTTTGCCATTCACCTCTCCCCGGACTCGTCTCGCCTCGCCTCGGTTCGCTTGAGCACCGCTTTTCGTTCCGGTGTGGAGAGGAGGCGACTGCTTCATTTGTTTTCTCGCCCCACCGCCGACGAACAGCAGCAGCAGGACGACGAGCTTGACTTGACGAGTGCGGCCAGGACACGAGCAGTGGCTGATGCCTAGCCGTAAAGCTGATGTACGGCTGGCTGGCAGCTCAAACGGTTCACGTGCCTCAAGAGACGCGCGCGCGTTCTCCGCTCCACTCCGCTTGCAAGTCGCCTAGAGCCACAACTTCTCTATATATCCCAATATACGAGAATATATATCGAAATATACATATATATTTATGTGTGTGTACGAAAATCGTCATATTCGTGGCGGCACTTTTCTGGCTTCCAACAATACGCGCGTTGATTGATTTTGATTTGAATGTGCGCTCGTTACGCATACGACGCGTGGTGCGCGCCAAAAAGTGGGCAACAGCCATGAAGCCAGCGCCAAAACAAAACGGAAACGGAAGTGCTTAGCGACAGTGTGCTATGTCAGTGAAAGTGTGTGGGTTTGGAGGGTTTGATGGCCAAGAGTGATGGCCCTGACATTGCTGGCCTAATCCGAAGTTTTGACCAAGTAAGTGGATGAAAGTAAGACATTCGGTGATTAGATTAATCACCTCATTGTAATAACCTGTAGCTGAAGTGAGCCTAGCTCGTGGATCAATAATTCATACGCAGATACATATTTGCCAAAGGTATATAATGTAATCATGCATTTCCTGCCAGGCTGCACACACGCACAAAGGGTTCAGCAACCGAGGGAACGGATATATTTTGATGCGGGCGTATGAGTTGATTTCATTTTCATTGAGCTTATCAAACAGCCTGTCCCCGTCACATGTGCAGGCAGATGATTTCCCTATTCAATCTGATATAAAGTCTACATTGTGTGTACATGCCAGTTTAATATTTCTTTAAACTATTTTATAGCAATCAGAATCGATTGGAGTTCTCCCCACAATTGTTTCATCGCAATAAAAGCGAAAATTAAACGGCAAAGATGGCCCACAAGTGCAATGGCGAAGTAAACACTTCTCTCCAGAAAGTACTTGCTTATATAGTTAATTTCCCTAGGCTTCGCATTGTGTGCTATACTCGAATATGTATTATGAAGTGGTGACAAAAAGACAAGAAATCATTGAATACATTCTTCCACCAGGTTTAAATTCAAAGGTTAATTAAGTTTTAAGTAATGATGGCATGACAATGGCTAGAACTTGAAAACCAATTGAATTTCTTTACACTGATGTTATCAAGGCAAGTGTGAAACATGATTAAAGCTTTTGTAGAAGTTCTATAGTTTGTAGATTTAGTTCACGAGAGGTTTGCGTTACATTATTAATAAATATAACTTTAGTAACACAACTTACAAACTGTAATGAGCTATCATGAAATATCATCTGCAGAGCAGCTTTAAATTTTCAACTGTTTGAATTGGGAAACCCAACCTGCCTCGTGTGCTCATAATTCCTATTGATACCATTTTTGTCCAGGGCATCACCAACCGATCCCTCCATGCCCGTTCCTCTCAAAAAGCTGCTCGCAAACTTAATTAAGAAGTTGCTGCTGCAGCAGTCGACAGTGAATGGCAAAAGTGGCGGGGAGGGGAAATCGGGAGGCAGAAAGCCAGCAAGTGAAAGCCTGCATTGGGCGGTAAAAGAAGCCGACGTGTAGGTAAAATCAATTACAATCGCAGACGGGTGTTGCCGTGTTGTTGCGTGTGCAGGGGGTGGGAAAGAGAGGTGGAGGTGGAGGAGGAGGAGGAGGAGGCAGGACTCGAACGGAAGGATGAGTGGCTTGAGCGTAACTGACAATTGACAGCAACAAGTTGGGCCCTTCAACCAGATCTCTCGCCGGGACACGGCGACAATGGCAGGCACTTGTCAACGCACGGCTGGCAAGGATTAGCCGCAGACACATGGCTGGTAACATGAGTGGGTCGGATGGTGGTGGGAATGGAGGGGAAGGGAAACCCTCAGCTGACAGCTTTTTTCAGGCCAATTTCCCGAATTCAGACAGACAATGCTGGCAAATAATCTGCTCAAATCGATTCAAGTCAACGAAAATGCTTCGAGCGTTCAAGTTTTTCAAAAGTCTATTCAACTTTTGCTTAGTTTTTCAGCCACTTGAGCTGCTCGAGAGCCAAAGGTTTTCCACAATGGTCAAGAGTTGCTGGCTCTGAAACTTTATTAAATTTCTCAAGCTCACCAAAGGTCTCGAAAGTCGCATGGAAAATGAGGCCAGGAAAATGTGTTTGAGGGTCATCATTGTGGCATTGACACTTTAACCCACCCACTGAAACATACACACACTCTGTATTTTTTTAAACCCCTTTGGAACATCTGGTAGATACTTTGTTTTCTGGCTGGGATCGCTTACCTGTTGCTGCCTCGGCCTGTACCTGATGCTTCACATTGTCGATGATCTTGTCGCCGCTGCCCTTGCGCAAACTATGACCGGCAATGTGGTCACTGAAGCTGCCACCTCCACAATCCCCGCCAGCTGCTGCCACCAACAGCTTGCCCGGCATGGGAGGAGCTGGTGGCGGCGGCGGAGGAGGAGGCGGAGGTGGTGGAGCAGCAACCATTACCTTTTGCTCGGACTGCTGATAGTGCGCCAATTGCTCCTCGGCGCGATCAGCTCGCGTGACTGCCTCGCGCAGCTGCTCCTCGAGTATCTCCAACTTAAGTTGTAATTTTTTTAGTTCATCGTTAGTAGTTTTGGCAATAGCCGCATCCATTAGACTTTGCTACAAAAGGCAAGAAACGAAAACAAGGGTAGAGCGGGGCGGGCGAGAGCAGGGTCAGGAAGAGAGATTGGGTTCGGGGTGAGAAAATTAGTAGATCTATCAAAGCATTTCACGGGGCAAGTTAGTGCATCGAAAGCCAGAGGAGAGTGGGTGGAATTAGGCGGAGCACGGCAAGCAATTTGCTTACGTGTCTTGGTTTTGTTTTGGTGGTAGATTGGATTGAAGAGAGGTGTGATGACCCTTCACCAAGATTAGGGAACAACAACACGCCCAGCTTGGCACATCCCATGCATTTCTCAGATCGTATTATATATGAATACTCGTATATATGCGCCTTCGCCTGTTCGGAGTTGTTCAGTTGCTCTTGAAGATATTCGAGAGCGGCTTGAATATATCAAACACGCTGCGTGTTTGCTAAGTAACAAAGTGACAAAGGGACAGAAGAGATAGTTTTGATAGCCGTATACCAAGTGCGAAATAATAGAGAGAGACCAGAACTCGGGACTAACCATTTCCACAATGCGCTCGTTGTGCTCCCTGGCCTGCTGTTGCACCTGGTCCTGGATCTGCTCGAACTCCACCTGGTCGTTCAGCACACTGGACGAGGTGCTGGTCCTGGAGCCCGGCTGTCCATCGGTCAGATCGCGGGTTTTGGCGGTGAGTTCATCGTTGCGCTGCTTCAACTTGATCAGAGCAGCCTCCATTCTGTTTTGGGATATACATTTAGTATATGTTTTAATTGTTCTTTATCAGTTATTAAACTCACTTCTGGCTGGTTTCCACACTCTCCTTCATGTTTTCGGTCAGCAACTTGGCCACTTTCGTCAAGTTGCTGTTCTCCGTGCGCAGGGATTCGTTTTCCTCCTCCAAAGAGTGTTGCTATTGGAAGAAAAGCAAAGCCATTAGAAGTTAATGAAGCTCTACATGATTTAGGTATAGATTTGAAAAGGAAAAAGTAATCTAAATATAAATCCAATATAAAACTCTCCATCTTACCTGCTCCAACAGTTCTGCCATCTTTTCGTTAGCCTCGTACAACTGAAGCTCCACGGAATTGGTGGCATGCTTGAGGGTCAGGAACTCGTCGGCCAGACGCTCTACCAGGTCGCTGGTAATGGGCACCGCATCCGAATTGACATTAACCAGACTGTCGAGCTCTTGAGTCCCGATGCTATCGGCACTGTCTGTGCTGCCCGACTGCAGAATCTTGAAAAGCTTTCGCTTGAGTTCCACGGATCCGAAAACCGAGCGTGGAGCTATTTGAGGTGTCTGTTCCTGTTGTTTCTCCCGCATATGCTCCAGCTCGCTGGTGAGACTGCAAATGGGAAAATCAATCAAGAAATGTATTCGATTTAAGACTTATATGGGAACTTACCTGTGGATCTGATCGACTTTCATTTTGTGCAGCTTGTCCAAAGCATTTCGCTCATTGAGAGCCTTGTTGAACTTTGAGTTGAGCTCCTTGATTTGGGTTTCGAAATTGGTCTGCTGTTGTTGCAGCGATTCGAGGGCGACACACATTTTCTCGTGCTGAGCCTGCTGCTCCTCCTGCGTGGTTTTATCTGAAAGATAGGGAATGCAAAAATAAGTACACCCAAATAAAACCAATGATAAACTAGTTACTATATCCTAAGCAAATTTATTGGTAAGCTATTAAACATGAATCAAATGCATATCGAATATCTCTACAATTGTGGCATACTTACGCGTTTCGATCTCCAACTTGAGTGCCTTGTTCTCCTCCCTCAGAGCGATATTATCCTCCAGCAAGGTGAACATATCGTGCTCCGGATCCTGTTCATTGTAGTCCGGCTCCCTTACGCGGCTTCGGCTGCGTGTCTTGGCCTCCTGGGTACGGAATTTGGCCACCGGAATGCGTCCACGTCGCTCCATCTTGGGGTAGTTTTATTGCCTGGCAGTAGAAATAAAATAGTTCTATTTGGTAACTAGATAATAGAAAAGCTTAAGCTTTGCTTACATTTTGCCTGCGAACAAGCCTTAAAGCCAAATCCTTAACCTCTTATGCTAAGCAATGCAAATGGAACTTAATGCTGCCATCACCAAATGATGAGTGTTTTTTGGGTGTGGATGCGTTGTTTTGGGTGTGTTTGGTTTATGGGGAATGGAGTTGTGTGCTGCATGCCTGGAAGGTGACAAATTGCTCCTCAAAGACGGGGGCCCACATTAAAAAGGCCTTGGAGTTTTACTTTTCGATTTTATTATTTGCTGTTTACAATTTCCTCTTGATTTCTGTTTTTATCTTGCCTTGCCCGCCCCTTTTTTACCCGATTCCCTATGATGCCCCATGTGCCACATGCGTGTACTTCTGCTGGGTTGGGTTATGTGTTCGATTCGCTTGGATTCTGCTATTTGCTCTCCTCAATCTTCTGCTTCTGCTTCGACTGCTAAAAATGCGGAATACCAGTTTGCCTTGGTTGAATTTATCGAGAAGTTGGCCGAAAGCATTTGGAATGCTTGCCGAAAGTTGCTAAGAAACTAGTTAAAGTGCCACGCCCACTGCTCTCGAATTAAGCCTACATAATTAGCTTGGCTTGAGAAATATTTGCTTGCAAGTGCAGAAGCGTTTCATTTACCTCCTTTTTGCATGGCTTTTTGTTTTCTTCTGTTTTTGTTTTGCTTTGTCAATTCTTAACTATTTTAATTTAACTGTATTTTTGCCATTGGTTTTTGTGATTTTCTCTTTTGCTAATTACTTATGCGTACAATTTCCTTTGCTTTTGCCGTAAATCAATTTCATATTTTGTCACTTGTAGTGTAAAAATAAAAAAACCTAAAGTTTATACACAAAACTCTCGAGTTTAGTACAACTCATTTTTTTCGCTACATTTCTTGGTTGCCTCGCTTTAATTATATATAAATTTTTGAGATTGAGTTGCTTTTGTTTTTCGATTTAGTTTTTTCATTCAATTTTATAAAAATAACTAATTAAAGGCGGCTTAGAGCTCTTTGTTTTTGCTTTTTTTCGTTATCTGTGAATGCTTCTATGCTTGAATAGTTTTTTTTTTTAATGTTTTTCTTTTAATGTTCTTTTTTAATTTGGTTTATATAGCTATATAGTTTATGTGTTTTACGTTTTTGAAATTATTAATAATAATGTATTTTTTCTTTCCTTTTTACAGCTAATTTTAAGATTTATCTTTGGATAATCATGCTTTGTGTGCTAAATACTTTACATGTCTTTACGAATTTTATAATTTACATTCTTTTTTATAGTATACGTACGTATAATTTGTTATAAATTATAATTTTCATAATTTATTTATATATATATATATATATATTTTTTTTTTTTAGTATATGTGAAAATTCTGAGTCGAACAAGAGGTCCCAGAATTGAGATTGGAAATACAGATCTTTTAGGAAGAGAGGGGTTCATTTTCGTATGGTTTGAGCCGTCGCAATGAAAATACATAAACAAATGTTGGTAATAGATTATAATAGATCAAATAAACAAACAATATGGTGAATTCATAAAGCTTTGTACTGAAAGGTAAAATAAACCAAATTCGTTTAAAGTCTAGAAAAGTATGCTAAGCTACACAGCTAGGCCTATAAAGGATGTCCGCTTTTATTTAAATGAATAACGAAATACTGAGGTTTACGAAAGTGAATAGTCTATATGTAATTATACATAATACATAATTATATTTATATACCCTGCTTTTCTGCTTTTCTTGGGGTTATGCCTTGTCTGAACTTGAGTTAATGAAAACATTTTCGACATCGGAGATTCTGTTATACATAGTTTTTCGATTTTTTTGTTTGGTTTTTATTCATTTGATACGATTAATGTGTAAATATGTTTATCTTTGTGTTTGTGATTTATGACCGAGTCATTGAAAGGGAATTCTCTTTCTTTTAAGGAACGCGTTGTGATACAAATGAAATGGTTGTGTCTGAAAGGGTTTGGTTCGCAAAGGAAATCTGTGTTCAAAAACAAAGAATTTTTGTTTCGACAGATCTATTCGTGGTTAAACATATAATTGTGTGGATTTTTTTGTTTTCACAGATCAGATTCAGCGTAAAACAAATAAGTGTGTTAGGGGGCGATTGCCACCCACTGTGGGTGGTCAGATTCACAAGCAGAATTTTCGACTGATCGTTCGATTTATGTTCTTGACTGGACACCTACGACCGCGCCTAGTCTGAGTATGGGTTTCAAACGATGTTGCTGTAATGCTCCAGTTGCTGATTGGTTGGTTGTTTGGGTTTCTTCGTTGTGGTGTTTTTGTTTGATTACAATCGGATTGTTGCTAGTTGGTACTGTCTTCGTTTTCATCTACATCTCCTCGATAAAGCCGCGCAGCTTTTCGATAAACGGGCGTCGGGAGGCCGACGAGTGCGCGACCTCCAGCTTATACCACTTGTCAAACGACTCCTTCGGGATCACCTCGCTCTCGTACAGAACGCTGAACGTGCTACAGATGGTCTCGCCGGCGGCCATCTCGTCCTCGAACTCGGCCATGAAGTGCTGCTGCAGCGATTCCACAGCCTCGTCAATGCAGGCGATCTCCAGCGCCTCCTGGGCGTCGATGCAGAGTCGCAGCAATGGTGTACAGCGGCTGCGGAAGCTCTCCGTGTTCAGCTGCAGTGGCTTTGCGTTGCCGCCGCTCTTGTTGTTGTTGTGGGTTTTTGTCATCACAGTCAGCGCGAAATCACAGCACAGGAATCTAGTGAGCTCCCTCACAAAGTTGTCATTGATGGCCACGTTGGTGTTTATGTAGTCAATGGCCATGTCGCAGGACAGTGCCAGCAGGTGTCTTATCCGCTCCACATGCTCCCCCGGCGATCGTGGCGTTGATGGCGCCTTCGCTTTGGCGTGCCCCTGATTCTGACCGGTTCTGTTGTCCAGAAAGTAAAAACTGTGCGACTGCACAAACTCGCGATACTTGTTCACATCGCTCCAGAACAGTTGTCCCCGATCCAGTTTGTAGTCGTTGTGCCAAAGCTTGCGGGCATAGGCGGCTCCAAACTCCTGCACAAAATAGTTGACAAAGGCGTACACAAAGCGCTCGGTGCAAATTGGACTCTCCAGCCAACGGCGCTGCCACACATCCTTCAGATCCAGATGACCCGCGTGTATAATGGGGCCCAGGAACTCAAACACATAGCCCAACGCGTTGGGCACGTCCACCAGCAAATCGGGTAGATCCTCGCCGAACCGAGAGTACGCCTGCTCAAAGGTCTCCGTATCCACGGCATCCTTGTCCATCAGATAGGCAAATACGTTGGCGCACGCCTGACGTTGCTGGCGTTTCACGGACGAGCGATGCAGGTAGTCTATCAGCAGGAAGTGAAGTGCCTTCGACTGCTGTGTCGGGCTGTGCGAGCGCCAAATCTGCAGAACTTCCGACTGCCAGTCGCCCGTGTGCGAATGATCGAGTGCCTCCTCGATCAGCTTGTTTATGAGCACCTGGCACTGCTTGCTATCGAAAGCGGCGTCTGTAGAGTTTTCCACCTGGCCCCTATTACCGCCGGCAGACGGGATTGGAGTGCCCAACTGTTGCGGTTGCTGCTGGTACGGTGAAAATCTGTAGTTTTGTCCGGGACGCTTGAGCAACGATGTTGGCGGCGGCACACTGGTTGTGGTGACGGGTGTCGCGTTGGCCGGACGATTCCGCCAATATTGGTAGTGCGATGAGTTGCCCAACTTGGCAGACGAGTCGTCAGTGGTGGTGCTGCTGCTGAAGCGCAGCTTGCTGGGATCGATGCTGAGGGTCTGGTTCTCGTGATGCTGCTTGTTGGGCATCTTCTGCATGAAGTAGTTACCGCCCTCGTGGCCGTGCTGATGGTGATGCTTCTGCTGCTGGTGGTGCATCGGCTGCTGGTGTTGGCTTATCCCGCCTCCCCGGCCTCCACCTCCCCCTCCGCCAGCGCTGTGATGCATCTGCTCCTTGGGCTCGTCGTGCTGCTTGTGCCGCTGACCGCGACCACCTTGCTGTCCACTCTGATGGCTGGTCGGCTGATCCCAGTTGCGCATTCGCAGATCGAGCACATCCTGCATCATGAACCGCACTCGACTGCTGATCTTGATCTGCACCTGCTGACGGTGGCCCGTCCCGCGCGAGCGGTTTATAATGTCCTGAATGCGGCGGAAGATCTTCTCAATGCGATCCCTCAGCTGATACTGCTCTGGTTGACTGGCCTCCAGCAGGTGGCCCACAGTGGTCAGCAGCTTGCACATGTACTCCAGCTTCTCCTCGCATCCGTGCTCGAGCAGCGACTCCACGCAGTTGAGCACCCGGTCGCTTGTCAGCGACTGCAGCTTGAAGAGCTCGCCAATGAAGCGAACAGTGCCCCAGGCACGTCGCCGGAACTGGTACTCCAGGTCCTCCATTTCGGCGCGCAACTCTGTTTTTCTTGCCGGATCCGTACACTGATTAATGCGATCCACCGTCGGCTGCAGCTTCTTGGCCTTGGCGTTGGCATCGTTCACATTCGACTCGAATTCGTGCTGAATGCGAGTGATAAGTGAGCTGGTGAAGAGCGACTTGTTCTCAGCCTTGATCTCGTGAAAAAGCACCTTGCAAAAGCGGGCATAGGTGGGCGCAAAGTTCGGCTCACTAATAGTCTTCTCAAAGATCAGCAGCATGACCTGGAAAAAGTTATAAAAGTTAAAGAATTAGTTGTATTACAATACAAAATTAAAAAATATAAATTTAAAGTCATTAAATAGTCTTGACTTACATTTGTCATTTTGGCTTCATTGTCCATCTTGATGCTGGACATCTCCTTGAGCAGCACCTCGAAGTTGTCGGGCGTAAGCTTGTTGAGGATACCGCGCACCTTCTTCAGCACGCTGTCGACATCATTGTCCTCATCCTGGCCGCCAGCCATGGACACACGACGCAGCGTTCCCGGCTGCCAGGCGTTCTCGCACTCAGACAGCTTGATCTCCTCCTTCAGCGACAGCTGCACCCGAATGATGTCCATGTGGCGCTGGTTCGTGTTGGGTCCGCCTCCTCCCATGTTGCCCATGCCACCAGGGCCGCCCATCTGCTGGTGGCCGTCGTGGTGCTTCTTGTTCGGTCCGTGTCCGCGTCCACGCTTGCCGGGCACATAGTCCATGGACTCGTTGAAGCTCATGTGCTGGTACTGCTGGATGTGCGGTCCGTGTCCGTGACTATGGTGTTGCTGGGGCTGCTGCTGCCGGGAGACGAACAGCTGCGATATGCAGTCGCCCTTTTGGCACGGCACCATCGGAGGCTTGCGCGAATCACTTCGCTTGGACAGCTCGCGCAGGGTCTCAATGCTGTAGCGATAGTTCTTGGGCACTTGGGAACTGGGCCCAGGACTCGAGCTGGGGCTCTTCGACTTCAATAGTTTCTGCTGGCTAACTTTGGGTGAACCCAGACCTTTGCCGGACGCCTGGTGCAGTGGAGAGCTCTTCTTGCTGCCGGCGCTCTTCTCTCCAGAAATCGAAGCCGTTACCTTGGGTGCACAGTCCACATTATCAGCACTCCGGCTGCTCAGCGAAGAATCATCCTCGGCTGCCTTGCTCAGCGTTGAACTTGACCAGGTGGAGCTGCATATGAAACCGGTCTCGAGGCGCGCCTCCTCGTGGAAATCCCCGAACTTGAGTTCACCAGCAGGGTTGTCTTCTGTCTTGATCACGCCGCCTTCAGCCCGCGTGGAAATTGGTTCATCTTCTTCGCAAACCGAACTGCTGCTGTTGAGGAACTGCAGCGTTTGGGTCTCCGAGAGTGCGGCAGATGTGTTGGGGCTGCCCTTCTGCAGAAACTTCGCCACAATCTCATCGTTGGCCAAGTGATCTGACTTGCCTTCCGGAATATTCAACATACTGTCCTCTTTGCTGTCCGCTATGAAGAAAACCAAATATTTATAGTTAATAAACAAAAGTAATGTTAGTTTTTATCTTTAAATTACAAGCCACACATGTCTCGATTTGAATTAGTTCAAGATCACATTTACGGAACCAGTTCCTTTCGACGAACGTTATCAGTTCGCGGAAATGAATCGCGGATCAGTTTCAGTGCAAAAAGCTAAACTGGTGCTGAGCATTTACACTTGTTATTAGAACTCGGATAGTTATGCAAAATATACACGCAAATATGCACGAAATAGCAAAATATGCTCAAGAATATGCATTTAAAAATACAAAATTATATAAAAGAAGAATGCAAAATTAGTTAAAATATGTTGGAAAAGACAGATCTACATTGAACTCCGACAAATTTGGTCCTGTTTTTGGCTTCCCTGATCGGCATTTTCTTCCTTCTATCTTTGGCAGCTTTATGTTTCAATGATGCAATATTCTGTTTTAATTGAAATATTTTTTTTTCCCTTGAACTGTACATTCACAATGCGTACAAAATAAAACTGACCCATCAAACCGAAATAATTTGTAAAATTCGGCTTTCATACGCAATATAAAATTACCGCGCGTTTCTTTTCTAATCATTCCGACCAATTTTGAAACCACTGAGAAATTTGAATGCCACGAGACGAATGATAATTTAAGAATATAATAAAGCGTTTATTCTTATTAGTCATTCGGAGTACATTGAGGAGTCATCAAAGTACCCAGTGTTAATCATTTGATGAAAATAAACAACTTGAAAGTCAAATTATATTCAATTCCACGCAATAATTATACACAATTAGATAGACTTGTTATTGAATGGATTCAGTTCTTGATGAATGAAATATTAAAATATGCTCGAACATGCACTTTCGGTCAAAATATGCTTTAAGGAAAGAAATGCAACATGCATTTGCATGACTATCCGAGCTCTAGTCGTAATAAAATATCTAGAAAATTCAGTGATGTTACTTACAGTCAGGATCGCTTTCTGCCTCCACATCATCCTCGTCTGTGTTGTTGTTGTTGCTCGTCAAGTGCTCCTTGGGGTTGGGCATTGGGTTGTTGTCTCTTAGAGTAGAACTTACGTTAGGATTATTACTAGTTGCACTAAGCTTATCAGTCGTCGGTTGCGCCGTCGCCTTCTCATCGACAGCAGTCATTCCTTGTTTGGTTGTTGCCGCTAAAGTGTTTGTTGCCGTTGTTGTTAGTGTGGCCGTTGTTGTTGTTGTCGACACAGTGGCAGCATTGTTGTTGTTTGAATTAATTTCCGGCGCAGCGTTGCCGTTGCCATTGCCCTTGCCATTGTTATTCTGAATCTGCCCCTGGCTGTTGCTTGTGGTGCTCGTTATCGAGGACTTCTGTTTCTTTTTCTCCAGCTCCTTGGCCCTTTTCTGGGCCTTGCGTTGCTTCTTGGTCGCGCTGTTGGCGTTATTGGCAGCAGAAGTATTGCCGGCGAGCAGGGAGACAGCGGCCGAGATGCGTGGTGCAGCTGGTGATGCTGCAGTCGTGAGTCTTCCGGGGATCTGCTTTCCTTGCTGTGAGCTGTGAGTCGGCGTGGAAGCGGCCGAGGATGAGGCACCCGAACTGGTGGTGATCGAAGTAGCGGGCGCAACACTCGACTTCCTGGTGGGCGAACCCGCTGCTGTTGGTGGCTTCGCCTGCGTCGGAGCAACTGTGGTAGCTATCGACTTGGTTGGCCTCGGCTGGGTGGCGACACGTGAGGCTGGCGGCGGTGTCGAGGGACCCGATGGTGTCAGCATCGGCTGGCTTCTGGACAAGATGGAGATGCCCGGGCATCCGCTGGCCGCTGCCTCGGCCACGTCATTTGCTATGGATGTAGGCGTGGCGGTGCCTGTAGGAAAGATAATTAGTGGTTGATCGAGGGATTGCATCTGGTTACCACTCACTTTGCTTGTTGGCCGATTTGGGGCGCTGCTTCTTGGCCGACTGCTCTTGAAATAAAACGGGCTGCTGGCCCTCTTCGACGGCTTCGTGCTGATTTAACTCCGAGTGTACCAGTGGCAGGCTATCGTGGGTCTCCGTGGCATTGTCCACTGTAAGAGGAATCATTAGACTGGGAAACGAATAGCCCGGCTAACTTCGGCTTGCCGAACGTATGACATACCCTGGTTTGAATTATTTTTTATCTTATTTGGTAAGGTTTGGATTTTTTATCGATTTATTTTCTAATTTGGAAGGCAATTTCTAACGGACTGATTTCGAAAACCTAACAGTAAAGGACTACTTCGATAAGCTGCATCATTTCCTATTGAGTTAAGTAAATCACGACTATGAACTCACCGTCGCTATACTGCCAGAAGCTTAGGTGCTCATCGGTGTTGCCCGAGTGGGCCAGTATGTCCTTGACGATAATGCTGATCTGATCCTTGTCCGTGGTGCCGGCTGGAGGCGACAGGTCAGCTTCCGGATCGGCGCCTTCCTCGCCGAACACCATGCCAGACACCTTCTCCGAGGAGACGGACTGCGAAGCGGTCGACTGACCAGTCTGCATCTGCGGATCCGCCAAGACGCCGGACAAAAGCGACGAAGCCGAGGCGGAGTCCATGAGGATGGGTGCCTGGAAAAGACACAGAGTGCCATCCGACTCCAGAGCCGTGCTCGGTGTTAGTGTCGAGTTTGAGTCCTTCTTGATGAACACCGAGCTCTTGGGATCCATCACGTCCTCGTTGGTATCCGGATGGATAATGGGAATGGCATAGCGTCGCAGGCCAATCTTGTCGCTGCTGCTGGGCACCAGTGGTTGGGCAGCACCCACCGGCTGCGTGGGCAACGAGGTGGTCGAGAATCCACTGGTCACCGCCGGCACTCCGGCCACACTTGACACACTGGGCAGCGCGGGGGCGCTGGTGCTCTGCATGTGCGCGGCATAGGTGTGCAATCCAGCCGGCGCTTGCGGGGGCGGAGCTTGGATCCCAGCTGGAGCCAGCATTGGTCCCGCTGCCATTGCCGCTGGAGGTCCAATGGTTATGCCCGGCAGGAAACTGGTCGGCAGGTGAAAGGCGGCCGCACCGTTGAGCGTCCCGTTGCGGGAGTTCATCATGGGAGCCACTGTCGCCGGAGCGGGACGCGGGGCATTCGCCTGCGCAACGGCGAAGGCGGCAAAGTAGTTCGGATGCTGGGCGGTGGCCGCAGCCCTTTGGTTGCCGCGCATGCTGCCTCTGTGTGAGTTGCCGCCACTGGCCACATTGTTGCCGGCATTATTCGGGGCGATATGGTAGTACGAAATCGACGGCGTTTGTCCAGCTCCAGCTGCTCCACCGGGTCCGGGTTGCTGGCCATTCGGCGGCAGTTGTTTTTGCTGCGGAGCGGTATAGAAGGCTGTGGGCGGAGCTCCGGCCGCTCCGTTGGCGGGAAAGGCCATAGCCGACTGCATGCCCATGAGCTGACCCGGCGGGGTGTAGGGAATGTAGGTTGTGGAGAAGTAGGGGGCGCCCGGATTAGCCGCATTGCCGCCGGCGGACGCTATCAGGCCAGCTGACTGCGGGAAGTGGGGCGGAAGCGTTTGGTTGCTCAGCGCCCGGGTTAGATTAGCGCCGGGCGCCACGCCATTGGCTCCGCCATGATGGCCTCCGCCGTGGGGATGTCCCCCCAGCGAGTTGCTGCCGGCGTACGGAGGCTGGGCGTTATAGAAGATGAGCGGCTGTTGGTGCGCCTGGGTTTGCGACGGTTGTGTTGCGCTCGACGCCGTTGACAGACGAGCGGCATAGGGATCCAAGGGCGTGGTCGTGTGCGAGGTCGTGGGCATGGGCGTCACTCTGACATTGCATCCTTGCACCTGATGCTGCTGCTGTTGTTGCTGCTGCTGCTGCTGCGCCGCCTGTTGTTGTTGCAGCAACTGTTGCTGCTGCTGGTGGTGAAGACCGCCGTGGTTCGGTACAAACAGAGCGTGTGCCTGTTGTTGTTGCTGCTGCTGCTGTTGTTGTTGAACCTGCTGTTGTTGTTGCTGCTGCTGCTGCTGCTGCTGTTGTTGCTGCTGGATATGATGGTGGTGCGAGTGGTGGTTGTGGTTCTGCTGGTGTGTCGACTGTGGCCTGGTTCCCTTCCCACCCCCTCCCTGTTGTAGAAACATAGGAGGACCTTCGGAGGATCTGCACACGCACTCAATCGCACGGTCACACGCACAGGCAAAGGCAAAGGCACAGGCACACACGGAGAGTTAAGAAAACCGCGGCCGGAACAAAACAGATGTACAAATCGTAATGTTAGTAAGATGGAAATGGAAGTGAAAATGGTTTGGCGATGTATGGGAATGCTTGGCGTATTATATAGTTCAAAGCCGTGGAATCCATGCGTATGTGAATCGAATAAAAAAAAGGGATGCGAAGCTACCAAATAAGCGGCATGCAAATTAGCTGTTTGATCTTATGACTAAAAACTTGGCGAATGCACTCCCAATCCCAATCACCTCTTTCTGCTCACTGTCTCTCTTTCAATTGAGCTCTTTAATTGGAATGTGGAGTATGATGTCACTCGCTGGGCGTGTCTACATCCAAAATGCTTGCGAAGATGGCCCTGCCGCCTTATCGCCGCTTTTATCAATGGACTAGTCACTGGCTCGGCGCAACTAGCGGCGGATGGGTGACACACGGTAACAAGTGGCGCTATTAGTCAGTGTTGGCCTTAAAGCGGATCGACACAAAGACAGCCACAGCCACTGAGACGCAAAATGGCAGCAGCCAGCGGGCGTGGGAGGTGAGCGATGGCTCGCTGTCGGCTGTTTTGGCCACAACCAGTTTGGCATTCCGTCAGCACTTTCCTCAGCACAGTGCAAACTGCCAGAAGTGGATCACTTGAAACTGTTAACGATACGGTTTAACTCGACCATACAACTTTTCTTTCGTGTTCGGTTAAGGTATATTAATTAAACGAGGTGCAATGCTGATTGATAAGAATGAGACGGTTGCATCATCATTTAGCTGAGGAGACAAAGATCGGTCGCAAAAAGCGCTTACCCGGAAAAATGGCCAAAGCTTTGTTTATACACTTAAGGTTCTTGTGACCATACAAATAATAAACAGAAACAAGAAACTTTTTTGAGAGTCAATTGGCTTTAAAACAATAAATTGATATCAGCTTTAAAACATCTATTTTGGCCACATTATAACATTTTACGCCCTGCCAGTTTTCACTGTGCTGTTCCCATTGCAGCTCTGTGCTGGCCTAGAAAAACCCAACTCCAGTGCAGTTTGAGGCCAAGCACCTCGGCAGGAGAAAACCTGTTTTCCAGAGGGCGAAGAAGATGCCGCTGCAACTTGAGTTGGACCTCCATTTTCACTCGATGACGAGGAAAACGAAAACCTGGCTGGTTCACTTGTTTCTGGTTTGTTTGTAAACAAAACCAGTTGGACCAATGTGTGGGTGAGCGCTCTAATTGGGATCGCTGATTGGGAGTGCATTCGTATTGGAGTCTGTGATGTGTGTGTGGGGCGTGTATGAGTGTGCGGTTAGACTAAGAAAACAATAACTAATGCAAATTATTTACACAAAGAGTCGAACTCGAAGGTGAATGATGAGGTGTAACTCGACAACTTACCGCTTCCTGTGCTGCTGCTGCTCCTGTCCTCGGGGACTCCTCCACTCGACTAGTAGATGCGTTGATCCTACTGGTATGGGCTTTATTCTAATGATCCTAAATCCGCTGCCCCGAAGGCAGGGGCTACGATGTGAGCCTAGTTAGACGCCTCCTACTGCTCCTGCTCCTCCTTTCTGCTACTTAGCGCTCTCTTTCTCCTCTTCCTCCTAGCGGGAACTCGTCGTCGTGGTAAGCTCTATCCGGAATTATCAGATATTCCATGTATAAAAATACGCGAGCCTACGATGCACATCCACATCCACATTTGTGCAGACCGACGAGGGGCACGTTCACGTACATACGTACAAAAATATACAAAATAACGTACGGCTAGTGCTAAAATTTCACGGTAATTTTTCTATAATTAAGAAAGTGAGAGAAAGATAAAACGTATGGTAGAATTTTGCATTTACATAAAATTACAATTTGATTAATTCTATGAACTCTGGACCAGCGCCTGCTACGATTTTTGTACCCTCTCCGTTGTCCAGCTGAGCAGCCTCAGCCCCAGATTGCGAACAAAAAGGGCAGGTATTTACAATTTATTTTCTTTGAGACTGTTATCAAAGGGTTCTCCGATATATTGGCCATCCAGTTGTAAGGGTTTTCAGTTTTTCCTGCCAAGGCGAGGCGTTGGTTGTTGTTTTTTTGCCGTTTCGTCTTTTGCCGTTCGCTTTTTTTTGCACTATCTTTCTGTCTCTGTCTGGCTGCCAGTACTCACCGCTCCGCTCCTCTTCACTCGCGCTCGCTCCCTCTCTTTCACTCGCTCGCTCACACACCACACACAGAACTGAGGAAACAAAAAAAAATGCAGTTCCACGCGGGGAACACGCTAAAAAGTTACACTGGCACTGCGCCTTTACATCAGTGCGTCGTCTGCTACACCTCGTTATGTATACGCGGTTAACTATCTGTTACAAATAATTTTGTAAATGTAAATAGTCTACAGAAACACGTCCGTTCCGTTCGATGAAATCAGAGTGACCGTGGCGAGGCTGATGGAAGATGCCAGAAGAGTATTCGCAGAAAAACACTAAAATATGTTGGCTGTTGGTAAAAACATACCATAAATATACCAAACAGTGCAATGCTTCTCTAGTGCAGACTTAAATCTTGGAGGACAAATTTGGTAAAAGCTTGATGAGAACTATTCTATTTAAGCTCCTAAATTTCTGATTTTGTAATTTGTATTTATTAAAACCCCACATAACTTTAAAACTCTACATATATCCTACATGATGTTTATTTTTGTTAGTAATTCTTTTAGGTGAATAATAATTAGTTGGATGATTGATAAAGCTCTGACATACTTGCGTTAGAAGAGCATATCTAGTATTGCTGATTTTTTGTTTACGAAACTTGGGGTTCCCCAATTTTTTTAAATGGTTTATTTGTGGATGTGTCGGCATTTCCGTTGAATAGGTTCCACTAGTAAATAAAATTGTTTGGTGCGCATGCGCAGATTTTGGCTTTCCAATCGTAGCTTCCACATTCCCCTTCTTGGAAGACTTGCACTGTTTACGCGCTGATAGTAAAAGTTTTGCTCTTTCTATTTTGCCGGATGCGCTGTCATGGCCGATGCCCCCCCCCTTTTTCCATTTAATCCTTCAGTCATCACCCTCAAGTAATCAATGTTCAGTAGCCTTCAATAGTCTTGCCACCTATGCTATATACTGCTATTTGTCCTAATTTTAATATGCTGTTGTGCAGCTACAAATATGCTTTTAAAAAATTTTTAAAGTTAAAAGGTTGTAAAAAAACAACTCTGTTCCAGATTTTACTCCCACGCAGTGACCAAAACATACAAAGAGGCACCACAAACAGGAACAGAAAGGATTATTTTGTGGCTGGGGAAGCAAAAAGACTAGCCCGCAAATGCAAATGTTTTAAGTTGGCCCAACGAAAACCGCACACATTCAGTCAGTTTTTCTTGCAGTTGTAAAGTCATTTGCATTGCTTGTTTTCCTGTGCGTTCTGTCATGTTTTTGTGGTCTCTGCGGTTACAATAACGACATTCTAAAACAAAAAATGCAAGAAAGGACAGTTAAACTGTATGTCAATGATTTTCCTTTGGCATGTATTGTTTGAACTTAACGTTCATGTATAGCGCCATCTGGCCGACTGAGAATGGAAGCAAAATTGAACATAAGACTTGTACCTAGTTTTTATTATATAGATTTGATAGATAATACACAAATATTGTTATTCAATTAAATTTCAACTTTTTAAGCTAAAAACTTTCTAGTTAAGAGCATTGTGGCACAATTAATGACTCTCAATCCCCTTTTCAAACGCCCCTGCTTTGCGGTATATTTCTTACTCAAACCTTTTCTTCTGGTATTTTTTCAGCAGTAATCGGTATCTTGCGTTGCCGCCAATGCAGCCACACCAATGATGAATTCCATCGCACAAGCTGCGGCCACACTAAGTCTGAAGCTCGATTCGCCCTGACGCGCGTAACGCTTTTTTCCCGCATCACTTTCCTCCACACTCTTTTGGCGCTGAAAAATCTGCAAACCCAACAAAAAGGATGCACCAAACCGAATTTGTAACAGTTATCAAAAACTGCACCTAACCGGATAAAATAAATAACTATTAATTTACTAGTTCAAGTTTTCCATCCATGTAAAAACAAATAAAAATAGTGCGCGAACTAAAAACCCGTAAAAACCCAGAATGGGCCTAGCCCAAAATAAAACTTTTTCGTTTCTTAACACATAGTTTATTTAACAAAATCAATTAAAACAAAAATAAAAAACCATTTACTCAAAGTAAATTGCGTTTAAACCAACTACAATAAAAGTTAATGTGAAAATTGTGCAATAATTTAGAGAAATTTCTATGAGAAATTCATAAGTGAGCTAAGCATAAATATAATAATTGAGAATACATAAAATAAATGTTATGCAACTTAAAGATACAAGTTAAATAACAAAAATAAATGAAAAATAAACATAAAATCGCAGACATACAGATACGCGTATATATGTATCGGAGGGATGTGTGTATATAGAGGAGTTTGAGACCTCGAAACAAGGACTTCTACAAGGACTACGGAATACAACACTTTTCCGCCAAGGTTTGGTCGACTTTAAGGATACAAAAGCCCACCAAAATTAAGAGAACCTAAACTGAATCAAAATCAAAGCGAGAAATTCTGAATTCCCACCTGAGCCCCGCCCCCCGGAAGCACCTGTCCCCGGAATCCGGGAATTTTCACCCACGCACGCAAGCGCAGGCTCCCCGGGAACCATCGCACCGCCCAAAAAACAAAAGTCCTTAAGAGAACGGAAAAAAAATTAGGAGCCACCGAAATTATTTTTGCTTTGATTCCGCCTTTTGTTTCAATCGTCGAACCGAAAATGTGGAGGAAAGCGAGCAGGTTGGTCAGGGAAACCACCTCGTGGAAAACGCGTCGTCAGGGACAAACTGAAGCCCCAACAGCAGCAGCAGGAGCAGCAGCAACAACGAATACAAATACAACATCGTCCAGGACGAGGACATCCACTGCACGAGGATTAACCAGCATCACATGGTCGCAGTTCGCAGTTGTTGCCGCTCTTGCAGCGCTGCTCCTCGAGTGTCGCCTCTGTCAAGGTGAGTGAATGCCCCATCGGTGTGCCATGTGGGTGTCCTTCGGTGTGTATCTGTGTGGGTGCCCTTCGACAGCAGGGACCAAAGTAATAGGAGCCGAGGGGTCACCAATTAACGCTGAACTCTGACTTGAAATAGAAATTTGCGATAAAGCATTATTTCGCCTGGCAAAATCTCCCTTTAATTTGAGGATGTACTACGCCCTTTTAAAGGATGTGGTTCCTGATATTGACTTTTAGAACACTATATTACTAAAAAATATTACTTATACGAGAAGTAATCTAATTTAAATTTTTTCCATCAAGATTGATTCGTTGTGTTTCTTAAGCATAAAGTGTAACTATATTTTGAAGATATATTTTTCTTGCCCAAATTGTGCAATTTATTGATGAAGCTGTGAGCAACCCACTTTCACTTTTCTTGGCGCCGTGGGTTAAGAATGCTTAAAAAAATACTGCCTTGCGGTTTGTCTGCAAATCTGCCAGATGGCTCAATAAATTCCAACGCCAAGTCGAAAATATGACGAATTTGGCCTTAGGCAACTCGTCAAAGAGTAAATACTTTACCGAAACCTCAATTAATTCGAGTACCCTTTTTTCACGGGGCCTCAAAAGACTCGAACGTTGCTCAATCGCAATTGAGGTTTGATGAGTGCGAACTCAATAAAATGGTTGAACGTATCGCATGTGATTAAGCCCCTGGGCTATGATGTAGTTTTAATGACTTTACAACCAAAAAAAAGAACAAATTGATGTGTCATTTTCATACCTCACGAGGTTTTCAAACAGCCATTAAAAACTTGGCTTATAGCTTAAAAACAAATGGCTGCATTAACTATTAGCACCTATCACGACAATTCGTTTAAAAATCTAAGATGATTTATAATACCCAAGTAATTAGCAAGAATAGGTTTGTGTTCATCAGATGATTCAAATAGTATACAAAAGCTAAAATATTAAAGTATTATTAGTAGAGCTCGGATATATTGTGCATATTTCTTTCCTTAGAGCATATTTTGATTTCTTTCATATCTTTTTGTATTTTTAAATGCAAATTCGCGAGCATATTTTGCAATTTTTCCTGCGTATTTGCATGCACATTTTAGCCTTTTTTCGTGCATAACTATCCGAGCTCTAATTATTAGTGCATAAAGATGCGATTTCAACAATTATCGCCGTTCAAGATAATTAAAGAGCATTTTTATTGTGGCACATTGTGTGCTCTTTTATTGTACTAAATTGCACGCTTTCACAATGAAGACAAAAATCGTCACAGTCAAGATCATAAATATTTTAAAGCTTGCATTCCATACTATATATGAATTTTCACACTAAAAGTCAAAGGTATCTTTTGGTCTTCTCTCCCACTTTATAATCGTGTGAATATATTATGCAAATGTGGGAGTATAAATCAAAGCGTACCCATTGTTTTGCATAATATTCTGAAAACTCTGCCTGTGATTACTTAATTGCCATAATTAGATGGTTCGAGCTTTATGGTCAGTGACGCAATGTCAGTGGGGTTCAATGAACCGGCGTTGGTCACGCAAAAGTAAACAGATAGCCAGGTACTAGGTACTGCCAATTTGAATGTGGGAATGGGGCTTAGTGAGAGCAGAATAGGGCAACCAAATGGTACCAGGGAAACGCTTTCGGATTAATCCATTGTGAGCTCAGGCAGCCAATTACTGCGTGGTTTCTCTCGCCCTGCGAACCAATTTAAATTTCTGGTCTTTGTCTTTATCTAACTGACTAATGGCCAACTTTACTTTCAATTCATTTGGCATTCTTGACATTCGCTTATAAATTCAGCCAACTGTCGACGGCGAAGGAAATTCTAATTTATTGCCAAAATTACTCTTCGCATTATGCAAAACATCGCGATAAGGCATTAGAGGGGCCAATGAACCGCAAGCGAACTAAATCATTCATATCTTGGCCGAGAGGTACTGCCAAAAAATCGGGCAGCTGGTGGTGTAATGTGGAAACCGGTTGACAGACCAACGGGCTTTGTACTTGGCCTGCACAGTTCCCATTCCCAGATACAAGCCGTCTTGGCCCGAAAGTAACACACAAACAGAAGTGAGTCGGCAGCAATCTTGTCGCCCCAGTCCCACACTTACGTCACTTACGCAACCGAGTTTCAGCTTAACTGAAAAAAGGAAAAAAAATATATTGAAAATGAAAATGAAAACGAAAATGATGCGAGGTACAGTGCGTTTAACCCAGCTGAACAACTGAAAAACCAATGGAACGCTTGACTCGCTGCCAATGTAAATTAAAACGGCCTGCGAAAAAAACGAAAGTGTGTCGACATCGCTGCAATGGAGTGGTCTTAAAAGTGCGTGTCTTGACTTACGCATGCGATTCCAGTTGCCAGCAAATATTTTATATATATAAAAAACAATCATAGAATAACAAATACTCGTTTTTCAGACGAAATCACTGTAGTTTTTAGCGTGCAAAATAACAAAAGGAAGTTGTGGGTTAATGTGTTTACTGATAAGAACAAATGCTTTAACCTAAATTTACTTATATGTATTTAATTGGTAAAAACAATTACCTCATCTTTAAAACGTTAGGTAATTAGTTACATCCGTCTGATAATGATGCTAAACTCTGGGAACCATATTATTAATCTGTTTTGTTTTCAATTGTTGATCATGCTTTTCACCATAATGGCGAACTAAGCATTTACCTCGAGCTTCCTGGTATTTAAGCACATGGAATAAGTGTATAAAAATTCATCGTTAAATTCCACTTAACGTCAGCTTAGGCTCACACTCGTTTAAAACCAAGATCCGGCTCCAAATGATCATGCCATTTTAGTTAAAAGATTTTAAAAATAGAAAGACAGAAGTCTGAAGTCTCAGTCAATTATGCCCTTACTCGACATCTATGTTGGCCTTTTTGTTTGCGAAGTGAAGAGCTATCCACCCACGCAGTCAAATTCATATGCGATTCGGCCGATTTCAATGGGGATCTTTATAATCCCACATATGGGACACGGAGCGGCCAATTAAACGTCGTTGGCCTGCACTTTTGCCCAACCATTTCGTTAACTTTCCGCTGGGCTTTGCAAATTGGCAGTTGGAGCGGTGGTGGTGCGGTTCATTGAATCTCAATTGTCCACTGTGGGCGGTGCAATGGGACAACCACGAACATCGAACCACCAGAGCCATAACAGCGAAAATATCAAACTGATTTGGTTGTGCAATGCTGCGCTTACATCACATCACTTCATTTCCTTTCCTTTCAAATTTCATTGCGTATTGAACATGACAGTGGATGGGGAGTTGGGACTATAAGTCCGTCAAGATAAAGGCCTATATGCCTTTTATTTTATTTAATCAAAAGTAAGATTCATAAGCATACCTTTGTGCTTTCTTAACTCTCTTAATTACTCTAGTAAAAAATTTTCAAAAATCACTATATATTTATTTATGTATATTACATACGATTAAATTTATTTTTTTTTAAAGGTAAACAAGTCATTCCTTTATTTAGAAAGCGTATCAAATATATGCTTATCAGATTTCGCTTGTGCGATGTCGAATTTTTGTGTGGAATTGAAAAAGTGCAGTTTTTGACAGGCTTATCGCTTGTTTGCAGTCCGCAGACGGACACTAACTTTTTTGGGGTCCGCTGCCATGGCAAAGTAATCTAATTCACACCAGCAGCCAATCCGCTTTCCCCTATCAGTTCCGTATCCATATACCATACACCATATACCATATAGCATATAGCATTTATGCGATATCCCGTATCCGTTGGGGTGCTCGAATTTCACGTGTGCGGAGGAGTTCTAATGCCGGGCAGATTGTCGAGCAATTTGCAGCGATTAAATTAGCTCAAGCGTGCCGCCGAAGAAGCGATTTTATTTCCCCCTCCTGTTGATGCAGCATTTGTTGTTGTTGTTGTTGTTGTTGTTGCCGCGCAGGACTAAGGTATTAAGTGTATACAAATGCTCCATGGAGTTTCGAGTTTGGGGGATCTGTGGTTCCCACATGAAACCACCACCGTAAAAACCAAAGGACAGAAGGAGACGGAACGACGTCCTTGTGGGTGATGGGGTGCCACGCCCCCCGCTTAAGCCACCCACTGTGAGCCGCATAATTCCCTGTGATGTTGCCGCGCAAAATGTTCTAATCTCTGCGCTGGATTTACACATTGCTACCCAGGAGTCCCACCCACTCAGCCAACCGCATTGAAACTTTGTGTACATATTTGAGTTTCATTTCGTTTGTGGCTAGGATTCGGCGAACATGAAGTCATAAAATTGAAATAAATATAAATGCGACTCGCGCTGATTTCCAGCTGAGCGGTCACGCCTCCTTCTAAGACTTTGGGCGGTGGCTGTCGCAGCGGGAAGCCCACCAATCTCCCAGGAGTGTTGGCTTCACCCGGTGCCAGATAACAGGACGCCACAGGACTGGGAAGAAAGTCTTTAAAACAAATTACTGGGGAGGATGTCCGGCTGTGTCGGCATTACTTTATTCAGGTAGAAGATTTGTAGGATTTAAGCCTCTTGTTGCATACTTTCTGGTTCTGTTATACCTAGAAAATGGTTAAAAATTCCCAAGTGCTTCTAGCACTTTTCTCAAGGAAACCCCAAGCCAGAGCCGAGGAAAGCATACTTACCTGGCGTAGAGGTTAACCGTGATCACGAAGGCGGTTCCTCCGGAGCGAGACTTGGCCATTGCACCTCGGCTGAGTTGACCTCTGCGATTATTCCTAATGTGAATAACTCGTGCGTGTAATTTTTGGTAGCCGGGAATGGCGTTCGCGCCGTCCCGACATAAATAATAAATATCCAAGTAGTTAATAACAAGATTTAGTTATTTGATTAAAAAGAGAGAAAGTTACTTTGCTGAAGATCTAGGTAATTTGAACAAATGTCCGTCAAACAATCTCAGACGAACGCAAGGATTCCACCATCATCGATCATTAAGCAGAAAGGTGGACTGGATTGTTCCTTTGGGTTCTAGAAACCCTAAACAGTTCGTTCCGTCCATTAACCGACTTCTATTCCTTGTGTTTGTGTGCTACTTGGTCCAGCCTCCTTTTCGCGCTTTCTTATTTATTTATCATAATTTATTAAACGCTCTCGCTTCCCTGCCAAGTTTCCGATGCCAAGAAAGGAGTCGGTCCGAGTTCGACAAAAAATTGTCGCTGTCAGATTACGTTGCAATATTGCTTCCAGTTGCCATATCCTGCCGACTTTCCGCCCAAATTCACGCTGCGAAGGACGAGAGAAACGGGAATCCGAGGGTCGGGGAATCCCCTCCCGCTCTTTCGTCTTTTTTTTCTTTTTGGCTTTGACACAAGCAACAATTTACTCGGTTTCAGGTTAAAGTCATATCGTTAGCATTAACGCTTTTTGATTTTTATTGAGTCAGCTAAATTTTATTCGATTTACCATCCACACACACACACAAACACATACACACAGAAGCACAGGGGAGCACACACACCCTCGCAGTGGGAAAGACAAATACAGATGTACCAGTAGCATCCCCCGTCAGGATAACAGGGCGAAACATTCCTGGGGAGGAATATTTCCGAGCTTTAATGAGGTTGGGCCACCAACCAATGAGTCCTTCGGTGGGGGAAAACGACCTGCTTTCCGCCCGTTCCTCCCCCTTCTCTCCTTCCCCCTGACTCCTTTGCCCAGGAAGAGTCTATTTCGGAAGTAAATGAAAATTTGATTTGGAATTTCGTGTGTCCTGGTCGTGCGTGCCTTACAGGATCTCGACTCGAACTCAAACCCGAAAACCCGAACTGAACCCCCGACGAGGATGATGATGTTGATGCTGATGCTGATGACGACGTCAAAGTCGAAGATGGGCATGTGATAAAATAAATTACGGGCAGATTAGTGCGAATTTAATTATCGTTTGTTCCTTTGATGTCGCGCTAAGTAAATAAAGGGAATAAATTTGATGATTATTCAAACGGCAGTTCTAACAACATTATTTCCGTACCCATTTAATTGCGGGAAATGTGCAAGGCTGGTTTTTAGGAGTTTCTCGGCTACCTGAATTTTCCAGCCCCTTCCGTAGCAGAGAGCTGCAACGATCACAATTTTTTCGATTATACTCGTTCATTTACTCGGATTTTTTGTGATTGAAAACATTGGTTCAACAAAAATGTATGGTCGTAAGCGATTGTGGCTCGGTTCCGAATGATTTTGTTCGATCGAACCGTTTTGTGTGAGCGGCAAGGAATGTTCGAGAATGTTGCTTAAATCGTTATATGTACAAGGTAGTCTCGTCGGCTGCCTAATCGTTCGGTTTTTAGTCCGTGCGTTCGTGCTTGTTGAAGAAAGAGTATGTGTGTGGACGATTTTTTTTCAGAGTATTAACCCTTGTGAAAAGATGTCGTTCTGCCCTTGGATGCAAATTTTTTTTTTTTTTTTACATGTAGTTTCAGATTATTTTAGTATAACAAAAATTGTAAAGGAGAAACTATTAATAGCTGCTAAGAAACATTAATTTAGATGTTAAAAAATTTTACTTTAAGATTGACATTTATTTTAAAATTAAGAACCTAAACAAAAAATAACTATATAAAAACAAAAACAACGTTTAATTTTAAATTCAAAACTATTAAAAATTAATTTATAAAAAACTTCAACTCTTTTTACTATAAATGGCAATGTAAGCCCCATGCGCCATCTAAGGGTTAAACTAAAAGCTCTTTTGTCGTTTCCATCGCACTTACTACGCAGACTCCTCTCACTCGCACTTGTGGTGAGTAATGAATAAGAGAGTGCTTTTTGCCGACGAGACTACCTTGTATAATTGTACCATGGTCGAGAATCCGTAGCCTACTTTGCTCCTTAAACAGGAGAGTTGCTTATAATTCCCAATTAGTTTTAGCAGTTTCCTCATGGAAATCCTAGCCCGGCCGCCGGGAACTTATGAAAAGTTTCACCCACTGGCCGTACTTGGTGGATATGGCCTTCATGAGGACTGTTTTACAGGATCCGCAACCTGCACTGGTACGTGGCCACCGGGACGGCGTTCGCGCCGTCCCGACATAAATAATAAATAAACCATTACAGTAACTAAAAAGCTTTGGTATTGTCTAACATAATACTGCAATTCATTTCAAATAATGTTTAAAAATGTAAGACAAGAAACTTATTTTATAATTCCCACTTGCATTTCCCCTTACTTTGTTGTTGCAAACTGCTTAGTGCAAATATTTGCCATGAACTGTGTGGCAGTCAATCATTTGTCCATCCGTCTCAGTCGTAGCAAATGCTACCTCGAAAATCAGATACAGAATGCATGCACTGGTTGCCTGTGGTTACGCGTTTCAGTTTGAGTTCCCACCCCCGAAAGGCACTTGTCGAGCGGATTGGAGACGGGATTAGGGATATATAACCAACCGGGGTGCGATGGCCACAACCCCTTCTGACTCGATGTTATATGCAGATTGGGATTTCGGGGAGGGGAAGCTGCAGAAAGGGGATGTCCTGCTAAGTATCCCTGGCAACCCGTTAATTTATAGAGCTTATGTGTCTGCAATCCTTTCCTCCGCCTCAGCTGGGCATTAGTGGATTAAAAGCGTTTATTGTCTCCGGTATCCTTCGGCCGAATCCTTCGGCTGTGCGTCCTGAATTCAATTGGCAAAGTGACGGCGAGTGCCACGCAATATGGGTCGATGTCGATATAGATGTCGATTTCGATGTGGATGCCGTGCGTTGCCAATCAATTTTCCGTGGAAGAACCTGGCAACAAGTCAGAAAATAAAGCCATCTGCTTGGCAACTTCTGTCCTCGGGTTCTAAGTATTTATCGGCTGCGTGAAATCTTATCGCTTTTCAGTGACGAAATATCAGGAGACGGATGGCCCAGACACACAACCACTCAGCCAGCTAGAAAGATAGACATGGCCATTGACTATTATTTGTTCTCCCCGAACACCCGAGAATACCCAGCAACCAAACGTTATTAACAACAACCATCGGCGGTCGTGTGCCGGGCATCCTCAGCCTCAGGCGGTTACTATATCTAGGTTTTTTCTACACCCTTTCATGGGGTATTGTAATTTTACTTCGAATGATATACATATACCTAATCAGCATAATTATTCTGTCATATGAATGGTAACATAATAGATACAATTATTACTTCATAACAACACGCATTCCATAACCTTGAATGTCGTAACATTTTGGAAGTGGAAAATTATTTGTTTTAAAAAAAAAAGAGAGCATAGAAAACCATTCTTAATAAATTCACCTTTATATTTTTGAACTTATTTGCATATACGTTGTTATATTTAATTCAAGTCTGATTATTCTTACTTCTAAAAGGAAAAATGTATGTTACCAAAAATGTAGGAATGATCGATTTTTTACTAAAAGAGTATACAATGTTCAGCTTCCCTGTAGCTTCCATTGTTGTTCTTCACCAAGGGCCTTTGGCTTGGGGGATGTCAACGTGCTCGTCATCACTTTGTATAAATATCCTCGAGCACGTATATTCCATGGGGCCACGTGCTTCTCTGTGTGGCGAGCGTGGGTCCAGGACTTCAGAGATTAATGCACGCATTAGTTGATTTAATTCATATTACGCTATTGTTGTTGTTATTGTTGTTGTCCTGGCTACCAGCGGCAATTGAGACATTCTGGGGAATCCCCTGGCAACGGTTGTTAGAAGGAGGAGCAGCATCTCCTTTTGGATAGCTTACGGCATTGGGATTTAATATCGAATCGACAAGCCAGAAACAAACTGAAATTGCACACCCACTTACCACCTCATTTGGAAGCTGTCTGTCTGCTTTCCGTATCTGTACTTTTTTCTTAAAACATTTGGCATACATTTGCATTGTTTAGCTGGCAGTTCGGCTCGCCGTAAGCTTAGCATTGAATTTCAATATATTTCATGGTTTTCAATCAATTTCATGGCGCAATCCCAAAGGGAAAGGCATGCCAAACGACTTCCCCGGGGACTTGTCAAGAGCTTGGCAAACAGAGCCAGTTCGTCATCGGCATCGTCGTCATCCTTGGTTGTAATCATCATCCAGTGGAACAGAGGCAACATTTACTGGCTGCCGGAGGAGCAGCATTGGTTCGGGAAAGCTGCACGGCAGCAACTTTTTGTATGGCAAAGTTCTTTCGTCTGAGGATTAATTTGCAAAGCAGGCTTCGCTCTTTGTCCGTGTCCAGCGAGTTCCTTGAGCCTCCGGATTATGAATCCCTGGCAGGAATTGCAGGCGAAAGCACCTGTAAATGCACCGCATTCAAGGCTTTCCCACTCTCTCTCTCTCTCTCTCTCTCTATCTGTGTGTTTGTGAACGAAGTGGAAAACTTATTTTTTGGCCGACCGTTTCAATTAAATCTTCTCCAACTAACCATCTCGCATCGCTTTTATTTTATTTCATCCACAGCCGCCGGACGAGCTCCACCGGAGCCCTACTACGGCCGCTTTATCGGAGACTTTACCAACTTTGCCCACGGCATCAAGGTGAGTTTTATATTTCCCATACAAATTCTCTAAGTACTGCAATTCGAAGGAAACGTAAAAGCTTTAGTTTTTGTCAGGATTTTTTTAAGTGAAGTCTCTTTGACTTACGTCGCTTTGAGGTTTTAGTTTACAAAACAGAACACTGAGGTTCTGCAAACCTCAGGCTTAAGAAGTTTGTGAGACCAATTAAAGTTTTGACGTCTATTAATACTTTCATTTTAAAGTTTTTTAATATACCGTACAATATGTTAATACAAATTTAAATTTCATAGACAGAAGCAAAACTGCAAGACAAGCGTTAAATAGATATACATTTTTAAAACTCAACCAGATTAACTTTTGGATATAATAACTTCCACTTTTTTAAATCCCCAGGGTCAAGTCTACGCGGTGGACGAGTCGACACTGTTCGTGAAGTCCTTTGCCTACGATGGCACAGGACCCGATGCCTTCTTCTGGGTGGGCAAGACTCCGCGTCCGAGTCCCGAGGGCTATATAATTCCATATCCGGAGGAGTACGCGGGCATGTGAGTATCATTGCTCTAAGAATGCATTTGGGGTTCCCTACATTTTACACAATTTTTGGGGCTTCGCTTTGATGGTCTTTCGGACTGGGCGAGATGGAAATGGAGGAGTAGAGGTAGTAGAAGTAGATGAAGATGGAGACGGAGATGGAGATGTCCTGGCTACTCGAGCGCAGCAGGCCATTTCCTCCGAACGTGAGCGAATGTATGGACGTTTGTACGTACGTCCTTACGTACTTCGTATCCCCGCATCCTTGCAGACTTTACGTTACGCACGGCTGACAATGAAACCACTTTCAAAAATTAAAAAACATTTTTCATCTCGCCTGCCATTTGTGCTCGTTGTCGTTGTCGCTTTTTGTGGCTGCTGCTTGCTGTTGTTGTTGCTGTTGTTGTTGTTGTTGTCGTTGTTGGTGTCGCTTCGTTGCCTCCTAATGTGAAAAACTCATTTATTTCTTCACGTTAGATTTGCGGTCATATGTGTGGCCAGGGAAACGGGCCAACAGAAGGCAACCGCCCACCAAAAAAAGGGGAGAAAAACACAACAACAACAAAAACAACAGCAAATAAAGAAAGCCGCAGGGCGGTGGAGAAAATTTGGGACGGTGAAAGCGGAGATAGCGAAGTTTCAGCCAAAGCTACTATTTACTTTGAGTCGCCACAAGGTTAAGCCGCTCAACTATTTACCTTGCCAGTCTCCTTGCGCCGCCACTTGAACGCACTAAGCTGGTATTAGCCAGTACCCCTTTGCTTTGGGCCCTCGACCCCCTCAAATCTGAGCCACCTTCTCACCCCGAATGCACCTCGTAACCCTCCTCTTTTTAGCCCTAATCTCACGTAGCAGCCAAGATGCACACCCACAACACACAATTTGACGTCATTTGAGCGTTGCATATTTCATTATCACAAACAATGCATCCTAATTCCCTGATCCGTAATCCCAAGTTCTAGCAAGCCCGTCAAGGCAAAGGTGAAGTGGCTATCCACTTGGCATTGACATTATCTCATGGGTGAAACAAATACAGCTCAGTTGAATGTTGTATTTGATTTGAAATGTTTAACTGGGCAAATAAGGCAAAGCATCTGTTTATGTTCTGAAATGCCAAGGTTCCTATCCTTATCTAAAGATAGAAAGGTTAAATAAATTTACTTGGTAAAGAAAAAGTAATCTGGGTTTAATAAATAAATAATAGAAATAATTGCCAAACAAATAATTTGTGCTTATCACCTCCCATTTTATTTGTGGGATTGCTCTTTAAGTTCCCCTTAAAAACTCTTACGTACCTCATCTAAAGTTTAAATGCTTTTTTATAAAGAAAAACACATTTTTTTAACCCTTTCTCAAGAGCTCTTTAAGCACGTAGCACATCCTAATGTTGCCTGATTTTTGCATATCCAATCTTTGGCAAAATATTTCCGCAACGCCAAGAATAACAGAGCGCATCGTGCGGGGCATAAGCGATTCCCGAACTGCGGATTTCCCCCAATGCGCAGTCTCCGGACTCCACAACCCCGAATCCCCAATCCGGAACCGCAAACCCAAACCCATTCGGAGTGCCAAATCACGCAGCCGAAAAGAAAACCTGAGGATGTTTACGCGCGCTGGATTCTCCCCATTCGAAAATCTCAACTGCTCGACGCGGTTTCGCGCTTGAGGAATCGTTTGATGATGTGTACTATATGTTGGCAGACTACTACGAGTATAACACTACTATATAGCCAACGTTGCAGAGGCGCAGCCAAGGCAAAATACGAATACCCGTGGCAAACAGCCGGGGCATTCATATTGTAATCGACTTTAATGCGTTTCATTGTTGATGCCACGTGCCGGGCTTTATTAGTTCAATGTACAACGATGCCATCGCCTCCATTTCCATTTCCCTTTCAGCAGCGCCGCTCCTCCTTCGTCCTGAGCTCTGAGTTCTGAGTCCCGAGTCCTTCGTCCTTCCTGTCCTTCTGACAAAGAGCAACATTGTGCCGAGCGGTTGGGGGAGGAGTGGTTTCTGCGATGGAGGTGGAAGCCCGGAACGCTGTAGCGATTGCACGCTTTTACGCTTTCAGACACATTACCCATACCACCCGTGTGCACCTTCTAAAATGAGGGGTGGGTGGTGGAGTGGGTTGGCTGAAGGTCGGCGGTGGGTGGGCGGACTGGTGTGTTAGCACGATGATGATTGCTGTATTATGTGGCACACCGCTGCTATCGCAATCGCATGCATTTGAGCCAACAAATTGCGCGCGTTTATTATGTCTAATGATTTTCATGTATGTATGTATGTGTGTATGTATGTATGTATTTATGTATAAGCTATATGCCATCGCCGTGCGATAATTGATAAATGCAACTGATTGGAATTGGTACGTTTTCGGTAGTAGTCGCCTGCCATCGCGTCTCTCGTCCTTTGGCAGGGAATCCTGGCAAGTGACAGCCTTTAAACTGGCTTCTCACTAAGCTGCTCGGGCAGGCCAATCAGCGTTAATTATCGCAAACTGCTTCTGGCAGGCGAAGTTGAAGGGCTGCCAATCCTGCTGCATCGCTAGATGTCACAGCACCAAAAAAAGTTTCCTAGAAAAAATAAATCCCTATAAAAACTTTTATTGTAGCAAAGACAATTTAAGAGGTATTTATAATTTTCTGGGAATTTAAAGTAATTAATTCAAGTAATTTATTGAAGTCCATAAAGTATTTTACATTAAAGGATGAAAGGATTCGTTTTGGTTTTTTAATACAAAAACATTATAATGTACCTAAAAGTATATATACTTTCTTTGCTTTCTTTTCATATCAAAACATAAGTAACCAATTTCAATATTTAAATAATATTTACAAAAAAATAAGAGGTTTCTTTTCCCTTAACTCTTCAAGATGACACCTATGTTTTTTTGAGTGCCCTCTTGCTTTTCGTGCTGCTCATTTCTTTTTGTGTTCACGCTCGCTTTAGCTTCTTCGCCCCTCCCCATCGTCCCCCCAAAACGAAGTGGGTGGTGGGTGGAAGTGGGTTGATTGGGTGGGGAATGTGTCACAATGGATGCATCGAGCATAAGTAATTAAATTAGAATTTTTTGAGAAGCATAAAAGCGACGCCGTGCTGATTAACGCCCGTTGCCATGACAATGAGGATGACGCTGTTGCCTTCTCCTGCACCACCCACAACCACCCCCTCCCCCTCATCCCCCCTTGGCAACCCGCCCGTGGCTGTTGCTCATTTGCATCTGCAGTACAGCAAAAAAAAAAAAAAAAGAAACCCCTCTTTTCTCCACCTTGCCATTTGCCTTTTCGCTTAACGCTGATTTATGCAGATTTCATTAAAATTTGCTGCATGCAAAGTAGCAAAATGAAGTTTTAGTTTTGTCCTTCATTCTCGTGGGGGGGGAACCCATTCTCTGGGCCACCCACACCCACACCCACCACCCCCTCGGATCGTCCTTCATTGTGTTAATCAACGTTGACAGCGCAGCCGCAACTCGAACAACTGTTTTGGCTGTCTTTTCATTTCGCCCTCGGGCCGATGTGCCAACTGCCTTTAACTCGATTAAGCCCCAGAAAGTTTCTGGATTCATTCGGCATCCAGCTTAACCCCTGGGCTCCCCCTTCACTCCCCCAATATCCTCCGCAGAGCCTTCAAGTAGTTTCGCCTGTTGCTGTCACTTCACCCTCGCTGCGCTCACAAGTAGGCAACGCTTTTCACACCTTGCGGCCTTTCCAATGGGGAAACTCCCCTGTTGTGTTCGAGGTCTTCTTGAAAAAAATGCTTTTCATTTCACTCCATTGAAATTCAAGACAATTATAATTTAATCATTACATTGCTGGCCTAACCGACCAACCGCAAATGAATAAGTTTGCAACCTTCGGTTTAAATGGAATATTTTATTTAAGATATGCAATTAATAAGAGTCCAAGTTAACATCAGTAAACCTAAATATCTTTTAAATCATTTATTTAATTTGTATGGTTTCTATATCATTCATAGTTTGCTTTACACTTCTATCAGCTTTATGTTTACTTATTTTCTGGCTTTTATCACCAACTAGATTTGCAGCAGCTCGTTAAGGGACATCTTTCCCTGCTCATCTGCCCAGCCAAAGCCCTACTAATTATTATTGTTGTTGGCGTGATTAATGCCCCCGACCACCAGTGGACTTTAATACAAATTTAATTGAGTATTCGCTGCCGGGACTCGAATCGAGTTGAGCTGAGTTGAGTCAACTCATCCGTCTGCCGACTGTCAGCCACAAAAACTGGGGGCGTTGGCTTGACGGCGCCGCTTCGTCACGGAAACATAAAATATTCATAATAATTTTAGAATATTTTCGGTGGTGGCTTTGTTGGGGTGCTGGAATGGAAACGGATGGGGTTGGATGGGGATGGGGTTGAAATGCTGGGTGATTGGATGGCGGGGGCTGTCTGCTTCTGCTGAGTTGGCGCGTTTTATTGTCTGCGAAATGGCCTCGATTGTTGTGCGTTTTGTTTATCGAGCGGCAGAGAATGCAAAGTGCCAAGTCAGCAGGCGCAACAAGTTGGCCAGTTTAGGTCTTAGTCAAAATGGGCGAGAGCCCACATGAAAGGATACCAGAGCTCCTTTGCTCCTTTGCTCCAATCCGCATCCGCATTCGGAATACAAGCCCGAAACCGAATTCAAACTAATTGGGTGAAAGTGCAGAGGGGCTTATGCGGACGAGAGAGCAAATATAGAATAAAATCGATCCGAAAACCCAACCAGGCTGAGTGCATCAATAAATGTCGAACGGAGGACGTGGAAGAGAGGTCCTTGTCGAGTGGGAGGACAAGCAAATCAAATAAAGCAACAAACATACATATTTGCCAGTCGGAAACTGTGACTGTGTAATGGAACTAGGAATCGAAAGCAAACAGAATTCGAGGAAAACTGCTTCGCCACGGACTGGAGACAAAAGGACGAACTGCCACAAGGGTGGCAGGACATCAGGACCCGAGGACCTCAGGACCTTCGCTGTGTATCTAGCAGATACATTTGATGCACTGTTGACACAGAGCCATTCAATTTGTTTTGGCTCATTAGAGAGTGGTGCAACTGTTGCTGGAACCCGATTGGGAATCTGTAGATGGAGATGGAGATGGTGATGAATCTGGACAAGCATCGGACACGTCAATGTGTCATCTCGAGGATGCTGGCTAAGTGCTTAGCCGTGTCTAATGCGGATTGCGTGGCCTCCGTCGACATTCATTAGACGTCGACCTTTCCACTTCACCAACTGGCTGACTAACCAGCCAACCAACCGCTCAACCGCCCAACTGACTGACTGACTGACTGACTAATAGTGATTGTTGACTCGCCGCCAGACACTTGTCCCAGTTGCGATGAATCGATCCTCCACCGCCCTCAAGGAGCTCTATCTACCATACATCCTCCCGTTCCCGCGAAGGATATCGTGCCATCGCAACCCCGACGACGGATACAAATTCATCTGGGCAAACACTCGCTGACTGGCAGCCCCCTTGGGATTGGCATACTTAGACTTCAAGTTGATTATTAATATTCCCAGGGCTTCGGCTTCGACTTCGACTTCTACTTCCGTTCCGCCCTACAAGTGAAAAATAAGATGCAGTAACTGCAGTAATGAATATGTAATTGAAATCATTGCACAATCCACATGTTTACGAAGCTAACACATCCCTTTGATATTTAATTAAATGCAATCTCTAATTGTGTTGTGTTTATTTGTTACCCAAAATAACAATATGAGTTGGGTCATATATTAAATGAAGTATTTTTGTATTTATTCATAATAACTTCCAAGTATTCATAATAACTAAAAAGTAAAACTCTTAAAACAAAAAGTGAGAAATGTGCAATAAATTTCAAATTTAAATGACCAAAGTATCTGTGCGTTGTGTAACTAACAAGTAAATTATTCATGTTTAAGTTCTGTTGTTTTTGAAGTACCGATTGATGGAGATACTTTCGCATGCATTGCTCAACCATGACAGTTTTCGTCTTTGTGCCAAGGCTCCAACTAGAGATTCCCACAGAAGTGCAATGCAGTGATGCCCCACGAGCGAAGCCCAAAACAGTCGCTAATTGGCTAAAGCTTAAAGCCGCCAGCAAAAAGTTCGTGTGTAGTGGCTGGTTTAACCCAACTATTCATGCATTGAGAAACTCCCATCAGAAAGGGGGGTTAAAAGGGGGGGGGGGGGAAGGGGTGACGGGGGCATGAGGCATGTGTAATGCCTCGGTTCGCTGCATTAGCCATAAATCTTCATCAGCGCTCGCTTCATAAATAATGCGAATATGCGAAAATGAGAAACGTTGTTGGTTTCGTCGCCGGTCGTTCGGTTTTTGCTTTAATTTTAATGACACGGAGGCGTTGCTCCATTACAGAATTGAGGCCAGGGTCCGATCTGTTGCATTTTCTGGTTGGTTTCACCTTAATCCCTATGCACACACTACAAACTGGCAATGAACGTGCAAATTGGAGGCGGTGCCCTGCGGACGATCTGCTGACAAGCCGGGGGAAAACCTCTTTGATTTTCGTTAAAGCTTGAGCCTTTCTTTAAGTAATGATAACATATTTAAATTTTAAAAATATATAATTCAAATGCAATCCAGATAACAAATTTTTAACTTAATGAAACTAGTATATTTTCTATTTAAATGAGAATGTGGGGAGAATGAGGTTTGTGGTAAACATTAAAGTATACATCCTTTTAAAGATAATAACGAAGAAGTATACATCCTTTTAAAGATAATAACGAAGAAGAATAAGTTGAAATCGATATGATTTCTCTGTGTGCAGTTTGTGATGAGCTTTGACAATGGGAACGCTGGGAAGGCATACTCTTGGCTTTTGCTGTACTTTAAGTCTACCATGTCCTATGATTCCCACTTAACTATGTGCTTCTATCCAACTCTCGTTCTCGGCTCTCGGTTTCGGAACCACCCGCAGGGATCCCCCATTCTGCAGGCGCACAACCGAACGGACATCCTACTGCGCTTACCCATGGGCAAAAGGATTAAGGACATTCGATGGCTGTCAGTGTGGTGCAGACGCTTCACGGTGAGTCCTTTCTCTCTATCATACATTCCATCCCAACCATCCATCGTATCTTCGTTTTTTTTTTTTTTGTTCGCTATTTCTTTGCGGATGGCACGCGCCATTCTCCCAGATTTATGTGTGTATTTAGCCGGCCAAGAGTCCTTTTCTTTTCATCTCTTTTTTTCGTAATTACATTTTTGTAATTTAACTGCAGCTGCACAAAGATTTTAGCATTATACTTTGGCCCGGCTATCGATTATGGTCTTAATAGCTTTTCAACAAGGAAGTTATTTGGTTTCTCGTCGCTTGCGTTTGTTTAACAGCAAATGAGGGTTTTAGCTAAGCAAATCCTTTTTCGTTCTCTTTTTTTTGTAAGGAGTCTTTAATGTGGGTCAGTTGCCTGGAAGCTTTGTTTTCATTAGAGTTTTAGATTTTAATTACACTGCTGAATATGCAAGTGCCGCCCATCGTCCATCGTCCCGCGTCCCGCGTCCACTTGCAATTATGTTTGCCTTCGCCCTGTGAAAATTACTTTTGTTTAAGTTTCCCAGGCGGAACTGGAGTACAAGTGCATTTCCAGATAAATTCCCCAAATTGGAAAGGGGTTTTCCGAAACGGGGGGAAAGCGAAAAGGGGGCGAAGTTTGCAGCACGGTCGAATAAAAGATGGCGGCCGTAGTAAAATAAATTACAGCAGACATTTTTGATTAACTCAAGTGGTTGCATATAAACACACACATACACACACAGACGGACACATTCGGGCTGCCCCCCTCGTCACACAGATACTCACACGGATTGGGAGACTGTGTGTGTGTATACGTGTGGCATACAGGGTGCTCCTTCCACGAGCTTGTGTGTGTTCGGTTGGGTGTACGCTGCCTTCCATTGACTGACAGCCAAAAAACTTCTTGGGGGCTGACTGCCGCACACACACACCGATGCAGCCAGATTGGGGTTAGTTTGCCACTGTGTGCGTCCGTTTGCGTGTGTTTGTGTGCGAGTGTTGTTTGTGGAGTTTTGAGCGCGCATGCCCGATTTTTTAGCGGGGCGTGGGGATGGGGGCTTTTTAGGGATTTCGGGGGGGTTTTGGGGGAGGGAAGGCTCCACACGGAGGCATACATAAACACACATTATGTACAAATGTTTTGGGTATACAACAACAAATCGCTTGTTTGCTTACTTAGAGCCGCGTCGAATGTAGACACGGAGTAGCGTAAAATGCACATGTAGAATTTGAGGCATACTTTTAAGGCTCCACTGTGAATATCCGTTTAAAATTGTATTTAGTACTAAATAACCATTAGTGAAATAAAGATAATAAATCATATCCAAAATGTTGTATAACCTTTAAATAAAATGTAATATTTTGAAAAGCATTAAATACCACTTCCGAATCAGTACTTATAGGCCCCAGATAACAATATTTGTATTCCTTAAAAAACTTAAATTATTACTCACCTAAACTATGTATATCTTAATTTCAATTAGTTCTTGTGTTAATAAAGTAATCATTATGCCATTTGTTTTTGTTAAGTAAACTAGCATTTTAAAGTAAAATGTAATCACACAGCTCATGTGTAGAAACTATGTATAGTATGTAAAAAGAAAAAAACACAAATGCCACGCCTTGAATATATTAAAAAAAGTGCATGCATAACATACTTAATGACATGCCCAGTCTAATGACCTTAACCCCCTTGCAGGTTGACTTCGGTGAGGTCTTCATACCACCCAATCTGGATGTTCCCAAGCCGCGGGTTCTGCCCGAGTTCAAGCGATTGGCCCACGGCCTCCGCTCCAGCAACATCAGCGTTCTGGATGCCCAGACCTTCTACATGTGAGATTAAGTTGCAGTTTTTGAATTTTGAATATATTACAATGAAATTCTTTCTTTTGTAGACCCAACCTGCACTACGATGGAGCTGGACCTGATGCCTACTTCTGGGTGGGAAATGGCAGCGAACCAAACATCATGGGGATTAAGGTGAGTATTTGAATTGATGTATATCTAAATATAAAATATATAAAATATATATAAATATAAAAATATAAAAATATTTGCTTATTGGATTTTAAATTGATAAAAATATTTAAATAGAAATGTTTGTTCAATCATTAGTTAAAAGGCAATCAATTTGCTTTAGTATAATTGGAAACAACTGTGGTGCACTCCAATCTATAATATCACTTTAACATACTGATTCATGCTTACCAATTTCAGGTGGCCAACGAGGCAGGATCCCTGGAACCGCTGCGTGGTTACCAAGGCGAGGACATCGAGATTCAGCTACCCAAAAACCTCACTGTCTACGACATCGACTGGCTGGCTGTTTGGTGTGTGGAGTACAGACACAATTTCGGACACGTCTACATTCCGAGGGACTTAGATGTACCACCTGCTTTGGGTCAGACCAAGATAACGGTAAGTGTGACACTCTCTATCGGATATAGTTAGCTCCGGAACATTTGCCCCGATCCATGTGCTAGCATTTGCTCATTGCCACACAACTCATAATGTATATCTCTTTGACTTATGCGCGCCGCATTAGCCTTCATGGTGGTATTCACCCGTGAGTACTAGACTTAGCCTCATGCATGTCCTGATTGGTTTTCCCGGCCAGGCTTACTTACCCCGTCCCATTGTCCTTTTCAGACCACCACAACGCCTCGTCCTGTGTACAGCAATTGCCGCGAGATCCTGCCGAACAAGCTGCAGGTGAAGTGGGAGCTCCAGGGAGAATATCTGCAGGTGGAACTCTTCGGTCGCATCACCGAGGATCAGTACATGGCGTTCGGACTCTCCGGAGCGAATGGCCGACCCCAGATGTCCCAGTCCGATGTGGTGGTGGCCTTCTACGATACTACAACCCGGGTTTTCCGGGCCGAGGATTATTTCATCTCCGATTTGTCCCAGTGCGATGGTCAACGGGGAACTTGTCCCGACGAAAGGATTGGAGCTCGTAACGATGTTATTGTGGGTAGGTTGTTGTTGAATCTGAAAAATACTTGATTAAATGAATCAGATGAAATAATAATTACTGGTTCTAAATAATATTTCTGTTAATTTTTAACCCTTAGTGAGCGGCGATAGAAAGAACGGGGTCACCAGCATTCGCTATAAGCGATTGCTTCAGACCAACGAGCCCATCTACGATGTCCCGATTCCCCTTGATCGCGAAGTATCAGTTATCGCCGCCATAGGACCTCTGAATGCCAGGAAGGAGGCTAATGCCCATTTACACACCGCCAGCGATCACAACCAGGACGACATTCGCATCAACTTCGCAGCGAGAGTAAGTTCAATGACCAAAATATATAAGATATGGGGTAAATGTACTAACCTTTCAGAACGACCACGCCTGCAAGAGTTCGCTGTACGATGTGAAGGACGAGAGCGGACCCAGGCCATGGCCCACGCGAAAGATCGAAGGCGTCAGGAAGTTCCGTGCCAGCATTGGACCCACGGGGGGCAAGCGGGGCTACACCGCCATCACTGGGGGTCCCTCGTGGGGCATTGCCTGGTATGTGAACGATCTGCTGATCCCTGAAATCACTGTGGAACGTGGCCTGTCCTACGAGTTCACCATCGAAGGCGGCAGTGATTCCTCCCATCCAGCTAGGTATGTAGTTACTGATTAAATAAGATAGCTTTCAAGTTAAAAGTAAGAATAAAGTAGTAGTGCTTCATGTTTTCTCGAACTTTTCAGATACAAAACATTTTTATTTACAATCTAATTTTACTTAAAAACATTTATTTAACAAATATTTAAAGTAAAACCTAAAGAAACTAATATGGATTTTTGTTTATTATTTAATATGTTCTATTTTTGAACAGATATCACCCCTTCTACATCACGGATTCTCCCGAAGGAGGATTGGGTCAGAAAATGGGTCTGGAAGCCCGAAAACAAAAGGCTTATGCTGGAGTAGAATACGACGAGGATGGCAACCCTATGCCAACAGGAGGTAAGTCATTGCTACAGCTATATTTTGCTATATTTATTGATAAATAATTTTATCAGCTGGTCGTTACTGCGAGTGGGAGCACCAAACCATCGATCGGTCGGCGGAAATCGAAACCTTCGAGGAGTACATGAAAACACTGGTTTACAAGTGCGAAGATGGTGAGCCTGGCTATCTCAACTGGACAGTGCCCATGAATGCACCCGATCTGCTTTATTATCAGGTGAGTAAATGTATATACATAAAGTTATATAGTAATTAATAATTCAATTTGCAGTGCTTTACACATAACAATCTGGGCTGGAAAATCAACGTAGTTGACATGGGCGCCTCCAGAGGAGCCACAGTCAGCAGTAATCTGCTGATTTTCTACGGAATATTCACAGTTTTTAGCCTGGTCGCGACACGCCTGCTTTTTTGTGGCCACCTGCTTGCCTGATAGTGCCAATAAATTGGTCTAAACTCTAGATTTACATCAAAATGCTCGACAGACAAGGGCCCGAGATCTGAGCACATATCTAGATCTTTACATATCCATTACCTTGACCATATCCTGTCCACATTTAATGCATTTCCATTGGAACTTCTCGATACGAATTTATTATTTCACATTTAGGCACTCAAAACTTGTCTGTCGGATGTTTTGGGCCATAAGGCGTCTTTCGCAACCAGGCTAATATCATCTGACAAACATATCTTGACAATAATTCGTAAGATGTAAAACTGTTGAAATCGTGTGTGCATGCGTGAGGGCCCACTGTACCTCGGCGACAGTGGGCGTAGAATGGGTGTTGAGCCAGCGCCAATCAGCCGAAACTTAATCGGTTGCTGTTGGCAGTAGATTTTTGTGGCTGGGCAGCGAAAACTTTTTGTACATTTACGAGTATGGAATTCTACTTTTTTACATGTATACTTATTAAATTTACTTATACATCTACATCTCTAGTACAGTAAAATTGTAATTTTTCTAGCAACTACTACGAAAAACCTACACAGACATGTAGATACAGAATCATGTTTAATATGCGGTTCAATGGAAATTAAAGCCGACAATAATAACGCGACACAGCGACAATAAATAAACGATAACGAAATATCAAACAAAATAATTTAGATGGGCTGCAACTGAAGCTCAAAGACATTGTACAATAAAAATAAGAATTATATGGATTTAGGAAAGGGCAGAAACCGATGCAATTTGTATGACAATAAAAAATCTACAGAATTGTGAATTTTGAGAAAGTTTCACAGACAATACAATACTTTTACACAATTTGAATGTACTAAGAAACTAAAGACAAATAAGAGAACTATGTTATTTAATGCTACTGACTACTGTGGTGCTTCTTGTAACGATATTAGATGAAATGTAAACCACGCGCCGCACACGTTTAGAATGGAATACAAGAATCCCCATCCGGACGGGATGAAGTTTTTGTTATCAAATGGTTTTCTTGTAACTTTTTTAACTATATTTGCATAATTGGTGTTTTTATATAAGCCAGATATATATATTCGTATATGTTTACAATAAGCGAAATGAGGGAAGCAGAGAAAAAAACAACTAAGATGTTCGACAATAAGCAGTGGGCAAGTAAATATGCTAGATACTTGCGAAATATTTGGCATGATATTGAATATGTAATATTATAAAAGATAATTATATATGTATGGTAAATCTTTTTGATAGTTGTTCGCATAATTTTTGGCTATGGCTTGATGTAAGCAAAATCTGAATAAATTAAGTTGATGGCCACAGCTAAAGAAATTCCCATTAAATTAGCTAAACAAGAGGACTAACTTTTCCTAAGAGTATAAATGTATAAAAAATATTGGACACTAAAGTTTGTTAAGTTTCTGTTGCTTTGACTCCTTTGTTTCCTTTCCCTCTATAAGTTTAAATATTAAGGCCACTATGCTGTAGTAATGTACATTTTCGGGTAAAAGATATACATAGAAAAGTGTAAGGATCCATAAACTACAACTATGGAGAGTTTTGATATTGAAATTTGACGGGATCTGGAGCAGGTTTATAAGTCAAATTGATTTTTGTATAGTTAATGCAGCTAAGCGCACAAGAGTCCAAATAAAACGAAAAGGAAATCGAAAGAAATGATAACCAAATCAAACGATTTATAAGTAAATTCACACCTTTATATTCAATTGATATACATATACATAAATACATATTTACATTTAACGAAAGGCAAAAATATGAATTTCAAAGAATATCCCAAGAATATAAAAATTTCCATGTCGATTATAACTTAACATCTCGTACTTAGATAGCAACATTTTTCTGCATTACCTAAACGAAATACTTTCATTACAAATAATAAAATCCAAAATCAAAAGCAACTTGCATTGAAATCTCCAGTTTAATAAATAGATATGCATGAGTCGCAAGGCTAAGAGGATGAGGAGAAGACACTAATCCACTTTTAAATGTTAATAGATCGCATCAGATCCTACAAATAAAATAAACCCCATTGACAATAACTTGCCATCAAATTGGTCAGTTCAAATAAGTGGTAGAGGAATTGAAAGATTGATGTCAATAATAAGCAGCTTCACAAGAAGAAAAAACACAAAGGGCGTAAGAACAAAATCAAAAACAAATATTCTACAAATAAATTTCCGAAAAACAAATGTGTTCTGTTTCATTATTATTCAAGAGGGTGGATACAGGGGTTTCTATCATATGACCAGTGTTGCCAGGTCTCCCAGGCCAAACTAAAAAATTGTTCGGTCGGATCCCCCCAAATTTTTTTTGCATCCGCCCCTGCCTTATACATAAATGCTGCTACTGAGCATCCACCTACTTAGCCTTTCTGTTTGCCTGGTGTTTGGGATCTTGAAACCAGCCAATTTTAATATGAAATTCGATTTCTGACACCAGGCCAACATAATCAATAGCAGGTTGCAGCTGGTAAAACTGAATTTACTTAAGTAACGGTTCTTTTTTAAGTTAACTGTCCTTGGCACACTTCCCCTCACTGTTTCCACCAATCAGAATGCCGCATCACTCGAAAGAACCGTTATTTCAAGGTAAACATCAGATCAGAGATGCGAAACCACGCTGATTCTTTGTGCGTGTCACGAAATAGCACGCCGCGCACAAGTAATTAATTAATTTCCATGTGGTTGTTGTTGGTGTGACAAGAATAATTTGTCACGCGCTCAACACTGAACAAGCCAATTTTAAGCTGATCAGCTGATCGATTTACACTAAGCGGTTATGTTGGCCTGGTGTTTAAAATTTAGTTCGTCGCAATTCGCTTGCCGAAAATGTTATTCTTTTTATCAGGGGCGGACGCAAGGGGGTGTGCCAGGATGTCCGGACTCCCCCGAAATCTCAGACTTCTTCAAAACCCCTTGCAGCACACGGTCCGTCAACCATATAAGCTAAATACATTTTTGATTGCACTCCCGTGCCGAACTAAAAAATTGTTCGGTCGGATACCCCCAAATTTTTTTTGCGTCCGCCCCTGCCTTATACATAAATGCTGCTGCTGAGCATCCACCTACTAAGCCTTTCTGTTTGCCTGGTGTGTGGGATCTTGAAACCAGCCAATTTCAATATGAAATTCGATTTCTGACACCAGGCCAACATAATCAATAGCAGGTTGCAGCTGGTAAAACTGAATTTACTTAAGTAACGGTTCTTTTTTAAGTTAACTGTCCTTGGCACACTTCCCCTCACTGTTTCCACCAATCAGAATGCCGCATCACTCGAAAGAACCGTTATTTCAAGGTAAACATCAGATCAGAGATGCGAAACCACGCTGATTCTTTGTGCGTGTCACGAAATAGCACGCCGCGCACAAGTAATTAATTAATTTCCATGTGGTTGTTGTTGGTGTGACAAGAATAATTTGTCACGCGCTCAACACTGAACAAGCCAATTTTAAGCTGATCAGCTGATCGATTTACACTAAGCGGTTATGTTGGCCTGGTGTTTAAAATTTAGTTCGTCGCAATTCGCTTGCCGAAAATGTTATTCTTTTTATCAGGGGCGGACGCAAGGGGGTGTGCCAGGATGTCCGGACTCCCCCCGAAATCTCAGACTTCTTCAAAACCCCTTGCAGCACACGGTCCGTCAACCATATAAGCTAAATACATTTTTGATTGCACTCCCGTGCCGAACTAAAAAATTGTTCGGTCGGATACCCCCAAATTTTTTTTGCGTCCGCCCCTGCCTTATACATAAATGCTGCTGCTGAGCATCCACCTACTAAGCCTTTCTGTTTGCCTGGTGTGTGGGATCTTGAAACCAGCCAATTTCAATATGAAATTCGATTTCTGACACCAGGCCAACATAATCAATAGCAGGTTGCAGCTGGTAAAACTGAATTTACTTAAGTAACGGTTCTTTTTTAAGTTAACTGTCCTTGGCACACTTCCCCTCACTGTTTCCACCAATCAGAATGCCGCATCACTCGAAAGAACCGTTATTTCAAGGTAAACATCAGATCAGAGATGCGAAACCACGCTGATTCTTTGTGCGTGTCACGAAATAGCACGCCGCGCACAAGTAATTAATTAATTTCCATGTGGTTGTTGTTGGTGTGACAAGAATAATTTGTCACGCGCTCAACACTGAACAAGCCAATTTTAAGCTGATCAGCTGATCGATTTACACCTGCTAAGCGGTTATGTTAGCCTGGTGTTTAAAATTTAGTTCGTCGCAATTTGCTTGCAGAAAATGTTATTCTTTTTATCAGGGGCGGACGCAAGGGGGTGTGCCAGGATGTCCGGACCATGGTAGAATTATACAAGGTAGTCTCGTCGGCTGCAAAATCGTTCGGGGTTTTTCCCCCTATCGACCCGAACCCATAGAAAAACACTCTCTCTCTCGCTCTAATTGTAGTGTCGATAGGGGGAAAAAAAAGCCGACGAGACTACCTTGTACTTATTATACCATGGTCCGGACTCCCCCCGAAATCTCAGACTTCTTCAAAACCCCTTGCAGCACACGGTCCGTCAACCATATAAGCTAAATACATTTTTGATTGCACTCCCCTGCCGAACTAAAAAATTGTTCGGTCGGATCCCCCCAAATTTTTTTTTGCGTCCGCCCCTGCCTTATACATAAATGCTGCTGCTGAGCATCCACCTACTAAGCCTTTCTGTTTGCCTGGTGTGTGGGATCTTGAAACCAGCCAATTTCAATATGAAATTCGATTTCTGACACCAGGCCAACATAATCAATAGCAGGTTGCAGCTGGTAAAACTGAATTTACTTAAGTAACGGTTCTTTTTTAAGTTAACTGTCCTTGGCACACTTCCCCTCACTGCTTCCACCAATCAGTACGCCGCATCACTCGAAAGAACCGTTATTTCAAAGTAAACATCAGATCAGAGATGCGAAACCACGCTGATTCTTTGTGCGTGTCACGAAATAGCAGGGGTTTGAACCCCTAAATCCGCCACTGTGGGTGGCAAAAGTCATTGGGGCAATATTTTTGATTAAGTCTTCAAATTTCCATTCCGAAAGTTTCCGAAAGAAAAAACTTGAATTTAAAGGTGATTGTTAATGAATTTATAATAGTTTTTTGCATGTGTGAACAAAAATCTTATTTTTAAAGCTTTACGTATAAATATGTTCTTCACTTCAGCCAACATATCAATTAAAAATTAATTCACGATCATATGAAATGCACATAACCATCGGCAAAAAATGAACAAGCTCCGATATTTTCATGCCATAAACATATTTTTGTTACAAAACAAACTGTTGATGTCGCAAATATGTACATATAAAGCTAGAATATGCTAGATGAATTTTAAAATAAGATTTATTTTAAGCTATTAGCTACATGGAAATTTTACAAACTTTTCTTCTAGTTTTAATTATGCTAGAACTAGCTTTTCTACTAGATTTTCACTAACAAGAACTGCTCACCGAAATAAGCCACATTTCACTCACTTAATTCAAGATTCTAATTTATTATTTATGTCGGGACGGCGCGAACGCCATTCCCGGCTACCAAAAATTACACGCACGAGTTATTCACATTAGGAATAATCGCAGAGGTCAACTCAGCCGAGGTGCAATGGCCAAGCCTCACTCCGGAGGAACCGCCTTCGTGATCACGGTTAACCTCTACGCCAGGTAAGTATGCTTTTCGCTGCTCGCCAGCAGGCTTTCCATGACAGAACGGCCAGAATCGGTTGGGAATTATAAGGTGCCGACGACGAAAGAAATCACCCCTGTAAGTATGCTATAAAAGTTTTCAGCATGCGCAGTTGAAGGCAAGCGGTTCGTTCTCAGCTGAGGCAGCTCAATAGTAAACAAATGTTGTTTTTGTTGCTATAAAAAGATTTCCTTTTTTTTGTTTTTCTTATTATTTTGTTTTGGAATTTAGTGTTTCTCAGGCATTATTTTTATTTTTAAGTACCTTCTTAAATGACGAAAAAACAATAACCGTCATTTCATATGAAAAATTTTAGAAGGAAAAATAAATGTCTCCATTCAGAATCAGTAGATATTGATAGCAAATCGATCTACAGAAAACCTTGTAATCCCACATACCATAAATAGAGTCAGATAGTCATGTATGTGTATTGCTAGAAAGTTTTTATTTTACATTTTGTATTTATTATAAACTATTTTGTTGTTTTGTTTTGTTTTGCAATGTTGTGGTTTGTAAACACACTGCGGCGCAACATATAATGAACACACAAAAGTGTTGTAATGCATACAAAATAATAATACAAATAAATGTAATGCGTAATCATAAGGTGTAAGATTAACTAACTTAGTACTGCATAATGCGTTTTGGGCAGAAAATGAATATCAACATACATACATCGCAGCAGATATTTTTAAAACCTATATAGATCTAGATATACGTATGATGCTATCATGAATCGCATTTAATATGCACTTGATTTCGTGAACTCGATTTTTATACGTATTTTGTTGACAGAGTTTTGAAACTGTACATGTTGTTCATACGGTTTTTGTATTTGTTGTTGTTTTCATCATTATTTGTTATTTAGAATAATGCTTTACCATGTTTTCAATTGCTGAAGTTAAATTGTTGTTGATAATTGTGTTAGGTTCTCCGCGATCAATCTTCGTTTTAAATGTAAGCTCTAGATTTGGTGAGAAATACGTAAATGTTGTGGCTGCAACTGGGTTTGTTGCCCATTGCAATGTTGGGTAGTTGCAATTGCTTGCGAATAATTAGGTTCAACGATTACATTTCAATCTTGTTTGTTTTTACACAATTATACACAATTTATGCGGTTGCCCGTCGGGGGCTTTAAATATATCTGCGATTTACATTCGGTCTCAACTTTTACACTTAAGCAATTTCTTTTAATTCGTACGGTTGGTTGATGTGTGTGCTGCTGATCATTGCGTTTGTTTGCCGTGCTTTCATTATTTCAAATCATTTTTACATTATACAGTGGGGGGAAACCAAACATGAAACATTAACATGCAACTTCGATCGATGAATGGGGTGTCGAATGGTGGATGGGAGCGGCTTTGTTAATTTCATAACTAATTGCCTTGGTGTGCCAAGCATAATGCAGCAATTACATATCGGCAATCGAATAATGCAAAAATTAAGCAGCGAGAGACACAACAAATACAACACTTTGCCCTGCTTCGCTTCGATTGAATTTGTTCTCCTTTC